TGACTGAGCGATGAGTAACGCTGAGTAAGGGAGCATAATCGACATAAGGTCAGATAGTCCATGGCTGAGTAATGCGAGTAATCCGGACGCTGTCTAGAATAGTCCGGAACATCGTAGAACGTACCAGAATCATGTGGAGGGATGGCAGGATGCCAAGTAAGTACAGAACAAAAGAATGTACGTATATGGTAAGTAGGAAAGTCCATGCTGGCGTATGGTAGACGCACAGCCACTATCACTGCCACTCCCGGTCCGGCACAGCCGTAGACACAGAAGTTCAACACTTACGCCCATTTCGACCAAGCCTTCGACAGCTTCGTCGTCCCCGCGAAAGGCACTGCCAACAGCGGTACGGTGAAGAACGTCCTGCTTACCCAAGGCGCGATAGCCTCCCTCGGCATCATTCCCGTCGGGAAGCTCGACGTTTTCAGCGCAGCGACTATCAGGTAAGTCTCCATACCGGCACATCCTCCTATTACACGATAATGACCCTCGGCTTCAGGATCGGTGACTATACGATCCCTTGGCTCCAACTCACCACACCACAAGTACCCACCGATTACCACCTATCGCTCTCGATCTCGGCGATGAAGGAAGCTGCAGCCTCTATGAGCGCGAGCTCGACTAGCCCTGCAGCGCTCGCTTCGAAGTCAAGCTCGGAAAGCAATACAATCTCGATCGGCGCTCTTCCTACTGCCAGTGCTGCCGCTTCGTCCAGCGGCGGCAGCTCGTCCGTCCTAAGCGACAATGCGCAGGTCTCCTCTACCGGTGGCGGGAAGAGCGGCTCACCAGCTTCAGCTGTCAGCGTGGACATTACTCAGTCGACTCCGACTGCAACCTCCCCGGATGATACGGCTGGTGGCGATTCGCAGACGGCCGCACCGTCTGCTTCCTCAGCCCAATCTTCGCAATCATCATCGTCTTCTGATGCTGGGGATGGTTTCTTGAATGTACGCTCGTTCATAAACTGCCCCAATGTTTTGCTCGCTAACTCCAGCCATTAGGGCATCCTTGGTAACACACAGTCCTGATAAGTAGTTCGTTTGCCTCGAATCTCTCCAAAGCCTTGCTCTGCTCTCCCTGGACACCTTTATCGCCCTGCCTCGCTGTCTGCATGCCACCTTGTATCTCTTAGTCATCACACCCCAAACACGCTCATCTGTGATAGTTGTATTGTCCTATTACCCTCCTGCCCTCTCCCTTCTCGCATTATTGTACTTTACGCACGCTATTGCTTTGCGACGTTCTGCGGCTTTATATGGTCTCGATCCGTGCCCGCGTTGCTACCAGCTTCTTCTTTATTCGTAACAGTGTTATTCGCATATCTTGCTTCATATACCCCTTCTTGCATTAACCTCCGAACCCTTCATGCGCAATGATGCCCTTGCTTATACCTTTACTTTACGTTTGCGCGATCCCACAACGTCGTATAGCCTCATGTGAATCAATAAGTCCCATGTTTGCCTACAATCATTGACGAATCGGGCGCAGCGCGACGGATGAAGTCTCTTTGATTCGCACTTACGAAGCCCACCAAAATGTGTCCGTCAGGATGCAAGAGATATCAAGCTTGATTCAACGGCATAATGCTCTTCATATACGATTAAAAATGCGGCAACGGGGTCTTCACACTTCAGCTACAAGTACACTGATAGTCACTTCGCGGGTAGTACTCCTACACCGTCCGCTACGATTCAATCCTAATCCGAGTCGCCCTCGCCATTCTGCCGAATAAACACATGCGACAAAATGAGTTAGCGTCGTACCGTGAAAGCAATAAATATTGCAAACCTTGCCGTCTGAGTTAGATGCCGCTCAAACCAAGCAGATGTTGTTCGACGAGCAGAGGAAGGACTGGATGCCTGTGCCCGTGTTCACGTTCTGACAGCCGCCGTTCTCGTTCGTGAACGTGAACATGCGGCCCTCCGCCCCGGCTGGGCAGTTTGGGTCTTCGAACATCGTCACACAATGACCACCCGACCCTCCATCGACCTGTTAGTAGCTTCGTTGTCAGCACATCTTGGGAATTATACGGCCTAGAAGCGGGAGTGGACCGCGACGAGAGTTACGTACGCGGAAAGAGTGGCGGCCGTTGAATTGGTGGCACGAGCCGTCGCAGGGGACGTTCAGTCCGGCGGCGCCGTCGCAGGTGTTGCCACTGAAGGCTGTGATGCCCGCATGGACTACCTGGGGCAGAACCGCTAGGGCGAGAGCAGAGGCGAGGTATGCGATGGTGGAGGTACAAAAACGCATTGTGAGAAGAAAGTCGCTGCGATATGACTGGTCATCTCTTCGCCTGCGAGGGGTCTCAGTATATATAACATAAGGAGGGAAGGCCTCGAGTTCGGCTAGATTAGTCTGTACTCGTATGTAGAGGTCGCTCGGCGTGAACATCCGAAGTTGAGATGCCAGGTGAAGCCTGGGTGCCAATTCAGGGATGTGCGTACATTCTGCGCGCACCCGCGACGATGACCCAGGCTCGCGGCGGACGCATTTTGGATCCTCACCAGCGACAGAAGGTGCGAGAAGTCTCTGTGATCGCAAAAAGAGGGTAAGAGAAGGGTGAGAATAGGGACAAACTCGAATACATCTCTATAGACCTGTGCTTCCCCTCTCACATGTGAGTGGTGCTGATGTTTTAGCCATCCTTCCGGAAGTCTTCGGTAAGCACAGTTGTCTCCTGAGGCAGTCACCGAACGCGAGGGGCCGTGTACGAGCCGGGTCTCGAGGCGCTGTATGGGCGCTGAGCATCTGAGGTAGGTCTTCGACCGTCGTGGTATTAACGTCCTATACGTCTAGTGCCGCCGGATTTGATGTCTCGGTGCGGGCAAGTCAGGCCGAGTACGTGCGTCTTGCCCCGCGCATGCTCTAAGTGTTCGCTATGTATTATTGGTCTATCCCACGCGAAGGTTCGCCGCCATGCCTAGGCTGGAAAGGCTAATCGTCTTCCAGTACCATAGCGCCAGTGGGATGCTTGGGTCAGATAATACACTATTAGGCTAACTTATGGGGTGCAAGGACGTTTTCCTTGCGTACTAAAGAGTCAGTTACGATAGACTCGAGCGGGGTTGGTAAGTGTTCGGGTTTATGATTTATGACAACACATACTCACTTTTGGAAGTTCGAAATGCGACTAATTAGAATTGTAGGGGCCGTCCTGGAAGGAATTTTGAAAAGAGAGAGACGCATGTCGAGGGTGTCCTGTACGAAGTCCCTGCGTGAGGCAGCCTGACCGGATAATTGTTCATTCTATCGGCTTTTCGGCCGATCGCTCGTGGGCTTCAGGGATTCTCGGGCCTCGGCGAAGGTTAGATGCAAACATACTCACGTATATGTTCTCTGAGGTACGCATAGCTTCCAAAGTAACTCGAATGGGTTTCAACTAGTCGACACGAGGTTCAGGAAGGCTTCTAGGTTTGTTGCTGTCGCCCTGACCGCCAGAGCCTCGGAGGTACGAACGGAACCTTAAGTGTGGTCATCTGTGAAGTCTGTGAAGTCCCCGACTTCCGACGTAGATGCACGTGAATGGTAGACAGGTTCCAGCCGTGGCTGGAGTCTGGTAGCCGTAACGTCTCTCCGCACTCGGAAGCATGGTCGTTCATGACTTGGGAACAATCTGTCACGAGAAAGCGCTAAAGGGTAGACACGGACTGTCAAGCTTCACAATTAGAGTTATCACATCCCAGTCGCTTCGGAAGATAGCACAGCACATACTAGCGCTCCCGATAGGCCACAGATACGGTGCGTTTTGGTATATATACCATGACATCCACCTGGTGGGGATTCAACGAGTTGGTCAATCACACCAAGCAGCTCGCATACGCACGACCTCGGCCGGCTTTGCATCTTCATCGTCTGAAGCCCATTTAATGCGGCTCGGTATCAAAACCATCACATCCCTCGCATCCACTTGCGCTACACTGGCGATCATGCTCGCGCTCGCTCCGCACGTCGCGCGAGCCGGACTCACGGCCTTTAGCGGGGACACCTGCAACGGCCCCGTCGGCGAGGACGTCGCCTGCGACGGCTCATGCATCCCGTTCGAAGGGCGGCACTCATTTCTCGTACGTTCCTCCTCCCCGCGCGACCCACCGGATTTATTGACTAGGACAGCGAGCAGGTCGATGGCGGATCTGGCAATCACTGCGTGTCGCTATTCGTGAACGGAAGCTGCAGCGGCCAGGTGTTCACGTTCCAGAACCAGAACGGCGCGTGCCAGAACGTGAACACGGGCACAGACATCCAGTCTTTCCTCTGCGCGCCGAGCAACCAGTGTCTGTCTCCCCTGACATGCGGCGGGGCATTCGTGCCCACTGATTAGTTATGACTGCGTTGATCATTGCAGGCAAGGCTTCGCAATGTCTCGATACAGCGTTACAGTCGCTCAAATTTGTCTCTTCCACAGCGAAGTCTACGTACCAAAAAATATGCTCTTGCTCTTTCCTTGAGACGTTTATTGCCTGTACTCATAGTACTCCTTCTATAAACCGCCCGCGTTGTGGAACTGAATGTCCCTCTCCGCGAACTGCTTCTCATGCCTGCCACCCACCGAGTCGCATCAGCGCCATGCCAGAGTCGATGTATAGCCGAGTCAAAGCTAGCACTCACCACCCACGAAGATGGTGCACGATTCCTTCCGGGGTGCTCGGGAGCTCTAGTGCATTGCCGCTGGCGCCCCGAAGGTAGTGGGTCGTGGTCATCGCCTTGCAAACGCCGCAGGCCGGGATCCAACCTGCGCCCGCCGGGCACAGCGCAAGCCGCTCCATAATCTTCTTGCGCGTCTTCGCGTCGACGGACGCGCGCGCATACGCGCGAGAGGTATCGGCGCCCTCTGGGAGCAGCGTGATGAATGTAGCTGACCCGGGCTTGTAGAGCGACTCGTGGAGTGACTGAAGGACGGGTTGGGGTACGGGGTTCGGCGTCTTCGACCTATAGGAAGAGTTCATGTCATGCCAGCCATTACCAAGCAGTGAATGCGCACGTTTTGCGTACAAATGACCGCATCTGGATCCGCGTAAGGTCTTCCACGACGTGGGCAAGCTACAAAGAATCCCGATGAGGGCTGTAATGCGAAGATATGGAATACGATGGCACTTACGAACATGGGCCAGTCCAGCTGCTCCGGAGAGGGGAGGGCAGGGTCCTCGCAGAGACAATAGAGCCTTCCAGACTGGAGCAGCTCGGTAAGGACGCTCATGGGTGTGTCATGAGGTAGCCCCGCTGCGTCAAGTATCAGGTTCCCTTCCTTGCCGATGCTGGGTTCCCCCGAGCATCTAATATATCCCCACGCCCCTGAGCCCTCCGCGATCCGGAAACCCCATTTCACCGTAGGATGATACACGCGCCAGTGGTTGTGCATGGCTTCGAACGACAGGTAGCGAGCCTCCACGTCCGGTGGATGCCCCTTCATAGCGCACTCGAAGACTGCGTAGTGCCGGGTCATCGCCTGGTCGGGATTGAGATGATGCAACTCTTCTACCCGGGTCTGCGGCCCCCAGCGCGAGAAACACTCCGCCATCGCTGTGGCGGCAGTTGCCTTGGCCTTGGTCTTGTATGCCTCGACTTCCTGTAGGATTTGCGCTGTTAACGCTAGGAACTCTTCTCGAGCGACGACACCCTGGCCGTCATGCTCCAGGGACAAAGCCTGAATGCAGGGAAGATAGCGCGCGTCGTAGAGGTTGGGGAGGAGAGTACGGTTGGCTTCTGGCAGCCCCTCGACGAAGTCGTCGTAGTACCCGGAGATCTGGTCCAAACGCTCCTCTGCCCTGGCTTCCAACGCTTCGCGGATCCTGCTTTCTTTCTCTTCCAGAAGAAGCGCCTCCAGCTTAGGCTTGATATTTTTCCATACTGCAGTCGAAAACGTGTTAGGCATACATATACGCGGTGATTGAGTTCGGGTACGCACTACGGTCGGTGAGCCCCTTTGGCTGATGCATAATTTTCGTCCAGTCCTTAACGTTGGTGCGAGGAAAGTCATCCTCCGCATATCCTATACTATTGAGCTTCTCGATAATGCTTGATTGACCTTATTCAGTAAGAGCTGCACGACATGATGCACTCCACCAACCTTGCTTTACGATTGGCCGTAAGCGTATTTTCGTCTCCCTGCTTCCGTAGGGCAACATCGCTTTCCCATTTTAGCAAAGCGGTCGCGTGCTGGGGTGATACCCGTCAGTGACACTCTCGTTAGAAGAACGAGATAAACATACTTTGTGTAACTTAACGCTGCTAGACGTAAGAAAAGTTAAATCGTCCTCAGTGACAGGTTTTCCGTCCATTTGATTTTTATGTTCCTGCGCTAGCGTGTGCATCTCTTGCAGCTGAGGGAGATAGTACTTGTTTTGAAGTTTGTGGGAGAACGGCTGTTCTAGCATCGCTGCAATGGTTATATCTGTGGTAGCAATGTCAATATGAGAACAATGTAACAACGGATGTAAATCATACCGTGGCCCGTCTCACAAGGTGTCATAGCCATGAGAAGCTTGTGCATAACAGGGTTGATATGCCTTTGGAAGATATCCAGACCGCTCAAGACGCTGAAAAGATCGCCATATAAGACTATAGTGACTAGGTCGTAGACGAAACGTACTTTATCTTATAGCAGACTTTGCAAAGCCTAATACGGATAGCGTAGTCTACCCAGCAGGAACGAGAAGCGCTGCAGAGCTAGCGTACATCGCAATCAGCGTAGCAAAACTTTTGGAGATCCAACATACTAACGTTGCATACACGGCCAAACAGAAGCGCTGAGTAAGCGGGCTCGCTCATGTCCTTCGGGCAGGGCGGGAGGCCTTCGACATTGGCTAGACTGGCAACCCACGCAAATTTGCTCTTGGGAGAGAGCATGACTGAGCGTAATTGCTTAGACACCCTAGAGAGGTGCAGGAGGCCCAGAGGATGCAGATGCGTCGAAACCTGTGTGGATGAATGACGTTGCAAACATGCCACCATCCGCGATTTTGCTATGCGTACCTCGAAGAAGATGTCCAATGGCATATCCATGAGACCCGCTAACTTCCCGCTATATGCGCGTCCCTTCCCCGCGCCATGGCTAGCTTTTCCCCCAGCACCATCCTCAGGAGCTTGTGTGTGGTGACCGCGAGCGCGTTTCTGGGGAGGCGGCGCTGTCCGGCGGTTCCTGAGTCTGTAAAGGATGTTTAGAGGGAGGATCTATAGCGCTTCGGGTGACTTACGAGTTTCTGGGCATGGAGGATGTCTTCGATGTTGGGCAATGGGGGCACAAGTGAAATTGAGAAGACGATGACTCGGAGGGTGAACATGGCTGCTTTATATATCAACGAAGCCATGACGTATTCCCCAGGACTTGGGCCCACTTGAGTGCTCTGGTAACGCCGCATTTCACAGCGCCACCGTGCATGTAGCACCGAATCACGGAAGCCTGAGGGTCGAAATCGACTTCTGTCTCTTCTCGGACCGGGGCTGCAAATAGCGGCGAGATAGATCAATATTCAAGTCGTTGTCGAACATTCCTGGCTTACGATCGTGCTCAGGTTGGACGATGTGAAGCTGGGAGGTGACAGCTCGGTGCCGCGGAGGTGACGAAGTCCAAGACTTCGGAGTACTAGGTTCAAGTGGTGCTTCCGACACCGGCGGCAATGCGTTTCGGCCTATAGTAGACTTCAAATACTAGGCGAGAGGTCCCGAGAGTTCCCGATAAAGCCAAACATTGGCTGACGCTCTGACCAAGGAACTTATGAAGCGGTAAGGAGCAGTACTTGCACATACCACACAGGCGTTCCAGGTGGACCGGGAAAAGCCGATTGATTGACATTTAGGCGCTCTTCACGTACCTGGCGGGCCCATACCTGGCTCCTTACTACGACGACACTATTCGTACACTGGCTGCTATCCAGTAAATTCAGCTCTTCCAGATCCCCTCAACATTATCGCCACTTTGTGCGGACCCTGGCATTGCCACATCAGACATATATACTGGTACGCAAATTTCGCTGTTACGATGTCCCGTTCTGCCAATACCTCCATAGCACAGGAGAGACCGGGCCAACCTCTGTGCTCGTGCTGCTTTCAAGTGTAGAGATTCCCTTTTTCCGGGGACCAAGAAGATCTGGTATATTTAAATGGGCCTGCAGGCGGTGTGTATGCTGCTTGTATATGTGAAGGTGCGCGTTTCCGATCGCGAGGCGCGACCGAAAGAGCAGGACCAGTACTCCTCGCCTGTTATCCTCAAGGCGAACATGAAATGGGGGCATGAGTCATCTGCTGGACGGCGTTTATGCCATAGCTGCTAGAGAAGAAGGCGATGATCATGGCCATCGACATGCCCACTGGACCGAGCAGTGATTTAGTACCGCTGCAGTCGTCGCCAGGCTTGATGATCACTTCGTTCAATTTCCTGCGAGCCTACCGATGTCCCTCTGGGAGTCAGAATAGCCCAAGTACAATCAGAAGGTACGGGTTAGCTGGTAGGATCACTGATCGATCGTAGAGTGAGCCGTGCAATCACTGGAGCCCTGATAGGAGCCCCACAACCAACCGCACAGGAATCCGCATATTGGGCTCGCTACTTCTATCGATGCAAGTATATCTTTGACTTCAATAATACGAGCGATGACCGCTGAGCGGGCTGTGCCTATCGGTACTCATCGGTGTTGCCGGTCTTGTAAGTTATTTCTTCCGCCGGGCATTCACTGCTTATATGGCGTCCGACACATCTAGGATCAGACGTCCATTAACATGAGAAGTCGTCTTCCTTCTGCCAACCGACTCAACATCTCACTTCCGCCCGAAAAATGCAATCGTTTACCATGTCAGAGTGCGTGCATCTATTCGATTTCTTCTTTTGTCGGGGGTCGCCAGCCAGTATCTATTATCCTGTGCAATCCTTCCTCTGTCAGGCCTCGTAAGGCTATTCTCCCGTTTTTATAGTGCATAGGTCCTCGGCAGGAGCATTGGCCACTGGTTCTCTGTGCCTATCTATCAAAACACTGGCCGCTCACAGTCGGACCCCCTGACCAGCCCGCGGCTTCGATTGTGACGCCTACTGCATTACACTTTCCTATAGGACCATCAACCTGTGCTCTCTCATCATCCATCGATATCTTCTGTCATATTAGGGCTGTGCCCTCGTCCACATGCTTAAAGCCGTGGACCCTCCTCGTTCCAAGCCCTGGGCTCGCTCGGAGCACCGCTTGAAGACGACCATGGCCTCCATCTTTCAAAACGCATTCTACATCGGCAACAACTTCAATACTATATTCTATGGTGGGCGAGACTTGTTTTGTGTGCATAGAAAATATTTGCTGACCCGCGATTGACCAGGCATTGAACTCGCGGTGTATGTGCTAACAATTCGAGCGCTGCGCCATCCTGGACGCCGATCTTCAAGCATGGGCGACATGTTCCTTGTCCTGTTCAGCACCGTTCTACTCCTACTAAACACAATATTTGTCGCTACGGAGGCCGTCTTCGGCGAGGAGATGTGGATCGTGAATGCGGATTATCCCGGCGGCCAGAACGCGTACCTCGTCGATTTCGCGTCGGTGTGGTATCAGACATTCGGCACCGCGGCGTCGATATTGCTAAACCTGCTGAGTGACGCGTTCTTGGTACGTATCTGCGTCCGTACTTCGGGAGCCTCGGCTTGACCTCACAATCGCGCAGATATACCGGTGCTACATCGTCTGGGCAGACTTGCGCATTATCCTCTTTCCGAGCGTCCTCTACCTCGCCACCTTCGGTATGTTCTCCCTCTTTTTCAGTTCAGTTTCCTTCCAAAAATTTACCCAGCCCCGCTCGCAACGCAGCCCTAGGAATTGCACAGCTCGTCGCCTCCGGCATTCCGCACGCAGACTACTTCGCCGGATTCGCGCAAAAGCTCGGCACGGCATACACGAGCACGATCATTGCGCTCGAGATCATCGTCACCGCGCTCATCTACGCCCGCCTCCTCCGCCTCGCGCGCACCTGCGGCAGCAGCGCGGCCGCGCGCAGGTACACGAGCGGCGCTGCGATCTTCATCGAGTCGATGGCGCTGAGCACGCTGTGCGGGATCGCATACCTCGTGCCGTACGCGATGGGCAGCGACATTTCGATCTTCTTTCTCAGCGTATATGTGATGAGCACGGTGCGTCGTTCTTCTTCATATACGAGTCGAATGGCACGCATATACTCACTGACCTGCTTAGTGCCTCGCTCCCATGTTAATCATCTTGCGCATGACGTCCGGACGCGCATGGACACGCCATACGACCGTCACGATCTTCACGACTACCTCGGGCTCCGAGTACCCTACGGCTACGGACACGGCGCGCACGTTGGGCGGCGACGCCACTACTACTGCGATCGGAAAAGACGAGGAGGCGGGGTACTCCCCGACAGACGCGAACCCAAGATCGTGAAATCTTTTCGCCGAGTTGTCGGGAGAACTTTGCGGTTCTTATTGATGTCTCCTGCGGCACGGGTGGGTGATATCGGGTGTAGTTACGACTTCTCTGAATGAGCGATACGAGTGTTTGTGATATGTTTATCAAGGCACGAACGAGCCTATACAGTTTCCGAAAGAGAAGGGGTTATATGCGGCTGTTAAACCGCCCAGGACGTGAGCTGCTCGTTAAAACTCACCAGGAGGGCGTCGCACGTTTACATTGATCCACTGCGTATACGTAGCACTATGTATCCTACAGGTGAAGGTCATCACGATCAGTATCAGCACTGGATCGTTAGTTACGATTGTGAGAGCGTAATCCAAATCTTCATCATGCCCCCATGCATTAGAATCTTAGATTGGGCGTGTACCTCCGCCGTAGTTAACGTTTGTCCGCAGGCGTTCTTCGCCACCATGAGGCCTAATGATTGACATGTGGCTACCCGACAACGTGGGATCGCGTTCACATGAAGCAAAAATATCACCAAGAGCATGCCTTCCGCGTGCAGGGTTCGAATGTCGACGCAGGGACAATCTGGACAGATACTTATGAGCCGCCAGCACCGCGCTGCGATCCGTCAACGCCGCACTAACCTTGTCTGCACTGCTTGAAGGAATAGATGGCCGAAGCAGCCGAACACCACTTCTCAGACCAGGCAGATGTTGCTCGGCGCGCAGATGAAGGACTGAATGTCCGTGCCCGTGTTCACGTTCTGGCAGCCGCCCTCCTGGCCTGTGAGCGTGAAGCCCTCGGAATGCGCCAGACATCCTGCATCTATGTACAGCGTCATGCAGTGGGGGCCTGACCCTGGGTCGACCTGCATCCGATCTGGTTTAGTACGACCACTGACAAAAGCCCTCTGGGGCAGGGCGGGGGAGAACGTACGCGGAAGGAGTGCCGCGCGCCGAACGTGTGGCACGAACCGTCGCAGGTGACGTTCCCCCCGGCGTCACCGTCGCAGGCCGCTCCTGTGAAGGCTGTGATGAAGCCGGTCTGGATTGTGTACGGGGCGAGGGTGAGGGCCACGAGAGCGTAGGCAACAGGTGCAAAGGAGAGCCGCATTGTGGAGGCTTGGGTAGAGGAAGATGGTGGTGTGTCTGTGCGGGAGGCGCAGTTGGTCGGCCTATATTTTGATAGAACTTACACACACTTTTCCAGGCCATGGCACAGTCGAACGGATACCCCTTCGGTGTATTCGATAGTCAGATGTAGCTTGCATTTGAGACGTAATGCGTAATGATCTGACACCTGTCCATAAGTGCGAGTGCGTGAGCGAGTGCTTTGAAGTTGATGGGTGGGCGCGCCTTAAATAGAAGATAGAAAAGGGAAATCTACTGACATACAGGAGCACGATATCTCGCGATGAGTGACAGGAGAATACGTATCTCCTGCGCCAGCTCCTTCGGCCATCTTCCACAACGACAGATTGATTAGTGAAAAATGCCAGTGACACCCTTCCCTGATTGCGCAGTGTAACCTAAGATGCTGAGAAAGTGCTATAATTGTGTGTTTAAGTCAATGACAACGATGTAGCCACAGGCTACGACCGGGGCGCAGCTTGAGTTGGACGCCGACTCGGAGCTGCCGCGCCCGTCCACTGGTTGCATACGGTATATGTAATCGAGGGCGTCCTGGGTACTGGGACACCTGAGAGCTTCGTTTCGCTCGCTAAACGGTCATCTCTTTTAGTCGAAAAAGGATACTCACGACGAAGTTAGGCCGCAAAAATCCGTTTCGTCGACGAACGGTAGCTTGGGCATGTTAGCGCACCGACACATGTCGTCGGCATGGTGATAACCTTCGCATAGCGTATATAGTCCCAGGCTGTACTGGCTCAAAAAATCGACTTGCCTGAGTGTATGCCATCGTGGTACGGAGGCGAGGATCGGGCGCGTCGATACTACTGGCGCTTTGAAACCTGCGCGCTTGAATGAGCCGGGTGTTGCCGGCTCACTCCTTCTCAGAGCGCCTACTTATGTTGGCCTGCCAGTGCATCATTTCTTTGCTTGCCCGTTGATTAACTGACTTCGAGGACATCTTGCACTGGGCTCTACAACGTCTTTTGCGAGTCCCTCGGACCCCTCAAATTATCCCAATCTCCAGATGACTACTACGCACTGAGTAGCGACTCGTGAGTTTCGTCACCCATGCGGTACCGAGCTGTCACTTCGCAATGGCACATCGTCCAATCTAGGTTCTACAAGGAAACCTCTGGGTGACATGCTAAAATCTGTGAAGGTTCGATTGCTGATCAATGTCACCGCCACTTGCTATCTCCAGCCGAATAGAAGAGGCCAGAGTTAGTTTCGACGCTTCTACGATTCGGTGCTGCACGGCTCATGGCGCTGCTGTGACATGCGGCGTCACTGGTACGCAGGCCCCAAATGCAGGCGTAGACGTGATGGGTTTGGCTGCATATAAAGCAGGGGCCGTGTTCACGGTCGCCGTTGGTCCACTTTCATTCGTACCCCACCCATCGAGACTTCGCCCGTCATGTCAGAAAACGCGTGAGTTCGTCCTTCCCCAGAGCTTCTATCCCCCCACATCATCCGTGACTCGATCTGAACACTTTCTACAAACCCAGTGACCCCAGTATGATTCCACCTGCCGTTAAACGTGCCCGAAAGCACGCAAAGAACTCCGACGACGGTGCTACGGATAAATCCAGACATAGCGCGGTGAAAGGACGCGCATACATCGGCAGGTTGGCTGGTCTTATGCATATGCCCCTGGACATCTTCTTCGAGGTACGCCTGGAACATCTCGTGTGATTTCTCACTCGTAAGACCAGTCTTTGCCACAGATATCGTCGCATCTACATCCTCTGGACCTTCTACACCTTTCTAGGACTTCTAAGCAACTGCGCTCAATCATGCTTTCTGCTAGGAGCAGATCTGTGTGGATCACTAGTTTAGCCAGCATCGATGGTCTACCGCCCTGTCCGAAAGATATGAGTGAACCCGCTTACTCCGCGCTTCTATTCTGCCGCGCATGTAATGTGAGTATGTTCGACTTCTGCGAATCTCAGTATGCTGACATCGCTGTATGCTAGCTCTGCAGCGCTGCTCGTCCCTGTTGGGTGGACTACGCTATTCGAATCAGGCTCTGTAAGGCCTGCTACAAGACAAAGTACGTTCCAGCTACGCTTTCCTCACTATGGTCTCATGCGGCAAATATTGCAGTGTCTTGAGAGGTCAGGATATTCTGGCGAAAACCAAACCTGCTATTCGGAAGCTTCTCATGGCTATGGCCCCTTGTGAGACTGGAAAAGGTATAGTCTGCGTTTGCGGCTCCATTGTACATGTCTTACAGCGGGATGACAGATCTCACCGTTGCGGTCAACTTGGAACGGCCGTTCTCGCACAAACCCAAAAACAAGTACTATAAGCCCCAACTGCTCAGGATGGCCTCGCTCTTGCGGGACCTTCGGAAGCAATTGGACGGTAAAGCTATCACTGACGACGACCTACGCTCTCTCACGTCTGACAACGCCAACTATCATAAAGTACTAGGCCTATCTCCTCGTCTCTAACAATCCGCTGATAGAGAATTTCGTAGCATGCAACCGCTTTACTGAAATGGGAAAGCGACGTCGCCTCGCGCAAGCAGGAGCATGGAGACGCATTGACGGCGAGTCGCGAAGCAAGGTTAGTGAATTGCATGAAGTCGTACAATTCCGCTTACTAAACGCGGTGTACCAAGAATTCTCGAAAACCTCAAGGACCTAGGATATGTGGAGGACGACTTTCCTAGCGCCGACTCGAAGGAATGGTCGAAGATTGTGTATCAGCCGAAGGTGCTCACCGACCGCAGTACGTACTCACATTTTTACCGCGTGCACATACCTGATGCGTGATGGAGCGCAGTCTGGATCAACATCAAGCCTAAGCTAGAGGCACTGATCCAAGAAGAGAAGGAAAGCCGAATTCTAGCAGACTTCGAAGAGAGGGTAGAGGAACGTTTGGACCAAATCTCTGGGTACTACGAGGACTTCGTCGCGGGGCTTCCCGAAGCCGACCGCATGCTCCTTCCTAACCTCATCGACGTGCACGGCCTTCCCAGCATCGACGCGTTAGCTCGGGAGAATGAAGCCCAAGGCGACGTCGCTCAGGAAGATTTCCAAGCGTTGACCGCGCAAGTCCTGCAGGAGGCCGAGGCGTACGCAGCTGAAGCAAAGGCGATCGCGGTCAAGGCGCTGATCCAGTCCTTCTCGGTCAGGGGCGCATCTTCGTACCTAGAAGACCTACGGAAAATCACTCCGGACGAGGCTATGACGCGGCACTACGCACTCTTCAGATGCGGCGTGCGGCATCACTCGGCGGGGGGCACGATGTCGCCCATACCCGACTATCTCACATTCGAAGCCTTACACGACCACTGGCGCGTGCAGCATCCTATGTTAGAATGGGGCGCTCAAGACTATTCAGTAGCCCCACCGGGCCCAGTGTCATGGGGATACATACAAAGTGCGGGGGAATTTCCCATTGGCACGGGCATGGACGGGAAGGTGGTACTCGAGGCGGCGGGCCTGCCTCATGATACACCCATGGAGGTCCTCACCGAGCTAGTCCGATCTGGGAGGCTATACTGCTCCTGTGGGGATCCCACCCTCCCTCCCCCGGAACAGCTGGATTGGCCCACATTTGTAAGCATGGCATCATGCTCTCTATGTTCGCCTCATACTAATGGACATCGCTTCTAGATCGCTCACGTCGTGGAAGACCTTGCTCAGTTCCGAGAGCGGAAAGCCGCAGGTAACAAGTAAGCATTTCTTCTCTGGCCGCATACCATGTCCTAACATTTATGCATAGATCTGCAGCACCGAACCCCAAGCTCATCCTGAAATCGCACCACCCGCTCTCCGGGCCCGCCGCGTGCATCACGCTGCTCCCAGAAGGCGCCGACACGGCTCCCGCCCACGTCCGCGCGTCCACCGTCGACCCGAAGACACGCAAGAAGATCGAGGAACGGCTCGCATTACGCTCGGCCTCGGAGTGGATCCCCATCTGCCGGGTGTGCAAGGCGCTGACGGCGCGCCGCCATGTGCGGCACGGGTACCGCACCGGGGACGGGCTGGAGCTCCCGGAAACTCCGGAGGGGATCGTGCATCATCTGCGTGGCTGGTGAGTGTGCCGTTTGTGTCTACATTCGCACCGGCATTGTGTTGACGGCGCGCGGGACGCAGGCACGGAAAGACGTTTGAGAAGAGAGACATCCTGTTCTATAAGACTGGGTAGTACGGCGATGGCGACCTTTCTTGTACGCTCCGACGCTCCGAGTCGCACACAGACTTGTCTGACAAAATCATCATTGCATTGACCACCTCTCCTGCATTCTCGGCACACTCTCCGCTACCCACGGCATGCTACTACCGGTTTCCTTCGTCGACAACCCGGACATACAGATGTGAGCAGAGCTCAGAAACCGCACATTGAGTTTAACCCCTTACACACCTTGTCTACAGATCGGAACACCGCCGGCAAATGGAACGCGGCTCAGACACCGAGCAAGCAGGTGCTGTCCTTCGCGCAGACAAAGGACCGGACGTTCGTGCCCGTGTTCACGTTCTGGCACTGGCCCGTCTGGTGCGCAAGGAAGGCGCCCTGGCCGTCCACGGGGCAGCCCTCATCCTCGAACACCGTCACGCAGTGGTCGCCCGTGCCGCTGTCGACCTGGACGTGGTCTCCGTTAGCGAAGCTACCTTCAAGAAAATCCCTACTTGTGTTGAGCGGGAAAAGACGTACACGGAAGGAGTGGCGGTTGTCGAACTGGTGGCACGAGCCGTCGCAGGGAACGTTCAGCCCGGCGTTGCCGTCGCAGCTACTGCCGCTGAAGGCGGTGATGCCGGCCTGCGCCACCTTCGGGGCGAGCGTGGACAGGAGTGCGGTTGCGAGGTACGCGAGAGCGGTGGTAGAGAAGCGCATGGTGTGGACTCTCGACGATGAAGTTACAAAGGCGGGTTATGGGCGTGGTGCACTGGGGTGAGCAGCCTGAGATGGGTCTTTGCCCGGTGGAATCCATGGTATATATATATTCTTCCAAAGCCGCTGAGAGCTCCCAAACTCGTCGAAATACGCTGCTCATCTTCCCAAGTTCTTTCTGCAGCCGATTGAGCCGCGAGCGGCGGCTTCGGGCGTTTCGGTCCAACGGATCACCCTTCAGGCTAGACACCCACACGACCCTCATCGCCACGGGCGAATCGCCCGCGATCCTGCTCTCTTCTTCAACTCTCTCCGCGGACCGCTGGTTCTTTGACAGGCTTCCTCCATGATGAGCAAGCGCGCCAGGCCATATTTTGTCGACAACGCCGCAAACTCAATACATACGAGTTAAGCACCACCACTGTTTCTTCGAGCCAGTGAAGTTGACACTGAAGTACTTAATAAGCACACTGTACCGAACCTGCGCCGGCGACACGCGCGGCCTACTTGCTTGTCCGATTCTAAACGGATCTGAGCAGTGCAATGCGCGTAGACTATGATTCGCGTTCCCGTGTGAGAGCCGGAGCCCAAGATTGGCAGCTCTGTTAGACGCCCGTCACCGGGCATACTTACGGGGCTACCTTGATGTGAATACGGACACTCCGGGCGTCCCATGCGTCTCAGGGAGGTCATCTGCATCCGCGTAATAGTAAAAGGTGACTTCGCTTACGCTTTCTACACAGTGCTACCGTTCCTCGGCTGGTGTTTGTTTTCGCGGCCTTTCGGCACGCTGGAGTCAAGTTATGCCTGGGCGCTGAGAGCCTGACCTGCCTCATATCACACAATGCTTCCAAAGGGCCGCATACTCGCTGTGAGTCCTCCGAACTGTTGTGCATGCCGCCCGAGTGCCGAATCGCGGACAGCAAAGCCGAAGACAAAATATAGTAAGACCCTCTTCATCTTTGTTGGACAGTACTTTGCGACCCTTGCCTAACTTTAAATATGAAATCAAGGGCTTCACGGAATGTCATGTTATAGAGGAACTCATTTTTACCCATCCTCAAGCGGCTGTCGGCGGTGATTTCAGGCCCTCGTGAAGGCTTTCTGCGGGCCAGCTCGTCAGTCTCGTACCAACTGGCCACAGCCCCATCAGCCGAGTCCTTCAGACTATGCGTCCTTCGGCAGACATGTGTGTAAGCACGTTCATCCAGCATGTTTCAGAGCCCTCTCTAAAGATCATGTCCATCTACCCGATAGGATAGACTATCCAGCCGGTCCGTCTCTGGCACAAACCACTACCAGACATCGCTCTTTCCCGCCAGAACCCTGACAGGGCTATCTCTACAGTTCTGCATCGCGACATTGGTCTCGTAAGGAGGTACGTGCTCTTGAGTTGTGATGCTCTTACCACTGCCCCATCCTAGGAATCGATGCGCCTTGGCTGCGACACCCGAACTGAACCTTTATGATATTTAAGCCAAGGTTCGTACCTCGCCACCCCTTGGCCGCCTTGGCATCCGAGATTGAGGTACCTTTGACTATAAAGGTCCCGGTCGTGCGGCCGAAGGCTTTCGACGACGAACCCAGAACCTTGTAGATTGCTCCTGGTGGATTCCGCGCGCGGGCTAGACTCGTCTCGGCTGGCAGCGGACTCGATGGCCTAGTTGCTTCTCTTCGATCATGAGCGGGAAGACGCGTAATTATACCTCTCTATTGTATGCAGGGAGCTTTATTATGACCTCATACGTTCGCCTAATAGGTCAACTTAAGGTGATTCGGTCCGCGCTCATGCGCGAAGCCCGTACAGGCCCGGCGAGGATTATCACTTCCCGCTAGATACACACTGATGAACTCTCAGCATTTCTGTATCGTTTTTTTGGACCGTGGTTCTTACAGAGGCTGCGAGAAGCCGAATCCCGAACAGCTGAAGCGACCACGACCACGGCTCTGAGATAGCCCTGTATCTAACAGAATTAGAGCCGCCAACCTTGTTGACCGGACAGAGTTCTCCATGATCAGCAGTAGTCAACTAAAAAAGCGGCAACGGCTACCTAGCAATGCATCATAAAGCGTTGTTGCATTTGTCACCTCTTCTGTTGTACATTCCTAGCAAGATCCCTGCTATTCTTCGTATTTCCCTCGCTCGTTTGGCAAATAACCTGAACGTACGAGAGTCAATTAGCCGACGCTGTACTTGCTATCAACAACTTACTGACCTTTCCGCAACGTTTTCTGAGTCATGACTGGCTCGAGCAGCGGTACACAGCTCAGAGGATGCAGTTGTTGTTCGGCGCGCAGAGGAAGGACTGGATGTTCGTTCCCGTGTTCACGTTCTGGCAGTTACCGTCCTCGTTCTGGAACGTGAACCCTTCGCCGCTGCTCGGGCAACCGGAGTCGACGAACATCGTCACGCAGTGGTTGCCCGACCCGCCGTCGACCTGGACGCAATGGTACTTAATAAGTCTAGCTCCAAAATGGAGGAGAAAAAACATACGCGGAAAGAGTGCCTTCCGCCGAACTGGTGGCACGAGCCGTCGCAGGGGACGTTCAGCCCGACGTCGCCGTCGCAGCTGTTGCCACTGAAGCCTGTGATGCCGGCGTACGCTGCCTGTGGGACGAGCGCGAGCACGAGGGCGGAGGCGAGGTATGCGAGAGCTGGTGTGGAGAAGCGCATTGTGTGTTTTATGAGCGATGAGGCTGAGTTGGCGAGGGGGTGCAGTCGGTAGACCTGCTGCGTCTTCACCTGGTGTAGGCCGTGCCAGTATATATACTCCTCCGATGCCGCTGAAATCTCCCATACCTGTCGACGGTTGCCGCAAAAAGTCTTGAGTATCTTGTCGGGGCGCCAGTATATTTTTGAAGGTTTCAGAAAGCTTCAATATCGTTACGCCAACTTTAAGGGCTCGAGACACGAGGAGCATCGACTTCGTCGACTCACCCGAGCGGCTGAGCTTCAAGTTCCTCAATTGCAAGGGGACAAATCCTCACCGAGATTCATTCACCGTCGTAAGGCACTATCATAGTGTTTGTAGGTTTTCCGTCAGAGACTCGCCTTACACGTTGTGGTCGAACGTTATACTGGGGGGTACTGAGGCGGTACTCAATAATTAGCCGCGTCTCCAACAAACTGATAATTTTTCACGAGTATGGTGAGCCGCGCGACGCGGCTGGCGCTCCGCCAGCGGCCTGCTCCTTCAGCTTCTCAGCCATTACTCTCACAAAGGGCAAGTCATATGCTTCTATACAACAGTTGCATGTGCATCTCCAACTGTACAGAAGCACCCGGCATTGAACATATGGCTTGCGGTGTGCAGGCCAGAGTCCCAAGGTGCGCCCAAGTCTGCGCTACCAACACGGAACTGGCTTACAGGCATTAAGTCGTTAACAATGAAGTCAGAGCCTTACATGCTATTTCTCACCATCTATCTGTCTCATCATTGGCAGACCCAAGCCTAAAGGGCTGGTACTTCGTAACGGCTCACATGCCTTTACATCCGAGATCAAGAACTTCACAGACTCCTGTCAAAGTTTCGTTCGTAGCTCATCGGGACAAGGGCGGCCTCTGTCAAACCCTGTTGAAAGTTCGCGCGCTAGGCTCGTGTCGGCTGGTTCAGACCGAGTAAGCGAGGTTCTCTATATGCCTATGGTCAGACATGGGTATAAATATACTCATACAGCGTTTTCAGAAGCTCTTTCTGAGGACCACGCACGTTCGCCCAGTGGGCAGATATCCATAGATGATACAGCCGGCGTTCATTCCACTGGCTAGACCTTGCACAGGTGCGACTCTCTATCTTCCGCCACATCTTTGACCTTCCCCAAGGACCCGTTCAAACGTTGTTCGTCACACGCTAGACATTGCACGTAGTACATAAGTCAGCGATGCTACGAATACTGACGCTCAAACACTTACCGCCGCCCGATTATGCGGATACTTGACATACCAGGGAAGCATCATCGCACCCGAACCGAAACTTACCTACTCTCGGGATCCTTGGAAAACTATCCAGGACGCGTCGTGAGCCCGATCAGCGTTCACTCTCCGCATGAGACCGCGTTAGCATCCCGGTGTCGGCACTACGACAGCCGTCATCAAGGCGATGGGTCCCGCGTTAAACTCACCAATGACCTTTCACGACTTCTGCGATGGCTCGGAGGGAGAGGAACCATACCGTCCGAAGACATCCCGGAAAGAGGCTGAAACGTCAACATCACGGACATGTGAGAGGGAGATTTTGTTCTCGTTCCTGACCCTTCTTCGCATTCACAGAACTTGTCGTACTCTATCTTCGGCTGCTGGTGAAGACTCCGTCCTACCGGGGACCTAGGTCGCGGTCGAGGTCGCGAGTGGCCAATACGATGCTCACGAGGGGCTTCTGCATCCCCGCATACGGTTCCCGGCCTGACTCGAGGCCTTGGGGATTTTGGTGATAACCTGCGATGTCCTCAAGACAGATACAAATAGTCAATACACTGATAGGATAACTCGGTTCTCTTGCAGACCCCCCACCGGACGAATCAAATGATAACTTGAATGCACTGGGCCTTTACCCCCACCTTCGCATATCTCACCTCTGCACTCGACCTCGCGTTTCTCCCTTAGGCTACCCATTCCGAGATAATTGCCTTCAGCGGGTAGTGCAACGGCGCTGTCGGTTTGAACGTACCCTGCGACAGCTCGTGCCACCAGTTTGGAGACCACCACTTCTTCCGCGTCTCCTCGCGACCCATGCCTTCCAGATTCCTCGACCATACTGATGAAAAGCGTACAAGGTTGACGGCAGGTCCGGCGGCCGCTGCGTAACGATGTTGGAGGGCACGAACTGCCCGACGGACGCCGAGCGCCCGCTGTTCACCTTCACGAACGAGAATGGCGGCCGTCAGAACGTGAACGCCGGCACGAACAATCATGCAGCGTTTACTAACCAGAACTTGCAGAGACCTTGCGACTTCGATCAGGCTCGGTGAGGTAGATACTTTGACAGCTCGTATCGACACCCACATAAGCACGCACGTATACACTCCGATTCTGCGTGACACAGCTCTGGGGAATTGCATTGCGCATTGGGAATCCGTGCCGAGACCTATCCGACTATAACAAGCGGAATTAAACAGACACTGGGTTTTCTCGATCACGAGAATGACACAAGGCTTCACTGGCCGTCGTTAATGACAAGACTCCCGAGCGCGTTGGGGGTGCCATCTGCGTTCTGGAGCGCGATCGGGGACTGGGAACCCTTGAGACCGCTGACGAACCCTATACGGAAGTACTTGTTAGCAACTCCACAAAGGCGCAAAAGTCGCATGTGCTCACCGAACGGACAAGCTGCGATAATCCAAGATGTTTCGTCGAAGAACGGCAGGGCTTGTTTCATAAAAGCCATCACATCCGCAGACGTAGGTTGTGTACCTCCATTTAAGTTCTGTAGCGAAATGTGTATCAATATCACTGGTATACCGCGTATGCAAGTGGGATATCACCTCTTCAGCGAACTCAGTCAGGAGTATCGGCAATCCGAACGTGTCGTGGAAAGTGGTGAGGTATTGCACCATGTTGCTGAACCCGACGCCGTACCAGTGGACAGCTACGTAATCGAACTAGACATGAGAAGGCTTGTGCATCAGCAAGAGCCCAAGTATTGAGATGTGTGAAGTACTGACGTTGCAGCCACTGCACGCCTGTATGAACGACCGCAACCAGGGAATGCCATTGCTTGCAATCGACACCGCCGGAGCGGCGGTCTGGTACCCAAGCGCCCTCTTGGGCTCGATGTGCTGCCTCCATAACGCAGCGGCGGTACCGGGGTCAAGGTTGGATTGGCCAATCTCATTCGGCCTAAAACGACATTCAGTTCATCTTGCATTACAATACTCGCACTACCACTCACTCGTTAAAGCCAAGGATGATGGTGCCTAGCCCGGCCGTGACCGCGCTGTCAAATGCGGCGAGCCTACTTGCGTCACCACCCCACAGCATTGGCCAGAAGTCAAAGCCGAGGCTATCCGAGGCGGTGGGCTTGTCCACGCCGTAATCGTACAAGCTGTTACGGTGGTAGGTGAGTTGCGTGCATCTGCCTGGTTCAAGACGTATGGAGACAGTAACGTACCCGATGACGTGGGACGTCTTGAGATTAGCGAGAGACGGGTCATTGCCTTCGGACCACGCGACACAAATCTTAGAGCCGGGTTGACCAAACGCGGGGTTCAATGCTCGTGCTCGAACCGCGTCGACCTGTGTGGCAAAGGCAAAGGCGGGTACGGACGCAAGGGCGCCGATCAGAGTGATGATAAACGAGCTGGAGAGTCTGGTCATCGCGCTTGGTTCGCCCTGTTGATTGGGTTGAGGAAGGTTAGCAAGAAGCGAGTGCTTAAATACCCTGGATCCCCCGGCAACTGTCGGGGATGTACAGTGTGCCGCAGATCACCTGAAGCTATGTTAGAGGAGCATGCTCGTTCCAGTTCAGTCCATGCATACCCGCTAGCCACCGGGGTGTGCGCCCAGTAGTCCCCACCACTAGTCCTAGCCTTGACGATCCAATATGTGCCTGGCCATCATGGAACGCGGGTTGAAATCTCGACAGATGGCCGAGCAAAAGTGCCGTAATTACCGCTCGAATCCGGAAACCGGTGGGTTGCGCGAGAGGCTCTTCTGATGCATGGACAGCTTCAATGCAAAGTGCCTGCGGATGTTACATGCGCGGTCTCGCGCGGTGTAATGTGTCCACCCTGACGGCGCCGACTTGTCGAGTACAGGCGAAACCGTCATAACCCATACCTCGGCTAAGGGCTTGTTTCTCTGATCTCTCGCTCCCAGAAAGCCCCAGGCCCTTCGGATGCCACAGGGTATGTGCAGCGAGTCATAGCGCATCGAAGAGTATAATTTTTAGGACAAGTTCTGCGGAAACCGAGGCTTGGGGGTCCTGCCGAGAAGTATGGGTTATGACGGTTTCGCCTGTACCGTGTCCAGAGGAACGAGTAGTTGGTGAACGGCTGATGCGTTGATCTGTGAGCACAACGAGAAGTTCCTGGGCCCAGATCTCAAGATGATAGGTACGTACGCAATCCGCAGCTAGAACAGGAGAAATTGGTAGATAGACGCCTTTGTTAGGAGTCATACAACCGCGCTCGTTCGTGGGCGATATCGTGCCGTATATGTGGAGGGCCGTGAAGTGGAATTTTCTCTGGCCTGTCCCGTTTGTCAAAAACATTACGGCCACGCAGAGGCTGAATAGCATAACTTGTCAACGTGCGTGAAGCGCGACTCTGGGCAGTGGTTGACATACTCTGCAAGGTGTGGTGGTTCAGATCGGCGGGCGACTTCTCTTCGCAGAAGCCCGGGGTATGAGTCGAGATAGCAAATTCAGCAATCTACGCGAAGGGTGTGTGAGTTCGGTCATACTATACAGGCCAGACGATGTGAAATTGTACCAACAGTGCCCCGCCCAATGCGGCCACCTGCGCATTCGACGTACGTACCCAGCAACTCTTGCCTTCCTAGGCCATTATACGGTGACTCGGGGACGCCAAATCAGGCATGCGGCGGGTTCGGGCGGAGTAGAGCCGCCTACTTCCTGTCGGCACAAGAGTTTGCAATACATTGCATAGGCAGAGTCCCCAGTGGAAGCCTGCAACCATTCGAACATCGCGGAGTCGGGCGGAGGCTTGACAATCACCGTGAAGCGGGATTTGGTGTCGGGATAGGGCTCCAAGTGGAGGGCGTTGAGGCGAGCGTCGCGCAGATGTAGAGCATTGGCTATATAAGCTGTGGTTAAGAGAGCGGTGGGCGGCACACGCACTCCAACACCTTCTGCCGACAATCTTGACGCTTCAAAGCTCGAAGATTTACAGCATGTCTACTCCGCGCGTTTGGTTCAGTGAGTGTGTACTACTAGTACGCGGAAGGAGAGACTCACAGGAACGTTCGCAGTCACTGGCTGCTCCTCTGGCCTCGGTCTAGACATGACCCGCGCCGTCCTGGACAAGGGCGACATCGCCGTCGCCACTCTACGCAGACCCGAGGTGCTCGCTGACCTCAAGGCCCAATACCCTTCCGATCGCCTCCTCGTCGTCAAGGTCGACGTGTCCGTGCACAGCGACATTATCGCCGCGTTCCAGAAGACGAAGGAGGTCTTCGGCCGCATCGACGTCGTCGTAAGCAACGCGGGCTACGTCGTGCTCGGAGAGGTCGAGGGCACGCCCGACGACGCCGCTCGGGCGTTGTTCGAGGTGAACTTCTGGGGGGCGACGCATGTCCTGCAGGAGGCGGTCAGGTTCCTCCGAGAGGAAAACGAGCCCGGTAAGGGCGGGCGAATCATCCAAATCACGTCGGGGACGGGACTGTTCGGTTTCCCTTCGTGCGGGTTCTACAGCGCCAGCAAGCATGGTGAGTCGTTCTGTAGTTGGGCTCATAGCGTCTGGGCTGATAGCTCGCCAAGCCATGGAGGGCCTCACAGAAACCCTTGCAGGGGAGCTCGATCCCGCCTGGAACATCAAAGTGAGTCGCATTGAACGGCACCATGACTATCCCAAACTCACCACGCACGGCAAGGTCACACTGATCCCCCTCGGGGCATTCAGGACCAACGCGATGACTACCAGTATCGTGCAGGTGCCTCCGCTCCCCGCCTACACGAAGTCTGATCTCCAGTCGGCCAAGAACCGCAAGGCCGTCCTGGCGGGCGGGACGGATAACCAGGACCCATCCTTCCAAGTAAAGGGCGACACCTACAAAGCCGCGCTTGCTCTATACCGCCTGAGCGAGCTGCCGTCTCCGCCGCTGCGTTTGATGCTTGGGAAGGAGTCTGCGGTGGGTGCGAAGGCTAAGGCGGCGAGCCTGCTGGAGGACGCTGAGAAGTATGCGTCCTGGTCGGAGGGACTAGAGAGGGATGAGTAGTGTTAGAGTCGGTATCCGACGCCCACGGCCAGTTGATGTGCACGGCGCAATCGTGTATCTTGTCGCATTTGGAGACAACAGGTTTATAGCACCATCGCTGATATCGCCCGATCCCTATATGCGCATATGATACAATGCGAGACTGGAGTCTAACGCTCTATTACGAAGATCACTTCGTCTTGTCAGCCCATCTAGTACGACAGGATATCAGCATCCTCCGTGGTATCTGTTAGGGCAAAAACGTGGAACTCACATATCCATGAACAGCTTCCACAGGATAGAGAACATAAGACCCTGCAATCCGTTGGCCAAGATTCTCGTCTTCAGCCCACGGCCGAACAAGCCCTTCAGGCCATCCGTCGCAATAACCGCCTCCGCAGCCGCGAAGTACCCGATGCGCGTCTCGTTCACCTGGCGGTACGTCTTCACGACACGCAACGAGTTCGAGATCGTGTCCGAGACGACCGATGCACAGAAGCCGATGAAAGCCTGGCGAAGGAGCTTCGTGCCGAGGTTCGTGGGTGGTGGCAGGACCTCCTCGAGGAAGTTGTACGTGCCGAACCAGGGGTAGTGCCCAACGAAGGTCGCGGCCGCAGTCGCGAACGCGCCGTACCAAAGAGTGCCAACGCCGTAGCGCTTGACCTAGCCCGGAATGTCAGACAACACCCAGTGATGAGCGCACTGCGTAAAAATACTCACCCTAGCGCGAATGATAGCCATCCCGGCCCGGCCCTGCGTCTGCATCGTCGTCTTAACGGTGTCCACCGGCGTCAAGATCATACGGAATGCCGCCGCGGCGAGAGAGGCGAAGACCGTCTGAATGAGCGCAGGGAGCTTCTTCAGGAACCCGTTCGACTGCAGGAGTGCAAGGATGCCGGCGTTCGCAGCGGTATCTCCGAAGCGAGAGACAGGCCCTTGAATGAGCGCCGCGGTAAGGCCTTGGTAGTAACGCGTCCAGCCGCCGTCTGCGTACAGCGTCTTGATGGCTTGGGTGGTGGTAGTCCCGTAGCGGTACTGGTAGTTCATGACGGTACGGAGGGGCATGAGGGTGAGCACTTGCAAGACCATCGCTGCCGCGCCGCTCAGTCCGCCACCGAGCGCGCTCTTGAGGGCCTTGCCGAGGTCAAACTAGAGGCCACCAATTTAGCATAGGTTCCAACTGCCATAAACGAGCCGGGGTCATGACACACTGCGGGCGATCGCACTGCAGAGGTCATGAGATACCACGGATGATGGTGCTGGAGCGCCGGCCTCGACCACCGCGTATGATAACTGCGGTACCACCCTATTCGCTGAGTACTCACCTCGACATCGTCCGCCTCGATGAACCCCTTTATGAATAGTGCCAGGAGCACCACACCGACAACGGTGAACACTGCGTACCACCCGATCGTCCACCAACTGCGCTTCTTCTCGGGCGGCGCGGAGGCCTCGGGCTCACCTGCTTCAATATGCGACTCACGGCTGAGGAGAGGCTCTCGCTCGTCGGTGGGTACGGTCTCCGACATGCTGGAGATGGTGGAGGTTGAGTACAACGTGTGAACGCTGACCGAGCGACCCTTCGCGTCTCCCCCCGCTCGCGCAATGCCTATCTTATCTTATCTACGGTACCTTGAGGGCACTATCTCATCTAATCTGGGGTTGCGTGGTTGGCCTTCCCCTTTTGACTCTCCGAAATGTCATCGACCTCCTCTCACTCCCGTATGTTCTGCACATCAATACAGTACTCCCACATGGTTAAAGAGTCATACATTATCACAACGAGAAGTACACATCACACATGCCGCACAAAAATCACCTTCGTACCCGATGCAGCCATCCCAACGAATCATACACTCAAGCAGACGACAGGCAGAGCAGGCTGCTCACCAATCCCGTGGTCCCGAAATATTGCAGATTGTGTTCTGCGGCCCCCATACGCAAGACTTCGCAAGGCCTGTCGAGGATCCAAGATTGGTGTTTGTAGATGCCGCGCGCATCGCACTCTACACCCGCGACCTTCAGCCTCGGCAGCCCGTCCTCATCGACCGCGATACAATGCCCAGCTTCGGGGAGTACCAGTCTAGTGCGAACAATGTTAACAAAAACTTAAAATTGACTTTATGGACCGCTACCTGATGACTGAGGTGTCCTCGTCGTCTACGACGATCATCCACGACGTTGCGCAGGTCGTGACGATGACATTCGCATCCAGAGATCTTTCGTCGACTCCTAGGAATAGGCCCGTCTCCACCTCTTGTATCATCCAACGCGATCCCGCCCGGAAGAAGCGCCACTATGGTACACCCGCCTCAAAATCAACCCTGATTCCGAAATGCCAATACACCGGAGGCCAAACACGTACCCTTTGCACTTTCTTCTGGGACTTCTGTGTCCCCTGTGCCCTTACATCCGTCGTGTCGGTCTGGAGGCACAGCGTCTTCTGACTCTCTACACTCCTTAGGGTATATATCTCGCCCTCCTGAGGACCGTGGTAGAGGTCTGCCTGTACCTGCGTCGTCGGGGACATGATGGGCCAAAGGTGCAATTGCCTTCAGAATAGAGACTCAGAGAGAGAGAGGTTCGTGTGTATGCCGCGGGCAGAGGACAGGGATGTTGCTGAAGCTCCGAAGCAGGTTCATATAGTAACTGTTGCGCCCTTCGACGTTCAATCTTCGACGTTCCAATCTACGCCGCTGCTTCCATGCTCCCAATCCACTCTCGAAGTATTCCTTAGTACTTTGTGCGTCCACACGTTGCTACCTGCTGAGAGTATCAGTTCGATATGGCGCGGATCGTGCCTTCGAGCGATCAACCTCGCTCTCACAATACTTGCAACGATAATTGAATTACTTACACGCGCTGGGCTGATTTTGAACGAGAGCCTTCGATAGTGCGCTCAACATCATTCTCCATGCTGTTTTCGCCTGAACTCGCTGTTCATTGTAGCCTACACTATCAACATACGTAGCGGAGGTAACATGCAAAGTCCCGGTGGTACGCGATGGCAAGTCCTTCGAGCCGAAACAGGTGAGAAACCGAGCAACAACGAAAACTGATGATCGACGAAGTGTCCATTGGCAACTGACAGATACCCTCGCCTTCGTCTAGGTGTCGGCACACCTCACCCATGTTTACGCTGCGAATCATCGAGCGTCAGTGCCGCCATCAAGAGCGATCAGCGAATCGTTCACCTTTCTCTAGCCGCCACTGCTGCGCCTCGCCGCCATCCCGGAGGTCTCCCAGCTTCACGCTGGCACCGCTGCTCCCGACTTGCACGCACAATTGTGCCCCGGGCCCGGAGACAACGAGTCTGAAACAGAGGACTTCGTAAGCTCGTTCTTCCTTGTCGAGGCACATGCAAGCATACCTGACTGTAGACGGGTCGCGTGCAGGGTATAAGTCCCATGTCGTCACCTCGCGGGTAGCCACGACGGACGCGTTGGGGCGCGGGGTGCCTTCGACGCTAAGGAACAAGCCTGTCGCGACGCTGCGGAAGGTCCACCCGCTGCCTGTCTCGGCACGCTCTGCGACCCACTATAGTGCACAACGAAGAAGGTACGTCAGCTCTGAGTAAGATGGAGAGCAGGAAAATCTTACCTTCTGGTTGTCGCTAGCGTCCCAGGCTGTGCTCCGGACGGAGGACCAGTCTTTCATGGACAAGTCGAGGACGGTGCGCGTCTTTGCCTGTGTGAGGCGGTATGTGTGGCCAGACTCGAGCGTCTCGGTCTGTTGTGCGCGCGAGTTCGAGTACATGGTGATGTGTAGAGGTTTGTGTTGAACGGTGGTGGAGCTCGGTGTCTTGGTGGTGGCGTCGGTCTTGATGTGGTAAGTCTGCGTGTGGGTCTTTCGTGTGCCTGTGACAAACGAGGACGAGGGCGACGACGAGCTTGCGGTGATGCTGGATGCCGGTAGAGGACTGTTCCTGTCCAGGCGGGCCTTTATATCTCTCGAGCCCCTCTCGCTCGTTCCGAGTGCACCAATATCCTTGCGCGTGAAGCATGACACTTCATCTGGTCATGGCCCTCGCCCTTCGCGATCGCTCAGGCTGGACTCGCGCGTCCCAGCTGACATCACCCCCACCTATCCACGTCTTCGCACCTTCGTACCCCCGTACCCAGCACCGCCCCGGACCACCGTCCACCCACCCGCGCGCACGCTACGCCAGCCGTGCTCAGGCCTAGACCGCACCCGCGCCATTTCGGTGCTCGTACGTACAACACAACCCCCCGATCGCCCCGCCAGACCGGGGTGCCCCGTTACTGAATGCGGGCAGCGGCGAGCGAAGGCGTCGCAAAATGACAACTCCGTACTCATACTCTCATGTCCGTGGTATCTCGACCCCTCTGTCTGTCGTGGGCGTTACGCTTGACCACTCATACAGGCTTCTCGGCTTCCAGTCTTCTAGCCTCGCAAGCATATCCACCACGTCGAGATGCACGATCTGCTCCGAAGCCAATGGCACATCGCCAGCAGCTGGCCAGGCGCGCTGGCTATCGGAATTCAGAGGGGCCCCGCCCACTCGCACCGGGGCGGCGACGGCGGGTGCAACTCTGAATGACTGGTAACGCGCTGTCCGGAACGAAACTAGGGCCCAGACGCGCCCGATAACACGTCCCGGGACGGCAAAGCGACAGGGTGAATTGGGGGTGCGCTGCGCGTGGGGTTGAGTTGCGCAAAGAAGGGCCACGGGCGCGACAGCGGTGGAGGTGGTAGTAGCCTTGCTGCTCTTCAGGCCCAACTTTTCCACCCAGCCGGGCAGGCAGGCCCCCACGCGGACGCGCACTTACGGCAAGAGCTTCCGGGTGTGCTTGCGTCCACGCGATGCACGCCCCCGGATGTGCGGGCGCGCAGCTCCGCGAAGCATCGCGCAGAGCAAAGCAGAGATGAGATGCGCATGCGGCCAGATGCGATGGAGATGCCGCGCGCGCTCTGTGCTCCTCAAGGCTCTCGCGCGCCCTCGCTTCGCCGACATCTTCCGCTCCTCGATCATCGAGCCTGAGAAGGGTAGGCACGTCAGTGCTGGCGCCAGGGTTGGCGAGAGGACGGGAACCCACAAACACGCTGGGCCCACATGCCTCGTACGCGTACGCGGTGGGATTTAGCATCACGTACAGACCCCCGGGGCGCCCGCGATAATTCCCTCTTTGCCACCCGAGCGTTCAAAGTTCAGAGCGTAAAGTTGCCGCTCCCGCTTCGCGCGCTGTGACGAGGACCACGTTCGTCCGCGCGGCTTCTACAACGCGAAACTCGACCTCTAGAACGCGCGCGCGTGCGCTGCGTCACGATCGTCCGCCAAGGCACGCTCGATCCTCTTGTGCGCGTGCGTGTGACGCCGCGATGCTAGTGTTCGCCGCAAGGCGCCCCGGGGTGCCTTGCGATTGGACATGGGGCCTTATCATCGCGGGGTCGTGCATCACGAGAAGAGCAAGCTCCGTCTGCACGCCAAGGACGGTGCGCCCGTTCGCTGGCCAAGCTTCAGGACGCGATGTCGTCTTCGCCGCGGTGCCTTTGACAGCACCGACCTCCGTGCCGCGGCGCGGTGGGTGCGGTCTGGGCCTCTGGCGGCGGCGACGAAGACGAAGACGCGGACATTCAGGCGAAGTCGAAGGAGGGATGCAGTGAGTACGTAGGTGTTGCGTGTATGACGACGCGAGAAGGCAGAGGCCTAGAGCTCTAAGCCGCAATGTGCAATGTACACATTCTTGAGCAATCGGCGCCTGTATCTTGAACGTTGTGCAATTGGACAGTAGTCAGTCCGAGCGTGTCAAGTTCGAAACGCCATAGAAGCATACCACCGGCGGTACGGGTGCAGTTGATGTCGGAGAGAAAAACACTGGTCAATCCTGGTATTGACCCCGCAGGCGACAGAGACCGAACTCACCAACGTACGATGCGCTGCGATCGCATACACACACAATCCGGCGGCCGTCGTGGGCGATCGTCCTCACACAGTCAAGCAGCTGATGCTTATACACTGCTGCATGACCGCGCGCGTTGCGTCGACATCGGACCGGCGTCTTGCCCATGATCGCTCCACGAGCTCAGCAGACGCGAGGTGTGTTCGGCGGACCCGGGTGGGAGCCGTCGCGGTAGCAGTACGCGAGATCTGGGGGAGTCTTTGCTGCGTCCGACATTTAGGCTTTCGTTCCGTTTTGACTTTTTGAGCTTCAGAAGGCGTGCTGGCGATTTGCGTGATCAGATGGGTGACACAGTGCGAGGGCATGACTTCCACGCACCGAAGAGTCGCCGGCGGACTACATTGACCAGCGGGGCAGCCTCAGGGAATCCGAGGTCGCGAGCTCTCTGTGGGAGGTCAGCCGGTCCCAGAGGTTCGTAAAAGGTGCAAGGCGAGGTTGGAGTCAAGGGCTTCTGTCTCTGTCTGGCTGGGAAACGCATGCGGTAAGGACGACAGCCGCCATTAGCGGGCACATGTGTTTACGCTCAAGCAACCTTGAAGGTCACCAGGTGGGCGCCGTGGAGCATAGTCTAGAGGTCTTGGCCTAGGCCGCATCATTTCTACATGCCTGAAAGGGACTCATAAATGCACCGACCTGTAACCAGTGACCTGGCCGCAAACTCACCTGACGAGTAACGAACCCCCTTTGATCGATACATTCACGCACCGCAATACTCGTTATGAGTCGCAACGTACGGGACAAAGCGGCGAGCGCGAATAGGTACGAAGTATCGAGGTACAACCTGAACATGGCAATTCAATTCATTTGAGACCATCGCGGGATGCGGTCGTAGTACCGAGATCATCGCTCACCAATCAGCGCACACACTCCCTCGACATGTCTCCCCTGATTCGGTGTCGGACCGACTGGACAGGAATATTGTGCCGCCGCTCCCAGTATCTTGCTGATCATCGTGCAGAAGGCCGATTGGGCTCGAAACAACCTCACGCAGATCCTAGCGCACGATACACGTTTTGACGTGCATACGAGATAGATCCGATATCGAGAAGTACTTCCGGGGGCATCGGGACGACGTCGCTATATCGAACAAATGTCCGGAATGAGAGTTGAATATCTTACAGCGAGTACACGTTCATTGGTATTATACAGGGCTTGTTATACACAATCCATTGCGGTGCGGGTATGATTCCCGGAGTCGTTCACGCAGCTGCGTAAGCGTGAGTATATGCGGTCTACATGACAGAGAAACTGCGACTCACCCTCCTCGAACTTCCACGTCTGGTTAGTACCACCCTCCCACTTCTTCCAGAGGGTCACAGGGGTGCCAGGGTTGGGGTTACCGTGGTCGCTGAGGTCGAGGCAGAACTGTGTACCCTTCAGGAAGATTCTACTCGCACACAATCAGCATCATCCAGGGCGTGTCAGAATGAAGCGAACAAACCTGAAGACAGAAGGGTCACTGTGGTCGGGCTTGACCTCCCAGTGCTGGCCCTGCGAGGTTGCGATGACGGGCGCGGAGTTCGATGGTTCGCCGTCGATGCCGATGTACAGGCCCGTCGCAGCGTTCTTGAGCTGAAAACCGTCGCCGTTCTGCTCGAGCGTCCACTGCATAACGAGTCAGACGGCTGCGGATGCATTGAAGGACAGCTAAGTACCTTCTGGTTCGAACCGCCGCTCCACTGGTACCCGGTGATGGGCGAGTGGTCCTGTCCTCCGGAGAGATCGAGGACTGTGCCACCCTTAGCGTTGATGATCTGGTAGGTCTTTCCGGCTTCGAAGGACATGATGTATGAGGAGCTTGATGAGAAGTCGAGGGTGTAGTGGTGATTCGTCAGAGTCGTTTGTTAGACAAGAGGCGGTACGGCGAGGTCTTATAAGGCATCGATGGCGGTGGGGGCCTGGTTGACATCATCGGCGTCGACACGATCGAAGGTGGTGACGCGAGCGTCGATGAGGTCGTCGAGGAACGTTGATGAGGTCACCTGCAACGCAAGCGCCCCGCGTGAATGAACTCGCTACTGAGGTTGCCACTTCGACTTCTGGGGGCGCGGGTATGTTCTCGCAAAGCCGAGACTTCCGTTGCGCATCTCCGTTAACTTACACCACAGTGTGTCGAACATGACTGATCTTCCGCTGATACACGGGGGCAAACCTCGTTGCAATTGCGCTTGTGACCGTTGACATAAATTGCCGACGAACGCGTCATTTGTGAAGAGGAATACATCGAAATTATGAATGAGAGCGCTGCAGCGGAGGTATGTCAGACACGCTGAGCGAGCAGAGAGGACAGAGCTCAACGCTCACTCACCTCTATACTGCGTGATAAGTGTACAGTATCGTACTTATGTGCCCCCTGAGATTCGCATCAGAGTAATCCACACAATCTAAACATACTATCTTCAGAGTATCATGAAGTTAAGTGACCGCCGATTCAGCAATGCAAGATAGAGCCAGCGAGCGACATGAGAGTTTGGGAAGAGTTGCGGAGGGCGCCAATTAGCGGCGCCAAGGCCCTGAACACGAGCGTCTAACATTCCAACCTCTTCACCGCGACCTCAGCCTGTGGATTATTTGAGGTTTCTTGCGTGCAGTCTATCGTGCACGGGCGCCGGGACAGTATCCAGCTGTATGAAGGTAATAATCACTGTCTCCACCAGGATACAGGACTAACTCTGATACTCTATACTCTGAAGGTCAGGGTAACTCAGACTATGCACAACTTGAACACTCCAATTAATTGCGACTCGTACGGCCTAAGCAATCTCAGTATCCTCAGACCAGACTGCATACTGCTCCATCTCCGCCGAGAAGCTGGCGATCTTGGCCCGAGAAACCGCCAGCGAATCCTTGCCCAGCACCAGGCGGAACGGCGGAGACTCCATCTCGCTGAGACGGTAGAACGCGCGCGCCGCTTTGGCGGGGTCACCTTTAATTGATCTCGAAGTTGGGGTCCTTCTCTTCCTTCAGCGACGCGAGCATGGCCTTGCGTGCCTGGGCGGAAGGCAGCTCCGGCTTGGTGTACGCGGGGAGCGGGTCGACCTTCACCATGCTCGGCACGCCTTGAGTCAAGAACGCGCCCAGGAGGATGTCGGTGATCTAGTCGAACCGTCCAAGCTCAGTCACTGGCACCAGATCACTATGTGCGTGAACCTACTGCTCACCTTGATGTTCCACGCAGGATCGAGTTCCTTAGCAAGGACCTCCGTAATGCCCTCAATGGCTGCGGAGACGGTCAGCGCGAATCTCTGCCGATTTGCCTGCGCCGTGCTCACCGAACTTGGTCGCGTTGTAAAAGCCGCAGGCCGGAAAGCCGACGATCCCCATGACGGAGGAGATCTGGATGACGCGCCCGCCCTTCCCCGGCGCGTTCACCTCGCGGAAGAACTTGACCGCCTCCTGCATGACATGCACCGATCCCCAGAAGTTCACCTCGAACAACGCACGCGCGACGTCATCGGGCGTGCCCTCAACCTCCCCGAGCACGGCGTAGCCGGCGTTGCTGACGACGACGTCGAGGCAGCCGAAGACTTCGCGCGTCTTCTCGAATGCGGCGATGATGTCGCTGTGAATGGTCACGTCGACCTTGAGGACGAGGAGGCGATCGGCGGGGTATTGAGCCTGGAGGTTAGCAAGAACCCTATGCGCCTGGCATCGCGCCGACACAAGCAAGCCGTAGTTCACCGCTGGTATCGGAGAGGACAGCGCCAACGCTCAGGGCTCATCCTCCGGGACCGGCTTATTGCGCGCTCAGTGGATGCTGACACCCCTTACAGATCGACCTCGGGCTTCGCCCGAAGGTGTCTCCGATAGTGGCAGGCGCGGGGCGAAGATCCCACTGAAGAACAGTGACTTGTGTGACACATCAAATTCCTGTATGGACAGGGGATATTTGTGTAAGTTCCAACCACTTTTTGACATAGTAAATCAAAAGGCTTCGACTTGTGTTTTGAGAGACCTTGAAGCGTCCGCTTGTAAGCGCCCGATGGGTTGCACGCAGGATTTGATTTGTCTCCGATGGGCTTCCACATCCACCTGAAGCTGTAATACGAGTTTATCATGTACAATTCTATGTTCATCCCGCAATTCGATTATTTGTGGCCTCGGAACGTCGCAGAGGAAGTTGTGGATGCACGTGACCAACGCCCGCGTAGCAATTTTTTATTTTCCCGATTCGGAAAGGATCCGGCGAAGAGGCAAAAAAGTTGCCTTATTTCCTGTAGCCCACCGCGAGGGTCGAACTCGCAGCCTTCAGATAACCAATACAACCAGTTATAAGAGTCTGACGCTCTATCCGATTGAGCTAGGCGGGCGGCGAATGTTCATACGTTGTGCCAAACATACCGCCCCACGTAGAGCTCGAGACCCCCTCCCTTCTCGAGAGAGCACCACTTTCAGAGAGGATTTAACGAGCGGCGAAGGATCACACAACCGAGATAAATCAGGCTGACAAAACGTGTGCGAGTAGAGGGGATTCCGGCCTGAGGCCATAATATATCTGTACAAAACAAGTACATGGGAGACTCCAGGCGACTTCACTAAGATGGGTAAGCTACAATGTATAGGCGAGCGCCTCATTCCACTAGAGACTACGACGACGACGAGATGGAAGGAGGCGAGAGCGAGATGGGGTCTATATATCACAAGGGCTGGCACAGATCCAAGGGCGAGTCTCGAAGAAGAGCCTGGGAGAGCCTGCATTATCCTCCTTTCCTACTAGAATGCATATCCTGCGACACGAAGGCAGCACCCTCGCTGCTAAGGGCGGGTACAGCTCAGCCGCTGATGATCGGTGCGGCCATGTGGTATTGGAAGCTGTTGTCGAAGCCGTTGGGGATGTGCTCCGGCACGGAGGGCGGGGACTCGGGCCACGAGAAGCTGCATGTATATTGTGAGCATCGCAACGGACGGGGCGTGCGCGCGCACGACGACGATACGACGTACCCAGGCATCATCATGTCCTTCCAATAGTTGGGGTTCGCCAGCGCGTTGAGCGGGCCCCACGTCTCCTCAGGCTGCATGCCAAGCTGGAACGAGTTCTGGCCGTTCACGGCGGCGTACGACGGCTCCATGTCAAACATGGGTTCCGGCAGCGACGAATCGGACCCGGTGAAAGACATCGGGCTCGTCGCCGTGACATTGTCGTACACGCCTCCGGTACCGTGGGCGGGGTATTGCGGTTGGGGGACACTCTGCGCGGAGGAGCCGGAGGACTGGGACTGATACGCGTTCGAAGAGGAGCCCGAGCTGTGCATGTTCTGTGCCTGGGGCTGTGAAGGGGGCCCCTGAGAATCCGGAGAACGTGAACTCACCGCCAGGTGGCGGTGCTTCCTAAGGAGCCCGTGAAGGAAGCGCGAGTGCAGAGCGGGGGTGTGGCGTTCGTCGATGGCGATGTCTGGGGAGCGGAGCACGTCGATGAGCTTGCTGATGAGGTCGAAGATTTCGGTCTGCGTTTCTGTGGAGACGAAGCTCGAGCACTCTGGGCGAAGCAGCTGTGGTACATGTGTATCAGCATGTGCCAATGGTTAACGCCGCTATGTATTCACCTTCAAGAGGAATGCGGATGCGAAGGAGGCAAACACGAAGTGGGCTAAAACCGCTGTTTAGTATGGCAAACGGTAATATGCATAAACGATGTACCATCCGGGGAAGTGCGCATATAACCAGACGGCGCCAGGGTGTCGATCAAAGTGACGATAACTGACTTCGCGGACTCGAAGCACTGTAACAAAGATCAGCTTCCAGTGTCGCGAACATGGCTGAAGGGCGGACCTTGTCAAGGAACAGTGAGTCCTCAGGTCGGAAGCCGCGCTTGAAAGCTTGTTGGAACCCGAAGGACCACATGACCAGTCTCGAGTAACCGGTGAGGCTGTTACGAGCAGACGTCAGCACATGTACCGACACTGGAGACAACGTCTTGCGTACAATGGAAGCAAGGCAGCGCGGAACTTCAGGGCATTGTCTGCGTTGTTACGAGTGAGCTTCGCCACAATGTTTTACAACGATAGGTCGAGACGAACCAGTCAAGTCAGAGTCGCGCTTGAAGCGCTCCGACCATTCCTTGAAGTACTCCATCAACTGGTTGTCGTGGTCGACGATAGAGGCGCGGAAATCCAGGTTCTAGACAATGATGACATGGTCAGGGCTCGTCGCATCGACAGGACGCATCGGATGTACCTGGTTCAAACCGGTCGGTGTATCAGGATCGGAGTAAATCTCTTCATGGAAATGTGCCATGATCCTGAGCATCTGCGCGTATGCCGAAGTTCCGATGTTGAACTGGAATACACGAATGTGTGAGCCCAAGCAACGCCGGGAAGCAGGAGACAGCGTACTGGAGCATTCCTTGTCGACCGCTTGTACCAGTCGGCAGAGTTTCGGATAGTGCTGAAAGGCACGTGTTGCTTTCAGCACCAGTTACGGGAATCATCCTAAAGATACTCACTAGTCCTCCTTGATCGTCGCAGGCTTGCCAAATTGCGTTGCCGTGGACCTGTCCAAGTTGTAGCAGAGGATCCACACACGCTGTTGGTTGACAAGCTCGCGCTCCTGTGCCTCGGTCTTCGGCTTGACGTTAGACACGACGTGCAAGTTCAGATCCGTGGCGATCCTAAAAAGGCGACATGAGGACACTGTGCGCCAAAGTAGCAAATGCACCAGAGGCGTACCGGATCGCCAAACCGGTGTAGAGCCAGTTCCTGTCTTCCTCCCAGCGCCGCGCGGGCACGCCGTACAGACTCATGAGCAGGTACGCCTGAGCCAGCTCGACCGACTTCCAGCCGTTGAGAAGGCCTGACGCGGCAGCGTGCTTCGCGAAGTGCATCGCGATGGGGTAGATGTCGGACTTCTCCTGGTAGTATCTAGACGAGATCGCACAGACTGAACGAGCGCTTGAGCAACCCTTGCATACGCATATAATCCGACGTCTACTCACTAACTGTGAACAGGAACGGGCAGCGGTTGAACGTCGTCGCGGGAGTGTGCAGGGCCGGGTCGAGCATGTCGCAGTGGATGTTGATCTTGTCGAAGTAGCTGTACAAGCGATAAATCCAACTATATGCGCTTTGTTTTCTCGATCACTTACATCTTGAACAGCTTGTCGACGTCGTCCGGCGTGACGAGGCCGTGTACCAAGATTTCCGGAGGGCTGACGCTCTCGATCATCGTTGCACGGAGACCCAGGTTGAAGGCGGGACCTAGATCAAATCACCAACTAGTGAGTATACAATCACAGCGGTATCCGCCGCCGCCACGCTGACCAGGCTCGAAGAACGTCTCGTTCGCAACACCCTAAAGGCAGCATTGTGAGCGACGCCATTCACACAAACGTGTACCCGGGTATACGCACAACATCATCGTCCGAAGACTCGTTCTCCTTCGGCTTCGCACCCGACTTCCTGGGCCGTCTGCGCGAGTTCTCCAGGGACAGCTTCGCGAGGAGACCCAGCGGGACCGTCTGGTCCGGCAGCGCTTGCGGGGTGTCCTCCGCGTCCTTCAACGGCTCATTGTCCTCGTCCTGCCCAGCGCTACCCCGCTCCGTAAGCTCGTTCGCGCCTGCATCGTGCCACTCCTCGTCGGACTCGCCGCTGTGTCGCTCGCCGCGCGAATCGAGCTTGAACGCATCGGCGGACGTGCCCGCGGGGGGCACGCTCGACTGCAGGCGGTCAAGGAACGCGATTACGTTCTGGTTGTTCTGGTCCGTCGGCGACGTCGCCATCCGGTACGAAGCGATCGACATCGGCGTGGCAAGGTACGGGTTGTGAATCTGTGAAAAGCGGCGGCCCGCAAACGGCATGTCAGCATCGCGCACAAGGCGGCCAGGGTCGGCAGTCGGCTCGCGCCTGCGGCGTTCGGCCCCACACGCACCTGCTTGAGAAGCGACTCGATGATCGCGTTCTTCTGGCGGATCTGGGCGAGGAGGTATTCACGTTTGCTGTGGCGGGGGAAAACGAATGAGTACCCGTCCTCTGACATCTCATCGGACGAAAACGAAGACGAGTCGGACGACATCGTGGGCGGGACACTGGCTGCGCTTCGTTCGACACGCACACGCACGAACGTCGGCGGGAAGGGAGACCCGCCAACAGGCGGCGTCCGGTACTTATGGGTGCGGCTCGCCAGGCCCGCCACAGCCGCTGAAATGGGAAGACTCACTTTGGCGCATTCCGGGGCTTTCTGCCTTCGACGATGCACTGATGCCCGCTTGACTTGCAGCGCTTGCACGTGTTCTCGTCTTGCGGGAACTCGCACCTCATCTGTCGCACCGCCATAGCCCTCGATCAGCCTCCGAACGACAGCAGCCTCGAATCGTGCCATGTGCGGGCGGGGCTCGCCGCCTACAGCACGTTCCTAGCCCAAAGATTTTTCTAAAGACGCACCTTCAGCTTCTTGCAGTGTTTGCATGCGCCCGGCCTGCAGTGTCGCCGCCATACGAGCAGCGTGGCCGTCGAGCGGACGAAGCGGTGCGGGGACCGAATAAGCGCCGGCGTTGTGATAACGCCGTATGTTGCATACGAGCGGGTGACACAAGTCCCGGATTGCAGTACGAAAAGCGTCCATGGAAGGAGGTGAGGAATGAGGCATGATCAGTACCAACAAGCGCACCGGCAGGGGAGAACTTACAGCCGACCCGGAAGCGAGTTTTGACCTTGCGGTGGCGGCACGTTTACTGTCATGTTAAGTCCGCTCAACGTCGGAGGTTGCTCGTCGTCGGACTGCGTGTCGCTATCATCGCCGTCCTGGATCTCCTCTCGCTGACGCTTGGCGGCGGGCTTGCCGCGTCGTCCGGTTCCCCGCGCGGCGGCACCGGAAGAGTTCCGGGAGGATGACGACTGCGCCTGCTGGGCCGAGGGGCGCTGGGGCGCATGGGATGACGCCGACGAGTATGTGAGCTGTCCATCATCCGTACCTCCACCGACGGATGGCGTCGAGACGGAAGAGGGTAGATTCGTGAAGTCGGAGTTGGGCGTGTATGTCGTCGCAGAATACGCCTCCGCGGGCTGGTACTGCTGTACGAAGTTGTACGACGAATGATGATGCTGCTGATCGCCGGCGCCCGGAATGACATCCGCGTTGACAGGTGAATAGAAGTACGACTCGCCGCCTTGCGCAGCACCCTGGACACCGAACGCTTGTTGTTGGCGATGGGGGGATTGCTGGGGTTGCTGGTACGCCCCACGCGGAGGGTCTGGGATCCTCAGGTTGGGTGCAGCAGCGTATCCGACATTGGCGCCACCGCGACGAGAGATGCGAGGCATTCCACGCTGGGGGCGATCGCCGGGGACGGGTGAGACGAACTGGGGATCGTAGCTCGCACTCTGCTCGCCTGTGGCGTACGGCTCTTGCACGAAGTTGTATCGGTTTTGGGTGGGAGCGGCATTGGGGGCAGTGGTCTGGATGTGATGGAGCTGGGACTGTGCTTGCTGCTGCTGCGATGGCTGCTGGAAAGGGACTTGGGTGACATTACCGGGAAGGCCCCCCTGGGCGTATGTAGCGTACTGCCCACTCGAATAGTTGTCCACCCATTGCTGGTAGTCGAGCCCTTCCGGGGGGATAGCCATGCTGGGGTCGTACAGGGATGGGATCTGACCGATCATGGGGACTGAGGAGGACGTCGCGTGCGCCCTGGGGATACCTAGGGAGTGGAAGAGAGTACAACGTCGACGACGTCAGGGCACTGGAGTAGACGGCGAGGAGGAAGGCAGACGCACCGGAGGTGGGAAGATTCGCAGGGGCAGGTGGGCCGGCCGACTTGTATGGAGCTTGAAATGCAGAACAATGATGCATCAGAACACCGCAAGCGCCTAGTACGGCGGACGCACCTCCGGCTTTCGTGGACTCCCCTGGGGATGCTGCGCCGCCGGGGGACCGAGTGACCCGTTGGGAAGTGGACATGAAGCTGTCAACGCAGACACGAGGTTTAATACGCCACCAGCAGCCCGAAGAATCAGGACGCGAGGCAGGACGAGATAATCGATACGGCAGTGGCAGTGAACGTCTTCGCGGACGCACCCCTTGGCTGTGCCTGTCCGAATTCCTAGAAGACGCGAGCAGGTAGAGGCGGTACGAGCTGTGCGCACGAAAGGTGACAGGAGGCGACTAGTGCGATGGGGTGTGTGGAGGGAGAGGCTCTGCTCCGGGAGGGGACGAACACGAGGTGGGTCGGAGCGCTCCCAAGACCTTCTGAGTCTGTTCACGCCGGCGCCGATGAACCTTGTGCGGAGACGCCGCGTAGGGAGGGAGGACGCGCTAGACACGCGAGCAGTGAGATCTATGGCGGTCTCGGTTCGTGATGGGTAACAGGAAAACGGACTTGGTGGTGTTCGCCGTCCACGTCGTTGAGCGGCACTTGGATTATAACGGCTGGCAGCGAGCGCGCGCTTGCGCCGGCTTTGAGCGCACTTAACCCTGATCCGACTGCTTCAACGCATCCGTCGACAAGTCCGAGAGTGAAGCGTACGCGCGTGGTAGAGGGAGGATGGTGGTGGTCGAGGTTTAAGTTCCTTTGAGCGCGTCCACTCGTCTCCTCTCAGGAAACATGGCAAAGTGATCGGGTGGCCCGATCGAATCCGGGAATTTAATTATAACAGCACCCAAGTCTCGACACCAATTTTGCCCCTTTGTGCCTATACAATCATATGTTGACTGAATACTATCTGACGTCGCCACAACATACATCTGGTGCTCGAAATCCAATTACACTCGGACAAGTAGCAGCGCACACGCTCGCTACCAGTGCACGATCGGGGAACAGCTGCAGATGCATCGTTGGCGATCGGGTAGGGATATATTATCATCCATCTAAGCGGGTCTGGGGTAAACAGGATTTCATATGTCAAAGAAGATGCCGAATCCTATGCACACCTCGTTCAGTTCCTCTCGAACAAGCCTTGGGATTCATTGAACACTAAGCCTCGCTCGAGCGGCGAAAAAACCGCCGGGTATGACGTCGTGCAGGCCTTCCGAGTACGCGTGGATATATCCGTCTTCAACGCCGCGGGTTCATATGGCCGGGAGGACTGGACAGCAGTGCCGACATCGTGAGGTAGCATGAATGCCGAAAGTGTCGCCTGCGCAGCGAAGAGGGTGCTGGGAAGCTCACTGGGAAGCGTTGTCTCCCGAACTTCGGGCGCTATCGACGCGTTGTGCATTGTACCTAGGCTCATCACTTATTCGCCTCAGACGCGTGGTTGAGCTGTACGGGAAGGCGGAGGACAAGATACGGCGGATTTGCGTTCTTTGACCCGTGTGCATCACCTGCCGCAGATTGATACATGTAAACGAAAATTAAAACCGTGTGACGAAGATGCTCACCTCCCTTCCTTCGCACAACGCCTTGAATACCGAGCCCCTATCATGAAAGATGGAAGCCATGCCTAGTGTGCTCTAGCACAACTTCGTCCTGTAACATGATAGGGTGGTTGCAAATTCGGGCTCAAAAGTTGAAATGGCGCGTGTTCCACCCGTGTGGAGATACTATGTCCTAGATACTGCGGTACTTGTCTGTCCCGGAACGTTCTAACGGAGCACCATGCTCGCGCCGAAAATCACTGACACCGACATCAACGATCTGACTGATGTACCTAAGAAGATAACATGGGCGCGCTTACGACATATACGAATGTGTTGTCACCGGTGGCGATGTCTTCGATGCTTATTAGGTTATAAGATAAACGAACTGTACATGAGCGAGGGAGAAACACTCACCATCAAGCTTCACGTCGTGGAGATCATCAAACGTATGGGCGCAGGGGGGCACCGTCTGCATATATGCGGCCTTCTAGTCCCAAGCATGCGCGCTGAAACGCTACGCAACGCCAGAGTCATCACAGCACACATGTGCTCGGACCCTTTGCGTGTGAGAGGTGGCATATAGCCACCGACGGCGGGGAGTTCCCTGTGGACACGATAGCAACCACGACAGCTCCCGCGAGCCCATGTTTCTCCGGCGACTTGCTATAGGTGTTCTTAACGATGGACGCGCAGTCCTTGTGCCTAGGCAGACGTCAGGAATGTATATCGAACGCGTGTAGCCCCATCTGACGTACAGGAACTAGTTACACACTGACAGAGACCCGCGGACAACTCCAGAGGGCGCCAAAGTGTATCCGGGAGTACTTTGTCACCGGGCGACTGACTGATGGGGGCGGTCTGAGAGCGCGCGAGGTATGCCCCGGGCGCGATTCGGTGTCGAACGAAACACGGAACACCACGCGACGTGCCTCGAGATCTGCATAGAGTGGGCGTCCATGAAGGTGAACGTGTTTGTTTAGCAACCGGGCGGTATTGTGCTTTACGGCACGAAACGAGGAAGAAGACGGCGGCGAACATTCCGCGGGAGTGAACACAAAGGTGCTGCGAGGGCGCGCGATGGTCACTCGTGGAATGCCAGTGAAGCAGAACGACGGAGGCAATGAGGGGAGGACGGACGCTACGTACGCATACAGCAGGTCGTGAATATGACGCACCAGCTCCGGTAGACGTACCATTCAAATTCCATTCCAAGACCATGGTGACCCGGAGTTCTTCGACAAAAACTGCAGGAGGCAGGCTACCATCGGGCCGCGGTATGTGTGGCATTGAATTGCTGCTGCGGTCTTGGAATGATGCAAGTTCATGCGATGAAATTCTTTCTGAATCTTCGCGCTATTCCAGATAGATAGTGGTATGCTTCTTAACGATCAAGAAGCAGGGAACAAGGCAGCAGGCTCACCAGCACATATGAGAAGTTGTAACGGTGGGTCATATTCATTCCGCCTGTTGCGTAACAAAAAGTAACCGGATATGAGCTAGAAGGTGACGGTGTTGTTAGAATGGTCTCAGATATGTTTTCAAAAAGGTGATAGTTTGGTGTTGCCATATAGTCAGGTCAAGGGTAGTTGCAGGCTGGCAGCCAGGTGGAAGCCAGCATCTCGGCCATCTCGGCCTTGTCGTCCATCCCCGAACCCACGTGGCTGCGTCGGCATTGTCCGGTCACGATCGGGGTCTGCCGCCCTCTCTCTGAGACTCTCACAAACGCCTCACAACTTGAAGCATTGCCCTCTGTCGCCTCGCATACACGCTTTTCTCAAACCCTGGGATAACTAGCTGGCTGTCCTGCGACGTAACTGTCAGTACAGATGAGTGAATTGGTGCAGAAGTTAGTTGAAGGCAAAATCGTGAGTATTGGTTGCATCACGCACGAGCGGTACTGAACCGATGCATCATGACCATTGAAACGAATACAGGACTTCGAGGGCCAAAAGCTTGTCGAAAGGATTGCGCGGGACACCTTGATTGCTGCAACTGTGAGCATTTTGCTGGGAAATGCGCACGAAATATCTCTGAAACTGAATACTCCAGGCCATCTCATTCGTCGCCGGCTTTGCCCTGCAATCACTTCGAGTTACGTTCGGCCTCTTCGCGCTGTTCGTAGTGGGCTTGAGCTTGGTGAGTTAATATCATGTCATGACCATCCGGAGCGCGAGGGTCGCTGTATGGGAATGGTGACGGGGTCGTGGGTTATGTGTCACCTAAGGGGACCGATTGAGCCCCATCAGTCGTCATATCGCTGTACAGGACATGTTATGTATGTGCTGTATACCCCAATGCATGATACCACCGAAGATAAGGCAGTCGACACCCATCTCTCCCTCCTTTCCGTCCTGCGCTTCGCCCGTATGACATCACTCATGCTCTCATCGTAGGCTGTAATCCCCCCATGGCCGATGTTCAACCGCCATCCAGTAGCGTGGCTTCCAGTCAAAGATACCAAGTCAGAGTGACGGAGGGTGTCGTAAGGCTCCGTCTTACGTGAGTCTATACCTGCTGCCCGGTCAGACCGCGGCTCATGCTCTATTCTCCTAGTGTGCGCATATACGCGTGCCGTGTACTCGCCATAAAGCATGGGGGACTTTAGGAGGAGCTAAGTTACCCCTGGTGACCATTCCAAGCCCGCTAGCGCATGTCGTGGGATCACACCGTATTCAAACGATCTCCAGTACACGCTCACGGTCGGAAAGACGCTTGCCACGTCCTTCCACCCTCAAGTCCTTGTGGACGATACCCTGGTTACTCATGTATTCTCGGACTACTGTACTGTATACATTGATATCAATTTTGGAGTGCCTATAAAATGTGCAGGCCGTGGCGTTAGAGGCGCGGAATAATTAGGGCGCTCGATTTGCGAGTGCGGGCAATATACTCCTCACTCATCAACCCCCACCACCCCGCCGACAAAGTCGCCCCCGTCCTTCTCCACGCTCATCACGACCGCTTCTGCGGGTTCATGTCGACGTATCCCTCCGGTTTGACAACAACAGAAGGCTCAATCACACCCTCCCACGGGGGAATGGTCGCTGGCCCCGAATACGACGTGCCCATTACCCAGAAGCCCATAACAGCCCAAACGCCGGACCGCGAGCGACGGACACCCACCATGGACCGCACGGAGAGGACAGAACGGTACGCGCCATCGAGGTCGTCGTCGACAGCCCAGAAACCCCGTCCTGTGTCGATGCCACCTCAAGCATACGCGCCGCCGACGAGCACGGACCGCGATCAGAGGCACGATGATAGTCGTCACGGTCGCACCGAGGGCAGCTCGACGAGCAAAGCACGCAGCGGAACCCGGATTCTTGGAGACTACACGCTGAGCAAGACGCTGGGCGCGGGAAGCATGGGCAAGGTGAAGCTCGCGCACCACAACATCACGGGCGAGAAGGTGAGCGACCGCTGCTGCGGTGTCCATCCGTCCCCGAGTATAACGTCCCCATTAGCTCGCGGTGAAAATCCTGCCCCGTGTACCGCCTAGTGGGACGGCGAATGCCCCAACATCAGAGGCGGCGGCCAAGCAAGCGTCCAAGGACGCGTCCAAGGAGATTCGCACCATCCGCGAGGCCGCGCTGTCAATGCTCCTCCACCACCCCTATATCTGCGGCATGCGTGAAATGATCATTCACCAGCACCACTACTATATGGTCTTCGAATACGTCAGCGGGGGCCAGATGCTCGACTACATCATCAGCCACGGTCGGCTGCGAGAGCGGGTCGCACGCAAGTTCGCGCGGCAGATAGGGAGTGCTTTGGACTACTGCCACAAGAACAACGTGGTGCATCGAGGTGCGTCATGACAACTCCTCTAGACGGTAGACGTGCTCATGGGAACTTTTAGACCTCAAGATAGAGAATATTCTCATCTCGCATTCGGGGAACATCAAGATCATCGACTTCGGTTTGTCCAATCTATACAACCCTGTCGATCACCTCGCAACGTTTTGTGGTTCATTATACTTCGCCGCTCCGGAGCTTCTCAACGCCAAAGTCTATACTGGTCCGGAGGTGGACGTCTGGAGTTTTGGTGTTGTGTTGTATGTGTTGGTATGTGGCAAGGTGCCGTTCGACGACCAGAGCATGCCAGCACTGCATGCGAAGATCAAGCGGGGCCTGGTGGAATACCCCGTATGGTTGAGCGCAGGTACGCACCCCCTTTTCGGTATCTACGCATTTGTCTGATTGAGCGGCAGAGTGCAAACATTTACTGACGCGTATGCTGGTCACCAATCCCGCCGCACGCGCATCCCTCACTGAGGTGCTGAGCCATCCTTGGATGGTGCGTGGGTTCCGTGGCGCGCCTGATTCCCACCTCGTGCATCGGGAGCCTCTACGTGCCGACGAGCTCGACCGCAGTGTCATCAAGGGCATGAAGGGTTTCGAGTTCGGAACCGAAGAGGAGATCGAGCATAAGCTTATCGAAGTCCTCGAGTCCGATGCGTATTACCGGGCGGTGCAACATTGGGAGCGGAAACGGATGACCAATGGGCGCAATGGCCACGGTCGCTGGGGCGAGTCGTTTTCCAATTCCTCTCTTGCTATCTCGCACGACGGCAGTTTCTCTACGTCGACCACCAGGGTCGACCAGTCACCGTCCAAGAAGGCGAAGCGTTTCTCTGGGTTCGACTTCTACCGCCGCAAGCTGTTCTCTCCTTCATCCTCTCCCCCGACCACACCCATGGCGTCCCCTCCTGGCTCACAGTCACACTTGTCCAACTCCTCCCTCCTCGAGACTCAGCGCGAACCTGCGGACCCGACGTATGGATTCAGCCCGCTTATCTCGATCTACTTTCTTGTTCGCGAGAAGATGGAACGGGAGAAGGTCTATGGTCCGGGCCACTTCGCAAGCTCCCAGCTCTCCCTGGAGTCGAGTTCGCGTCCCGATGCGCTCTCCGGTGATGCACCCGTGCAACCCCCAACCTCCGCAAAGCAGCTCTCTACCCCCTCCGTTCGCAAGCGAGACCCCCCTGTCACCAGCAAGCCCGACTACAGCATGCCCCTTCCTCGCCTTCCTGCACCCGAGACGTCGCACTACTCCGGGATGTCTTACGATGTCACCCCGGCGACGCCTTCCCCCACCGCGTCTGGCTTCCCTCAGCCTCGCGCGCGTGATGCGGCTCTTACAGTCCCGAAGCGGGGTGAGATGCCGCAGTCGACCTCCATGCCGAAATCGGTGGCTGCCACCCCGGCGCGGATGTCCATGTCCATGTCTATGCCCCGCGAGCCCGCAAGCACCGCCCATCGTCGCAGCCACAGTCTCAGTCAACGTCCATGGCACGGGATGTTCGGCTTTGGGGGTCCCGACGAGGTCAACGAGCACGGGACTGTGCGCTCGCGTAGAGACACGCTTGAGCCGCCACGCACGGCTGGGCCTGAGTTCGGCACCTTTGCGGAGAAGATGGAGGCACCTCGCGAGAAGGAGGGCGAGGCCGACAAGGACGCGGAGGAGGAGCCCCGCACGCCTATCATGCTTGCGGCGGGGGCGACGCTGGTCCGTAAATTCGGCAGTCTCCTTGGCGGACGAAGCGACGACTCGCGTCGGGCAGGCACGCCAACGAAGCGTGGGAGCATCCTGACGAGCTTCTCCCAGCCGAGAGCTTCGACAGAGCCCCCGGAGAGCGAGCAGCCGGAGCGGAACGGCGTCAACGGTGCGCAGCATGCTTCCGTGGCGGAGGACGGGCGCAAGAGCGGGTCTCCGACGCCCACGGGCACGATCTCCCAGAGCCAGAGTCAGCCTGTGGGCTCGATCCACAGGCGCGCGGCGACTATTCTGGACCCGCAGGGCCGGACGAACCGCCATGAGCGGAGGAGCAGCACGGGCGCGGCGCTCATGTCGGGGGTGGGCGGCACGATCGGGCGCCATCGTAGGCCCTCAACAGGCAACTCGTATGGTTTCACGAAGCCCCTTCCAGATCGGCTGTTTGGACGGATGGACGAGGAGGAAGAGCACGCCGAGCATGCGGAGAACGAGGATCCGCCCGGTGAGAATGGCGTCGACGACACGCCGAAGGGCGAGGAGTCCCAGGGTGAGGACAAGGACTTCAAGCCGGTGTATCTGAAGGGCTTGTTCAGGTACCTTTTTGTTTGGTAAACCATGCGGGATCGGGGTCTGACTCTGCTGCTAGCGTCGCGACCACGTCGACGAAGTCGCCGCAGGTCATCAAGACGGACATCAAGCGCGTGCTCGACCGCATGCAGGTGCAATACCGCGAGACGAAGACGGGCTTCGAGTGCATCCACATGCCTTCCATTGACGTGTCTTCCATTCAACCGCCGGCGCCGTCAAACCACCAGAAGCGGCCGTCGACGAGCTCGCACGAGGATAACAAGCGCACGATCACGAAGAAGGGCTCGAAGCGCTCATTTGGCATGCTCAGCAGGGACCGCGAGCGCGACGCGAAAGACAAGGAGCTTCCCAGTCGGCCCTCAGGCGGCACTACCCTGAGCACGACGGCAAGCAGCGCCTCGTCGTCGTTCTTCCATGTGTCTTCCAACGCGCACACTGCGACGGTGGAGGCCGCACGCTCCGATACGCTGGAGAATGTCGGACCCGCCGAAGAGAGCGGCGCGCCGCCGCAGTCGCCAAAGGGCAAAAATCTGCCCCCTATACCCCGCGACTTCGCCGCCAGCCCGCAGCCCACGTTGCTCACGCCCTTGCCGACAGGAGCGGTGGATCACGATGTGTTCGAGACCATCGGCGCTAGTTCGCTCGCCGTGCGGTTCGAGATCAATGTTGTGAAGGTACGTAAACCGTCTGTGTACACTCTAACTGTAATGCTGACTCCCATCTCCCTACCATAGGTTCCCTGGCTGCCATTGCATGGTATCCAGTTCCGAAGACTGACCGGGGACGGATGGCAATACCACATGCTGGCGCGGAGGGTGCTGACCGAGTTGAAGCTATGACAATCGTTTTGACGGGTTCGGACACTCCTTTTTTGTTTTGTGTGTTCTCTGGTTCGGATCCCCGTTCTGTTCCGACTAATCGCATCGTAGTACAAATCGCCCATACACTCGGTTATTTTGCGCCTTCCAGCCCCGCCCCGCTCTCGCTCCAACTTCTAGTACGGCTGGTTCCCTCTGGGCTAGACCACTATGTCCCTCCTTATGGACGGCTCGGGACGCGCGCTTTGCATATGCTGCTGCTACCTACACCAATAGTTCTCCACCTGTATGACTGCTATACCAACATGGATCTCTGGGGCATATCCTCCGTTCCTTTGGGCGCTCCGAAATTCTTTCCGCCCGGCTAATGGCTCTTTGTGTCCTGTCAATGTCACCACGACCGCCGCTTTATTCAAACATCGGAATCAGTTTAGTAGGGTATTTTTGATACTCTCACGGTAGCTATGAGCAAGACAAACCAGTGCACGTAAGAGACATACGTACTACATAAGCTACTCAAAATGACCGTCAACCGACCATGCCCAGAGGGCGCGGTCCGCGTACGTCACCAACGTTCGAAATGCCCAACAATCCTACACAATTCCTGTTGATGATCCGCCCAGATCTTCCCTATAGCTACCTCTGTACCCCCCGCGAAATCCGGGTATAGTCTCAATGAGTCTAACTTCCGCGCTCCGCCTGCGGCACGCGCCTGAAGGTATGCAAGGATGTCCTCTGCGTCGGTTTGTGTCCACCTCCAACCGCTGATGTCAAGAGTCGCGAGGGCGGAGCAACGGACGCCGGACGCCTCTTCCTCGCCACTCGGAGGGGCGGATAGTGAACGAGTGATGACAGTGGGGAACGCGCCTCCCTCTTTGACATCGAGTATCAACGTGTCCAGTGCCGAAAAGGAGTCGAACACCAGATCCCAAGCATCAGGAGAAGGAGTATTGAGATCCCCGCAGACCGTCAGGCTCGTCAGCTGTGTTGTGTCGAGGGAAAAGAGAGCCGGCAGCTGCAGCAGCCCCCGCTCCAGCCAACCATCCCATGATGCGGCGCGGTGAAGGGCCAGCAAGCCGAAAGCTCCGGAAGGGACACCCCAGTAAAGCTCGTTGATCGTGTCCCCAGCACTAAGGTATGCGGATTGTATGGAGCGCATGAACGGCCGACGAGCGAGATCTTGTGGAAGGAGGGCGGCAAAAGACGTGGAGTCATCATCATCGGCATCGCGGAACTCTCCAATGAGCAGGTAGTGGACGTCGTCGGGAGTGTGCAAATGTGATATCAGATGTGAAATGAGGACAGGCACGTCGCGACAATGGAGGGTGTGCAATTTCGGCAGCGTTACAAGAGGGCCTTGCGGAATTGAGACCTGGGTTGATAGCGCAGCAGAAAGAAAGTGATGGAGATGGAGAAGACGAAGTTGCTGACCGTGCCCGAGTGTGTTCAGAAACTCTGCGAAAGAGAGAGGCTTCGTCGACGACTGGCAGTCTGTCAGAGACAGAGATTGTAAATTGGCCAGAAGCGGCTTCGTCCAGGATAGCGGGAACCGTGTGAGGGTGAGCGATTCCAGGTGGGGGCAATTATCAATCCTCAACAAGGCAGTACAATCCAAAGAGAGGCGATTGGAGTATTGTGGATCGACGCATACCGTAATGCTGGTAAGGAGTGGGAAGGAGCAGTCGAAGAGCGGGCTGAGGATGCGATGGTGCAAAGGATTTAGCTCCAGGTCTTGTCAGCGTGTTGCACGAGCATCGGGATAGCGGCCTCCATATCAGAGTCGCGAGAGAGCGTTATGCGGAGGGGAGCTCCCTGCGAGCGGCGTAACGAGATGTCCGACCACTTCATGGATCTGGAGACATTGATGGTCCTCCAAAACAGTGTTGTGCTCAGGACGAGGGCGCACCAATGACGACATACGCCCATTAAGCGCGCCCAGGGTCGTTTTAGGGGTCGTTCCCCTTTCTCTGGGGTGAGCGAGTACTTGAAGACCTCGAGTAGAATTTCGGCAGGGAGCGTATGGATCGGAAGCCTCGTGTTCCACATCGCCCTCAAGCTAAGAAGGCTGAGCTCGAAGGTTCGTCGTTGAGCAGCTAGGTCTGTGATTCCCTCCTGGAAGCCAGTTGACACCAGCAAATGATGGCAGGCATCGAGGGCGGGTAGACCGTATAGTGGCCCTATGAGTTGGTCGTTCTGCAAAACGGGCAGCAAAGGAGGATCGTCGTTCTCGGAGCCTTCCGATCTACTTATAAGTCTCACATCCATACCACAGCTCGTCAGAGATGTTTCGCATTGTACAGGAATTTTTGCTCACCGACGCTCTTCGCTGGACGACATAACCGTTTGAAGTTGACTAGATGAGATGGGGGTGGAGGACAGGCCGGTCCCAGCCTCTCACAGCTCGCTACAGCTGAGTCGGCAACTCCCGGTATGCGCGCACTTTAGGCGCCGCGCCCGCTCCATTTCTCCTCTGAATTAATTCTATGGCACCGCACTCAGGCTTGCATTATATCCTAGTAAGATCCATCGGCTCAAAGGCATTCAGTCACTTACTTACACGAGTGACAGCCTCACCTCGGCAAGTTTGAGGGAGGTCCTGTCCTCGAGCTAGCCGCGTCAACGTTGCAACTCGAAGATTTGCTAAATCTACGTCCGCCAGGACTTATATCTTGATCCAACGTTTGTACTTCGATCGTCAGAGATGCGGTAACCGAGAACCTGGGACTATATAATTACACCGACCACTTCATCTGCGCTACTCCTACACCCTCTCCCCGACAGCCTTGGACCAGCTCTGTTTGTTGGCAGCCCTAAAAAAAGTACCTCACAATGAGTCAACGGCGGACAATATTAATTACTGTGGACCTCACCGAGTGAACCGGATACTGCTTATACCAAGCAGATGTTGTTCGACGAGCAGATGAAGGACTGAATGTTCGTGCCAGTGTTCACGTTCTGGCAGCCGCCGTTCTCATTTGTGAACGTGAACATCCGACCTTCAGCGCCCGCCGGACAGCCCGCGTCCTCAAACATCGTCACACAGTGGCCGCCGGACCCGCTGTCGACCTGGTACACTTGTCATCAGCACGGCCAGAGAGTCGAAGGTGTGGGTCGCGGGGACATGCAACGTCAGGGGGACGTACGCGGAAGGAATGGCGGTCGCTGAACTGGTGGCACGATCCGTCGCAGGGGACGTTCAGTCCAGCGGCGCCATTGCAGGTACTGCCGCTGAAGGCGGTGATCCCGGCGTGGGCTGCCTGGGGCAGAAGCGCGAGGACGAGTGCAGAGGCGAGGTATGCGAATGTGGGAGTAGAGAAGTGCATCGTGGTCTGCGTTGTCGGGTGACGGTGATTATGAGAACCGCTGTTGTGCCAGTGGGTCGACTGGTCTCTTCGTCTGTTCAGCGTCGCAGTATATATAGTAAAAACGCACAGGCCTCGAGTCAGAGTCGAGCGCCATGCGCGGGGATGCCGAGGTCCCTCGTGAACGCCGTAACGGGCACTTGCGACCGCGATCCAGGTTTACAGCAGGACGCGTCCTTCACGGGCGGCCGAAGATGCGACAAGTTCTGTGAGTATGAAAGAGGGTCAGGGACGGGATCAAATATCAATGAATCTGTGCCACACCCCCTCCCACATGCCCGTGATGTTGATGTTTTAGCCTCCTCTCGGGAAGTCTTCGGGCGGTATAATTGTCTCCCGAGTCCATCACAGAACTTGAGCCCTTGTACGAGCCTGGCCTCGAGCCGCTGGAGGAAAGATTGAGGTACTCATGTTTTCTGAGGCCTGCTGTGGTCTTGGTCCTACTACGACTCAGGTCCTACGCCGCCTACTTTGGTGGTCGTGTCGCAGTACAAGATGCTTATCCCCGATCGTCATTATCCACTTGTTATCAACTTACGGATGGACCGCTGCCGATAAACATCATCTACAGCCTCTAGGCAGCGGTGCGGACAGGCCACGCCGACTACGCGTGCCTTACCTCGCGTACCTGCTTGCGGTGCTCACCACGTACCTGTTAATTATTCTGCACGAGGCTCCGCCGGCATGCTTGGGCGTGAAAGGCTATTTGCGAGTTCGACGCGGGATCCATCGGTTTGATAGCAGCTGTCATAGTGCTGGCGGGATGCGCATGCGGTCTCATGCGGCGAGTGAACGAGGCGGCCGAGGCTGAGCGGGCGATCATTGTGCATTTGGTAGGCATCGCAGACGTAAGCAAGGGTGCGACAACACGTCCATCCGTAGGACCGAGCGGCGCCGGTAAGCCCAGTATTACGAGTGCAGCATCTATGAGAGTACGTACACTACTTCCGGAGGGCAAAGCGCAATGTGGGGGTACTGAGATGGCCTTGAGAGGGTTCTGGCTGAACGTAGTTACGCTTGGTGGAGGGTTGTGCGAGAGGCCAGGCATACTGGATTATCTTGCAGGATTGGCCAATCGGGTACTAAATGGCCATGGCCTTTAGAGAGCGCCTGGATTGCGATGAATCAATGCGCTTACAATCATGTCTGCCGCCGATGAGTACGGTGCAAAGTCTGTGCGCTAGATCGTACAAGAAACGGTCGCCGTAGCCATATTTCCCACTGTTGTGGAACAGATTATCCCTCTTCTCGAATATATCTTACGTACCTGCACCACACGCGGTGTCAACACAAAGCCAGTGCGAACATAGAACCAAGAGGGATACTCACAATCTCCGCATGTGATGATGAACCCTTCTGAGGTTTCCGGGAGCTCCAGTAATCATCAGCGTGCATCATATAGTGGATGAGACAAATGAAGTGGAGCTCTGAAGGAAAGTGCATGAACATGGGCGCTTCGGTATAAAGGGAGCCATGAACACGCACTTTGTATTCAGTTTAGAGAGGCTCACCATAGGATATTGCATGTATGTGGATGAGTCAGGCGTCCCTTGGGATGCGCTAGACGTCCGACCGGACTGTGTGTAAACGCGTTGATGTACGCCCATTTGCCCTCCGGTGGCGGGGCAAAACAGAAGTATTACTGCCGATCTTTAACTCCGGTTCTCGTGAGGGAACGAGAACTATACCGTACGCGCGCCGTGCCGTTCGGATCTGGGTAGAATCCAACGAGCGGCCCGTGCCGCATACGCCGCCCGCGCCCGTTTGGTATGGAGAGCTATGGAGGGCTTGTCCTGAGTGCTTTAGCGTCAACGCTGGCTCGAAGGAAGTTGGAACGATGGTAATGAGCCTTACTAGACATCATGTGGATTGAGTACGTTGTGTCATCGACGAACTATGACCTCGCGCAGCCTTGCATCACCCTAGTGGAAGAGGGTCAAGAGAGTGAGCATCGCGCGCGCGCCGACGCGCTTATGGTGGTACCGGTGAGAGTGATATGGGCGTCTGAACTACAAGTGATCCCGTTAGACTGAATTGCGCGAGGCTACTGCCGCCGCTCATTAATGCTCACTCATCTGCCGAAAGAACTCGTAATGCCATGCAAAAATGTTCGGCGAGTATAGGACACCTCAGAGTCATTGGAGGAATATATAAACCACAGACTGGCCAGGCGAAGACTCACCAACATTCGTTCTTTCATACTAGTGGAACCGGATCCTCAGCAAGACTTCACACCATGCGCTTTTCTGCCAGCACTCTCGCGTACCTCGTATCTGCACTCGTGTCCGCGCTCGCCCCGCGGGCCGCACAGGCAGGAGTCACAGCCTTCAGCGGCGGCTCGTGCGACGGTGACGCCGGGCTGGACGTCCCCTGCGACGGCTCGTGCCACCAGTTCGACGAGCGACACTCCTTCCGCGTGCGTATTTTCCCGCCCCCCGAAAGTAGGGCTTCCCTCGAAGATAATTTTACTGACGGTGACCATGTTCAGGTTGACGGTGGCACGGGCACACACTGCGTGACGGTGTTCGTGGACCCGGGTTGCCCTAGAGACGCTATGGGCTTCGAGCAGAGCTTTTTCAAGAGCCAGACAGGCCAATGCACGAACGTGAACACCGGAACAAATGCCCGGTCGTTCCTCTGCGCGCCGGACAGCACTTGTTTGCTGGGAGCCGCCTGAGCCGAGTCCCGCTGCTCGACGATGTTCAAATCTACAAGCAAGGTTGGTGAGAGGTTTATCGCAGGGCGGCAGTCACTCACATTTGGCTGTCCAGGACGTCTGCGAGACAAGCGAGCATAATGTGCAAGATGGCGGAGAGTGTAGTAGCGGGATTAGTGCAGAAGACTTGACTAATACGATCACACTTCCTTGGAGTCAAGTCTGCCCATTGACCAAATTGAGGCCGTTCTGACATCTCCGCAAATTCCTATTGTGTAAAAATTAGTGGCCTTGAGATGTGTCTCGATATGCGATGGAGGGTACTTACGTGGCACATCTCTGTCAATGATACTTAAAATTAACTACTTGGGTTTCAAGTTGTTTCCTAGCTTGAGACTCTTCCTGCGTGTTACCTGTTTCCATTGCAAACAATTCCGCTCAACAGAGAAGATGCGAAAGTAACGGTCGAAGAGGTGGCGGTAGTTCAGTGGAGGACTCGGAGTTGAATAGGGTTTTCTCGTCCCGGAATATCGTGCGGTACGGCGTCTAACCGGATATTTCCGGCGCCAGTAGCAGGCGCTCAGGATACCACTCCCGACGTCCGTCCTGTTGAACTCCACCATGTAAACTTCTACTTTATGCACGCTAGCTCGCCAACTGATTGTTCTATCGCTTGTTGGTCCGAGTGAACAAATGTCTACTGGAATCCGTCATGAAATCAAAAACATGTTGAGCTCCCCCGCGAACTAGTCTCCGTGGCTGACTGTAGTAGATGATAGTCGATCTACGTATACACCCGCGAACGTGCACTTGTCGAAGCGCTCAGCCTGGCAGCCGTTCTCGACGAAATGTCTTGGTTTTTCGCAGCTTGTCTGTTGGGTGAGTGCTACTCGCTCCTGGTGCACCTAACATGTCCTTTTACCTCGTATAGCGCTCGTAAGCGCACTCAAGGGTTCCCGGAAACGGCTTCCTACCATGCTCCAGGATGCGCCCGGGGGTTTGGTCACTGTGAACGATGATCAGTGACTTGATCATGAATGCCTAGTACCCCTCTTCCGTGAGGGGCAACCAAGCGTCTAGCCAGCTGCGCTCTTGGACAAGTCATGACACGCACTGCGATCCACTGTGCCAGACATTCCACTCCAGTACGTGCGCATGCTTGGCCGGAGACGAACATGCTGCTCTGAGACTTGGCGCGCTCGACGCTTTGCAGAAGCCACGATATCATTGACCTCCGCGCTCACGCGGAACAGATCTCCGTGCATCAGTCATATTCATATGGTCCTCTCGAAGTCGTGAAGGCTTCTGCTCAATCTTCAAGGCACAGTTAAGGCACAGTTCTACGTCCGAGTGTGGCGAATTGTCACCCATATGTGCTTCTAAACTTCACAGCAACAGCCCTAGTACGTCCTTGACGAAGCCCCCTAATGCAGCAGCTCACGCACGTTCGTACCGCTCGTCGCCACACCTTACCGCCTCTTTATCTCGTCCAGCATCGCGCTCATAGCCATTTAGGGGTTACACTGCTCGGTCGAACTTAGTGGCCCCGTGCGGCACCAGTGGTCCATATACAGAACAATGTCTATTCCCAATTGTCTGTTATACTTCCTCGCTGATGCTCGTATCAGCTTCTGCTCCGGGCACCCCGGACATCGTCGAGTTCCACAACCACGCCGCGCCGCCGCCGCCGTCTGGAGTGGTCAACCCCCTCCACTTCGCAAGGCGTCTTCACCGCTCTGTCGCCGCCATCTGTCCGATTGGCAGATCGCGGCTCTCACGCAGTGTCAGCTCGGGCTTGCTTTGAATGCCGGTAGCAGCTGGCCTGAGCAGGGCGCATGTGTTCAGGGCCCTTTCGCGGCCGCTGGATCAACGCCCGGAGAAGCGCAGGCGGATCTAAGAGACAACTCTAGCAGAACAAGCTCTGAGTTGGGTGCCGTGTGGATGCGGTTTGTCGCCGTGTCCGCACATGGGCGGCCGGATTGTCCTGAGAGTGATGCAGCGATTTTATATTCCTACGGTATACTAGATGGTCAGGGTATGCTATAGTGTACAATCGACCTAATTTTACTTCAGTACATCGGATCCGGGCGAGCGCGTGCAAAGCATCGAAAGCAACAAATGAACGGCGTGAAGGAAGGCGACCATGAAGCACCGTCCTGGGAGATGATAACAATAACGAGCAAAGCCAAGTTTTCGAATGTTCCACTATCCGCGAGGTTGCTATACCACATCCACAGTGGACGCGTTCGACTGCTGCGTGGCGACGAACTCCGCGTGTTTTCTTTCCACATCCTCGGTGCTCGCGCCAAACTCGAGCTGCGTCTCGGTCGCCGCCTGCGCGGACTTTGTGAACTCGAGGTTCGTGTCTGTCATCGCGGACGTGTTGCGCGTCCACGCGCGCCCGCGCACGACGCGCAGGATAATCATCTGCGGGGCGATGCACTGTACGTCCGAGGATCCCGTTCATCAGTCACTCTGCCATATTCAACAAGAAAGGGAAAATCACGCACCGTCATCATCACATATATCGAGAGGAAGAAGATCTCGAGCTGGCTGTTGAGCGCGAACGCGACGACGTACGCGACACCCGTGAGCGCGTACAGCGCCGCGCTCTCGACCAGAATGGCCGCCGCGGTCACGTAGTCGCGCCCGACGTCGAAGCCGATGTGGCGCGCGATGGTGCGCCCCTTGTAGACGATGCGCCCGCAGATGAGCCCGGAGACGATCAGGTTCAGGCTGATCACGCAGGAGGTGTAGGAGACGCCGAGCGTGTGCGCGAGCCCCAGGAAGTAGCTGGATTGTGGTTTCCCCGACTCGATGAGCTGTGCGATGCCGACCGCTGAAGGGGCAAAGTCAGAATGAAGTCTGGGGGCGCGCGGAGAGCAGAGGACGTACAGAATGTGCCGAGGTACAGGACGATTGGGAATAATACCACGCGGATGTCATTCCATACGACAAAGCATCGGTATATCTGGATAGCTAGCTGTTAAACGCAGACTTTCTGAAGGGGCGCGGATGTACTAACAAGAAGGCCGTCGCTCAGCAGGTTGAGCGCAATGGACGCGGCGGTGCCGAACGTCTGGTACCACACCGCGGCGAAGTCGTTGAGGTACGCGTCCTGTCCGCCGGGGTAGTCCTTGTTCACGATCCACATTTCCTCGCCGAACACGGCCTCGGTGGCGACGAAGACGGTGTTCAGACAGAGGAGCGCGGTGCTGAAGAACAGGAAGAACGCGTTCGACCTGCTCGAGCGCGTTTGTCTCGTCTTCTTGCCGAACATCGCGCGCACCGTCATAGAGTACAACACGAGCTCCACCCCTGAGAATACCGAAAAACGCGCGTCAGCTCACAGTTCAGTTTGGCGGAAGCGGGATACGGATAGACAAACCATAAAGGATGGCGTTGAAGTTGTTTCCGATGTAGAATGCGTTCTGGAACGTGGCCATAGACTCAGACATGGTGGGCGAAGGCAAGGAGCGGGATGAGTGGACGCCTGGTTGCTCTACTCATGGGGCTGCAGGACGTCTACATCCTATTTATGCGTGGCGCTGGCGTGCAATTTCATCAGTACTTCCATGTCTGCGGCGCGCCGAAGTATACCCCATGTGCACACCGAGGCTTCCAATTCTTGCCTTCGCGGATGGATGTGCGAGTCTTTACCCGAGCTCAGACGGATATCGGCGAACATATATAGGGCCGTCGCGCAAGCTGGATATCCGCTTCCCTGCGCACTTGAGACCCCCCGGGTTGCGGGCCGTGGCTTTGCTCATAAGTGGGATGCTTGTACGAGTACCGTACCCGGATATGTCAGCCGCATAATGAGGTTACAGCAGCCGGGAGACAGCTTACGTATCCTCAGATCACGTCGGAGGTAGATCTGCTTCTTCGGACGATATGTTCCCATGCGTCCACAGTGCGGAATTGAACCTACAATCTATATCGAGTAGATCGCACACAGCGGTCATAGGGATAACCGTCTCGGGATAGCTTGGTGTAGGGGTGGTGTGCTCTCTTCCATCTTCAGGCCGGGTATCGTCATGATTCTGAAATTGGAGAACGATGGGGTATATCCGGCTGCCGATGAGCGCGTATGGATACCATGATATCCTGTCAAGTATGGCGTATCACTGTCAGTCCTTGAACGATCGATACATAACAGCGCTCAAAGCCACACATTACCGCCCGGACACATGGTCGTGTCCATGCCAAATTGCCAATGGGTGTAGGTGACAACGGATCGCATACTCCGTCCAGTAGACACAATAGCAGAACCATCGCGTGCGCTGGAAAGTTTGAAATGTACATGGGAGAAATAAACCCGAACCTGAGCGCACGTGGGTTGAAGGAGGCCTTAAGAAATTGCGTGCGTTCCTCCAAGGGTCTATCCTGACCAAGCTTGATGTGGGGGTATTCAGAAAGAGGCAGTGGTCTTTGTTTCCACAGAGGACTTGAATTCGTGCATTTAGAGCATGGGTCGAGATTAGTTGGCGACTCCCGAGAGTACACACCAGCAATGTTATAACGGCCCTAGTTCGGATCTAAGGCTGCAAACCGACGAGATTATACGGCGGTAGTGTCCAAGTAAGGGTGTATCTGTTAGGATAGAGTCAGAAGAAGGTCCCCAGGAAAAGGCCTATAGAGCTATAGGCATAGGGAACAGATAGTCGATGGTGGTGGCCAAAAGAGTGAAGAGGTAGAGGTCCTGCGGAGTTTTAATCCGTTTGTTACTGTACTCACGCGCGTTCTGCTCCCATTATAAATTGGCAGAGAAATGTATCTACCTTCAAATAATCTCCGTGTCTACTCCCCGTGAGCATAAGGCATAATTTCGGCCACTGTAATGAATAATGCGGGAAGCAGCGACGAAGGGGATCATGGCCGCTCAGTCGCAAAATCGAACTCCGACGTTCCCACGGGGTCACGTCTCCCCATTGGCCAGCCACGATCCTCCTCCTGACTCTCCTCCCTCTCCTGCGGAAGCATGAGTGTCTTCTGCTTGTGAACGTCAGACTAGCTTACGAGTCTATAGGTAAGCCACGAGCGGTAAAACAATACCCATATCATAGTTACGGCAGGACCCCTGACAATCCTCCCAGATGTGTTACATAAACTCCGGACAAAAATGGAGCCCTCGGGAGGCAGATGCTTTCCACCCAGAAGGCGCTCGCGATGTGCGAGGAGTTATACCAGCTCGGGCCACTAGGTCGTTGAGAACGGCGTTTCGCATCGAATTGAGCGAAAGTTTGATTTTTGACGCCCCTTCAAGACGCGGTCCTGGACCAAAACGAGTCTCTTGAGCTCAGCAGCTATACCTTGCATACGGCGGGACCACAACTGCCTCCGAGGCCCCAAATCCGGCGTGGACCCAAACGCGACATTTTGTAGCCCGCTTGGGAGGATTGCCAGGGGTCCCCTTCAAGTTACGGCAGCTCCCAAGCGGGAGAAGCATGGCCAAGCGTCCCGGCGCAGCTATATAGCGCAGGCCCGCTCCTCGATTGGCGACCGCGACAATGTCGACAGTACTCGCAAAGCCGTACTGCGATAAGGACGTCTCGGAGGCCTCAGAAACTGCCTCCACCAAGAGTGCCCTTCGGGCCGAGAGCACCATCCAGCCAGTGGGCGCGCCGGTGTCCGAGCAGAAGGATACCTTCTGGCGCCAGCCAAAGCACAACCTGGACACCGTCGCGACGCAGCCCTCTGTCTTCGATGACCCCGTGACGCTCGAGCAGTATCGCCCGCCGCAGACCTGGGAGAACGTGCACCGCTTCGACCCTTCTGCGCGTTGGACATGGCGAGAGGAATACGTGAGTTATGTTCAAGTTGATCTAGCACGCAGCTGATAACCGCCCTAGCGTGTTGTGCGAAGGATCGACTGGCTAATTATGGTCTGGGCCTTTATTATGTTCTTCGCCTTGGACCTCGACCGGTCGAACATCGCGCAAGCCAACACCGACAACTTTCTGAACGACCTTGGGCTGACGACGGACGACTTCAACCTGGGGAACACGCTGTTCAAGGTTCGCATTTGACTAAGCAATGCCAACTTGTACCCTTGGCTTATCTTGGCACTTGCTGCAGTTGTGCTTCCTGATTGCGGAGCTTCCTTCGCAACTCATCTCGAAGCGTGTGGGCCCCGATGTCTGGGTCCCGACCCAGGTGAGTGTCCTAATATGAGCCGTGTGCACACGCGTTTACGCGGAGTAGATGGTGCTGTGGAGCTTCGTTTCTCTTGGCCAATTCTGGCTTACCGGAAGGGGTTCCTTCCTGGCTACTAGGTATGCGACACGTGTCCCCGGACGTTTTGAACGACAAATGCTTACAGCACTCACTGGTAACATAGGTGCTTGCTCGGATTCATGCAAGGAGGGTTCATCCCAGACGTGATCTTGTACCTTTCGTATTTTTACACCAAGAAAGAGCGTGAGTTATGTTCTCAGGCTGAGTCCAACAAGACTCTGAAACGCCCTCCCGTAGTTCCCACTCGACTGGCGTGGTTCTGGGCCTCCAACTATGTCGCCGAAATCGTGGGCGCGTTCATCGCGACGGGCCTCCTCAAGCTCCGAGGCGTCAATGGGAAGGCTGGATGGCGGTACCTCTTCCTAATCGAGGGCGGCCTTACTCTAGCTATCGGTATTGTGTCTTTCTTCATGATGCCGCCAAGCCCTACCCAGACAAAGTCGTGGGTTCGTCCAAAGGGATGGTTCACTGAACGGTTCGCAGACCTTCATTCTCTCCATTCTCTCCTTACGCTCGTACTTATATATGTTGTCGACTTTTCCAGTGAGGAGACCATCATCGTGAACCGTGTGCTGCGAGATGACCCATCCAAGTCGAACATGCACAACCGCCAGGGTCTTTCCGTCCGCATGATCTGGGATGTCCTGAAGGATTGGCGCATATGGCCCATCTACTTGATGGGCCTCCTCTTCCTGGGTATGCTGCCGTCCAGGTTTTGCCTTCATCGCACAGTCACTCATACTCCGCTACAGTCCCAGTCACGCCTCCGCAAAACTACCTCACACTGACGCTCCGGAATCTCGGCTATACGACCACGCAGTCCAACCTGCTCAGCATTCCCTCCAAGTTCCTCGGGCTGGTTCTCCTCCTCATATGGTGCTACATCAGCGAAATGCTCGACAGCCGCATCGTTCCGCTCGTCGCCCTTCAAATTTACGCCCTGCCCTTGCTCATCGCACTGTACACGTTCACCGCGGAGACATCCCCATGGGTGTACTTCGCCATCGTCACGCTTATCACCGGTTACCCGTACGTGCATCCTGTGCAGGTTGCTTGGGCGTCGACGAATTCGGCCGGCGTGGGTACGCGGACCGTGTCGGCCTCCTTATACAACATGTTCTATCAGGCCGACGGGATTGTTTCGGTGCGTTGGCGTGGCCAGCATGCGTGCGTGTCTTAGCCCCACTGACTGGACACGGTTCTCAGGCAAACATCTATCGGGATGATGACAAGGTGAGCCCCAGCCTCTAGACGGCATGCATAGGGATCTGATGGCTGACATCTCGTTCGATGCAGCCTCTTTGTAAGTCGCCTCGCCTCGCGCCATCCCAGCCGTTCTCGTTGCATTTCGTGCTGACGTCTTTTACCGTAGACAAGCATGGAAACCGCGCGCTCATCGCCGTTTGCGTGCTTAACTTGTTCCTCTATTTTATCATCTACTTGTTCTACAAGGGTGTCAACAAGCGCAGGGACCGGATATGGAACTCCTGGACGGCGAAGGTGAGTGCTTTGCACTGCGAACCTGTCGTGGCCCACGCACTCAGTTTGATCGCGTACCGTCTTTACAGGAACAGCACGAGTACTTAGAGACGACCAAAGACCAGGTATGCCGCATCTGATTGAACGCGACGGACGCTTTCGCGATATCTTACCGTGGGTTTCGCAGGGCAACGCGCGGATGAACTTCCGTTTCGCGTACTGATCGACGTTTGTGATTATGATATCCATGACTTTATAAAATGCAGCTTAACGATCAAGACCGCCATGCTTTCGAGCAACTAGTATCTAGTTCCCCTATGGTCAGTCCGCTTTGTCAACATTGTGTAATGAGTGCAAAACTCATCAAGATCATCCCTGCAGGTAGACATCGACTCGGTCTCTTACGATCGACATCATGATCGCTTCGGCTTCGAAAAAGCTATGATTGTTCCGCATTGCGTGGAGCCTCAGGCGCCCTCATGAATCTCGATATTGGCCAGGACAGCCACACTGGCTTCTCCTAGGATCATCGCTGCACCTCGGACGCTTACGACTAGGGCAGGTCCTGGTAACTAGCTTTCAGGTCGTGGCTCAATCTCTCACGCTGGAAAGAAGGGCTAATGCGATTTATAGAGCAAAGGAGAAGCCATAAATACCCCACATGGCCTAGTCATTAAGAACCGCGAGGCTCGTTAGGCAGCTGCATCGGGCGCTTCCGCAGTTCCATTTATGTAATACTGCAGCACTACCGCAGCGCAATATGCAGGGGGAGCGAGGCTATAAGTACAGCGTGGGCAAGGTTTGAGGCTCATCCGCTCCTAGCTCTCACCATTAAACACAACTCTTTCAGCTTTTCTCTACTCAACACATCTATCTCGACCAAGACCATGAGTGGACGTCAACGTGGGGCACCGCGAGGCCGGGGACCGCGTCCAGGACAGGGTCCTGGCAGCTCAGGAAGAGGCTCGTCGCCGTCTCGAGGACGTGGCAGCCCCGTACCGCCAGGAGGCCCGGAATCCGGTTTCCCGCGCGGCAGAGGTTTCCCCAGAGGAGGCCCTCCGCAGGGCGGTGGATTCCGCGGAGCTCCCAGCGGAGGCTCGCGCGGGGGCCGCGGAGGCGGTCCCGCGCAAGTCTTTGCTGGAGGCCAACCCCTCAACCAGGACGCTCGCATTGGCGAACTCGACCGACTTGTGCAGGCCTTCAGCAAGGTCCGGCTTCAGCCAGAGATGCCTCTGCGCCCCGGCTTCGGCACGCTCGGTCGTCCGGGCGTCTTGAGGACGAACTTCTTCGCCGTGAGGCTCCCCAAAGCTGCGGTTTTCTATGAGTACGAGATCGATATCTCGCCGAAGGCTCAGGCCAAGGGCGATAGGCGCGGGCGCATCCTGGAGCTTGTTGAGCGAAGCGCCGCGTTTGCGAACTTCAGACAGCATGTCGCCCACGACCGCAGCCAGAGGCTCGTGTCCGCTCAGAAGCTACCGCAGCCGCTGAGTGTAGCCGTTCGATACCTCGAGGAGGACAACGACAACGACCCGAACGCCCTCAACTTCACGGTCGACATAAAGTATCAAAAGGACATCAACATGTCTGAGCTCAATGAGTGAGTGAATCGTTCCGTGGTTGACGACTGTGCTGAACATGTTGTGACATAGCTACATGGATGGTCGTCCCGAGCATCGCAAGATTGACACGCAGCCGTACTTATCGGCAATGAACCTCGTCGTGCAGAGCTACGCGTCAAAGCATGGAGTACGCGTCGGCAGGAACAAGTATTTCTTCCCCTCTCCCACGGAACACTACATGCTGTCGCTCGGTGTCGAGGCCCACCGCGGCTTCTTCATGTCCATTCGTCCGATGTACAAGCAGTTGATGGTGAACATCAACGTCTGCATGACGGCGTTCTACACCCCTGGCAACCTTGCACAGGCTATGATGGCGTTCCAGCAACAGAGCCAGAACGGCATGCCCCAGGCGTTCGCAAACCGGCTAAAGGTGGCGACGCGGCACCTCGGGTATACGAAGAAGAGCACCATTTTCAAGATCATGACAAGCCTGACAGCGAGGACTGCACGCTTCGACTGCGAGGAGTTCGGACGCAAGGTGACCGTTGAGGAGTTCTTTAAACTCAGTGAGTACTTCCCGGCTGCCCAACTTCCCACCTACTCATCCCAGCCTTTCAGAGCACAAGATCACGTTGCGGCATGCGGCAGACCTCCCCGTCGTCAATGTAAGCAACAACCCGAAGCGGCACGTTTACATGCCCGCCGAAATCTGCGAGATCCTGCCCGGACAGGCCTACCGCGGGAAGCTGGACCCCGACCAAACGTCGGCGATGATCCGTTTCGCGTGCAACCCACCCGAGGTCAATGGGAACGCGATCGTAAATGACGGCTTCCCAAGCCTCGGGCTCACTCCAGGCGCCGCACCCAGCACCCTCACCGCGTTTGGAGTCAGCGTCGACCCGAACATGGCCGTGGTGCCTAGCCGCGTCCTCCCTACCCCCAGCATCCGGTACCGCACCGGGAACGCGCTAGTTCCGCGCAACGCGGGGTGGAACATCATGAACGTGAAGCTGCAGGCAGGCGGCACGATCGGTACCTGGGCAGTTCTGCTCGTGCAGGACGGCGGGCGGCGAGACGAGTTCCAGGGCCCGAACGACCCGCAACTTATCGCGTTCCTCAAAACGTTCCTCGCGAAGTGCAACTCGAGCGGGATCGCGGGCGCGGACAAGCCCCCGAAGATCCTCTCCGTCACCCTCCCAAGCCCGCGTGACGATCCGAATCGCGAGCGCGCGCTCACGGCGATCCGCGACACGCTGCGGAACAACCTGAACAGCAAGGCGAAGCCCAGTTTCGTGCTTGTGCTGCTCTCGGGCGTCGACAAGTACATCTACCCGGGGATCAAGAAGCTGGGGGACATCGACATGGGCCTGCAGACGATCCACATGCTCCTCGGGAAGGCGCGCGATTCGCGGCCGAACAAGCAGGACCAGTACTTCTCGAACGTCATCTTGAAGGTAAATGTGAAGCTTGGGGGCATGAACCACCTGCTGGACGACGGCTCCATGCGGTGGCTGCGGGAGAAGAACACGATGATCATGGGCATCGACGTAACGCACCCCAGCCCGAACAGCCTCCCCGGCTCGCCCAGCATCGCTGCAGTCGTCGCGAGTGTCGACGACAACTTCGTCCAGTTCCCCGCCAGCCTGTCTCTCCAGAAGCCGGACTGGAATAAGGATAGCAAGGAGGTACGACGGTTACTGACGGGATCGCAGATTGACTATAGAGCTAACCGTATATCCAGATGGTCGAGAAGTTGACGGCGATGACCATCGAGCGCCTTGAGGTATACAGGAAGAAGAACACACGCTTGCCCGACCGAGTGTTCGTCTACCGCGACGGCGTCTCGGAGGTAAGTATTGTTTCATCCCACACTCAGTAAACATTCTGACACGCTGTGTTTCTCGTGTGCAGGGCCAGTATCACCTCGTACTCCGAGAGGAGCTACCGAAGATTCTGGCGGCGTTCAAACAGATCTCCCCTAAGGCGCCGTACAAGCCGACTCTCACCATCGCGATCTGTGGCAAGCGCCACCACGCGAGGTTCTGGCCTACAGCGCCGGGCGAGGCGAACATGACAAACAACGGCAACACCGTACCAGGCACAGTCGTCGACAAGGGTATCACGGATGTTTACAACTTCGACTTCTACCTGCAGGTGCGTAGTTGTGCTTTGATGGGAATAATGGAACTCGACACTCACCGCGTTAAATCTGCTCCAGGCGCATACCGGTCTGCAGGGACACGTGCGGCCGACGCACTACACCGTGGTGTACGACGAGAACCGCTACAGCGCCGACGTGTTGCAGCAGGGCACGCACACCGCGAGCTACCTGTACGCGCGCGCAACGAAGGCGGTCAGTCTCGCCCCGGCCGCGTACTACGCCGACATCGCATGCGAACGGGGCCGCGACTACTTGAACGTGCTGCTGAACCTCACCGACAATAGCTCCGTCGTGGGTGGAGCGAGTACTGCGGACAGGGAGGCCGAGAAGGAGCGCGTTTACGAGAGTGCGGTCAAGCTGTGGGGGCGCGGTATCCATCCGGACCTGAAAGATTGCATGTTCTATATCTAAAGAAACCGCTGCTTGCTTTGCTCTTGTTCTAGGACAGCTACTTTTTTCCTTGATGTTCGTTTTGAATGTACTAGTACTAAGACCATTTCCCACCATGTAAAGTGTTTGCGAACGACGGCATCCTGTATATTTGTATCTTGACTACATGTCATTACCCTCGCAGCTCTTTGGACCGTATACAGTGTATTCCTGTTATGAGTTGTATATTTGGCACCTAGTACGTCAGCCTATTGCACTGATTCTTTGCCAATTTGTTGCCTTGAATACCCTTCCTCCTGCGCGAAGGCCGGCGTTGTAGTAGCCGCAGTGGGACAAGTGGTAAGCGCTAGGGGCGGCCTCAGATGCCTGAGTACTCACCCCGAAAAACCTCGCCTCCAGCTCGGCTTGCGTTGCAAAATCATAACATAACATAAAATCACTTCTCACTGCCGTCCTGAATGAATTGTCTATCCTTGTTGTAACCCAGTGTGCTTTATGTTCCCAAATGTAGGTCAAACGCCGGTGCGAAGCTTTGGGCGCCAAGTTCGGCCACGGCCGAAAGCCTACCAAACTAGGCGACTCTCAACCACGTTGAAGTTTTGAACCACCAGCGACCACTACGCGAGTTGTAGCACCCTCTACGGCACGAGCTCCCTAGGAACATCGGCCTAAGATGGCCTCAAGATACAAAAAGAGAAAGCACCAGCAATTTGAAGAAGAGGCCTACGATAGCCCCACTAATCAACGAGACCTAGTTTCACTTCACATCCAAGCCCACGAAGCCGACCTCGTGCGAGGGCCCCAGGCTGCTACTGCTACTCGTTCGCTGGAAGTACTGCTGCGAAAAGAAGACGGGGCCCTGGTCCTGGTCCCAGGAGACGGGCTGATAAAATGGAATGGCGGCGGGAATGTCGCTTTCGCAGACACCTCAGCGGAAGACCATCTACAACTTGGACGTGCTTCCGAGCTCAAAGAAGAGAGCAGAGAAGATGGCGTCTGGATCGACAGGTAGGCCTTGTATTCATGACTTGCGATTTGTAACGCTGGGCATCTGCCCGAGTATTCGTTTGTGGGTCAAGACGTAGAGTATGAGCGAAGAAGGCATGCATCGTACGACATCTCTTATTCTTTTGCACATGTTTCTAAGAAACGATATCTGATATGTCACGATAGGTATGACGCACGATTGCTCCTCGATGCCCTGCCGGATGTTCCGCTGCCTACCGCTACGTCCGTAGAGGAACCCAGCTCGCCAGGCGGCTGGTCCGACCTCCCATCGGATGCAGAGGATACGTTCTTCTTCTCCTCGCAAGAAGTGGAGGACTATCGACGCGAGAAGCGACGACGCATTATCAGCGAGGATCGCCAGGCGCGACTTCGAGCAATCCGCTCCGAAGTTGGGGACGAAGAAAAGGTTGACGCGGATCCTCGTGAAGAATGGGGCGGCAGCGACGAAGAGGTGCTTTTCATGCCCCGCTCTATCAATCGATTCTCCTTGCTCACTTTGCCTATCGCCATAGCCGGATGATACCCAACTCGAGCTCATGCGTCGCACGGCCGCGCACGTCCATACTTCACCAAACCCGGCGCAACTCGAAATGCGCATCCTTGCGAATCATGGCGCTGATCCGCGCTTTGCATTCCTGCGCGGACGATGGTCGCGAGCGTGGCGCTTAACCAAGAGTAAGCTACGGCTCGAGCTTGAAGCAAAAAAGACGAAAGACAAAGGCGCAGCGCTGTCGGGCGGGGCTGGCATAGGCGGCCTATCCGGGTATGGTGACAGCGACGACGACGACGACGGCAGCGCAGAAGAAGGCGATGGCGGAGACGACAAGCTGGCAAACGAACCCGCCGAAGAGGGGAAGAAGGATATTGCTGAGGACATGGAGGCGAACGCGTCCGATGACGCGCTGAAGGCGGCCAGACGGGAAAGAGCACGAGAATGGGCTGAGAAACGGCGCGCGGCGAAGGAAGCTGCAGATAGATCTCAAGAGAACTCGTTATAAGTGGCCCGCCGTCGCTGTAAGCGTGCAGTCCCAACGCCGTCTACGTCTGCTCACGCAAGTCTCCCCTTTACAGTCTACCGATATAATACAGCGCATGTCAAGCATCTTTCTCGCCCCCTATTCCTTGCTCGCGTTGCGTGCCATGCAGTAAAACGTCCACTCTGTCCACGGCGATTCAAAATTCTGCCGGCCGCGCTCCTTGAATCCAAGTTTCTCGTACACCGCGACCTTTCAAATCATAAGGTGAGTTGAACATAAATGCGTCACCGCCTCATATCCACGCACGTTGCTCTCAGTGCCAGTGAGCAGCGCCAAGGTGGCCCCCGTCGCCTTCGCCTGTACACGAGTTCCGGTCAGTGTCAGCGTCGCGTTCGTACACAATGACCATCCCGCACCTTCTCAAACGTCAAGTCGAACAGAGCGCGACAAACGCCCTTGCGTTGGTAGTCCTCTCGGACCATTGCGAACCAGCAAAAGTAGCAGTCGAGCTCAGCCTGCGTGGACAAAATCTCTCGTCAGATCGTGCGCCTTGCCACAGTCGTTTCCTTACGTTCTCCATCTCAAGCGACTCCTTGAGGAACTTCGGCACCGCTTGGCCGTTCTACATTCCCCAACGCGCGTCAGTGCGCACATGGATGCAGGCTCCGGGCGCTGGCGTACTGACCACCCGCATCTGAAACGCGCGCCCCTCCTCGTCCACATGGCCCAAAAACTCGTTGAACCCCATCTCGAGCTGCTCAGGCCTGCAATGCCCGAGCCGTCAGCGCGCCGACTACCCCGAGCGCTGGAGATCACGACATACGTGTCAAAGGCCGAGCGGCCTGGGGACGCCCAAATGGTGAAGCCGACCAGCTCGCCCTGCGCGTCCTTCGCGGTGTACAGTTCCCCCGAGACGAGCGCGAGGGGCCGGATGACCGCGCGCGCCATTAGCGGCGCTAGGTCCTGCCGCCCTGAGACCGCGGCCACGAAGGTTGGCTCTGAAAAGCACCGTCAGTGGGGTATTCGTTTTGACTGTAAAGTTGAGATGCACATACCATCCTTGCTGAGGTGTATGTATAGTTCTGCGGCTGCCTCGAGCGTCTTATCTGTGGGATCGCGAACATTACTGGCGCGTCGCCATTGAGTGAAACTGAGCGCAAGCAACGTTTCGTACCATCAGGATTCTTTTCATACTGGACAGTCACGTTCTCTGGGAGGGATGGCATCCTGACGAGGCCCTGTCTGGTTCACTGAGCGCTCGCCCTATCAACAGGAGATGTGAATCAGTGGGTACGGGCGCGCGATGGCAAACTACGACCGGGCTCTACTTAAGCACTCTCTTAAGGGGACGCGCACATCAGCAGACGTCGTGATAGAAGACCGCAGGCGGTGCCCGTGTGTATGTCCCCCGGTCTGTCAGATGGAGTGTCGAGAGGTTCTCAGGATCGATGCAAGGATCTTTCCGAGACTATCTGTGACCGGAAATCCGGCTTCTTTTCCTTGACCTTGAGGGAGGAACTGTCGCCACAGTGCACTCACAATCGAGTACACTAGCTTATCCTGAGCAAATGCGACACAGTTGTTCATATCAGTTACACTCGAGTTAAAACCGAGTTACACCTCGCTGAGCCAGACATCATTTCGACGCCTTAACCAGGGAAAAGAACGCCCAAATACAATCTGACCCATGACATCCTGAACAATCGTCAATTCTGTATGCCAGAGCAAGCAGCAGTTAGTCGTGAATAACCCACAAGACCGTACCTGCGACATGCAACGCTTACCTCGCTTCTTCCCCACTACAGCACCTCGGTACGCGTGGCAATTAGAGCCAGGTAGCGTCTTCATATGGGCCCACTGCAGCATCTGTACACGACGAGGAAATTCAGCGACAAATTTCCGAGGTCTTCCATAGATATGCCCCTGAGTACCTGCTACAACTGCAGCACCTTGCTCTGCGGGTAGCGCGCGTGCGCTCACCGCAGCGAATCCGGCAATGAGGGCGAAGAGGACCTTCCAGTTGACAGCGGATGAAAGGCGCATAGTTTCTTGCGATGTGGTAGATGCGATGGATGCCACAGATGATGGGAAGCTCCAAGTCCTGGATGGCTGAAGAAGGCGTAGGTCGCAGACGGAGCCTGGCGTGCTTCCACACCGCGCCAAGCTGCTTGCTCGTGCTCTTCTTATCCTACTCTGGGGGTCCGCCAAATCGTCTTGAGATGCTGCATAACACCCGAGGGCAGCAACGCTTATGCAGCCTGACCATGGTCGTGCACTAGGTCTTGGAGGAGTATAGGTCTTCCTGAGTCTAAGCAATGCTTCTCCCGCATCACCCAAGCCAGATCACCCTAACTGCGGTCGGGCCTCCGCAGCGTGCAGGTGAGGAAGCTCGAGGGCGGCGTCTTGGCTTAGCTTGGGAGGTACGAACTTGCGATAGCCGCGGACTTGCGAATGTCGGGGGAGCTGCTGGACCTGGATGACTCGTCATACTCAGAGCTGCAGCGTCCTGCTACAATGACGGTCACTGTGGTGCTTACGATATTGGTTGAGCTAAGACGCGCGTGTGCTGGTGCATGTCTGACTCTAGCAGCATGATGTTGCCCTGTACATTGAGTCCGAGATGATGGATCAGAACGATGAAGTTAGCCGGCGGGATATCTAGCACCTGTAGTATCGCCGTCAGAAACAGAAGTATACGCATCGGCGATGCGCTGCGGAAGCAAAGAACAAACTAACGCACCATCGGGCGAATGGTAGTGACCCGCGGCGAACTCCGAGGATGACCCTGCGCGTTAACCGCGGCCGTCAATTCGGGCAGAAAATCCGAGGTACTGATCCCCACTCCGATGTCGTAAACTATCCTCTGCATTTCGACCTGAACGAGGTGATTCCGGCAGGACGTACGGCAAGGCACGGAGAAGAGCTTCCAGGCTACCTCTCGAGCACCTCCGCAGCGCGCAGCGTTCGAAGACCGTACCCCGAAGAAGAGTCGGAGACGGATGCGTCGACCTGTGTGAATACCGTGGCTGACGCAGACGCGGACCCATGTCATCCATATTTGCACGTCTGTAACTTGGCAAGCATTCTCGCCCGACCCAAACGGCGAGCCTACCCCTGCAATATAATCAGCAAGATTGTCCGTGAGTATGAGAGGTCGGAGAGAAGCATTCACGCACCGGTGGCCCTTCCGCAGATCCCCCCTTCGAATGTGCGTCTGGGCGCCATCGGTAGGCACAGTCCAATAAAAGCAGGTACGCACCCACGCGCTGGGAATTCGAATCCATGCATGACGGAGCGGAAGTTTGAAGGAAGCACATGTCATGGGGGCAATAGCGGCAGAGTTCAACGCGTTCCTCCACGCTCGCGCCGCTCAGGATGGTGCCGCAGGCCTGGAAGCGGTCATGGATGTCTCATGCGCGCGCCTCGACGGGGCCCACGTTCGACGTCCAGGGCGAGGTGCCGAAAGCGTGTCTCGCGGAGAGCCAAGGTGCGTCGTGAACTGTATTACAAGGTCCGGTATGGCATCGAACCTGAGGTATCCTAGTGGTACACAACAAACGGTCAGTCGTACAAGGGTCGTGGCCAGAGCGACCTAGCCCATCTATGCTCCCAGAAAAGTCCTTGCTTTTTAGAAAACACCGCGCGCCCCTTACTTCAGCCCGCTAGACCTTGTCCACGGAGAGGTCGCGCTGGGACGAGCTCGTGTGGCTGAGCGCGTGCAGGTTGATCGCGGTACCCCCAGGGCCCTCCGCAGCGGTCGTGCCCGTAAATCCGGAAGTGAGCATCGAGCTGTCCCCGGCGGGCGTGTTAAAGTGCATCGACGTGCGCGTGCGTGTCGCGGCGTCGCGCGACCACGCGCGGCCCATCAGTACGCGTAGCACGATCATCTGCGGGGAGATGCACTGCGCGCCGCGCGTCAGCGGACTGAGGGGAAGCGCGAGCGAGAACGAAAGGGGGCACGCACCGTGAACATCACGTAGATGGAGAGGAAGAGGATGGAGGTCGGACTTTGAAGCCCGAGCGAGACCACGTACGCAATCCCGAAAAGAGTGTATGGGAGCGCGCTCTCGACGATTAGCGCGACTGCGCCCGTGTAAGTCTGCATGACGTCCGCGCCGAGGACCCCGCGCATGTTCCGCGAAAGCATAAGGATGCGCACGCAGATGAGCGTCGAGCAAGTCACGTTCAGCCCGATCACGACCGACGAGTACGAGAGCGCGATTTGCTGTGCCTCGCCGAGGAAGAAGTCCGCGTTGGGCGTGCCAGAGACATAGCAGGTGAGGATGCCCAGCGCCGCGGTCCCGAGGTAGAGAACGAAGGGGAATGCGATGACGCGCAAGTCTCCCCATACGACGTAGCATCTGTAGAGCTGCAGAGGCGGGGGACGCGTCTAAAACCGTCGATAGGGCAGGAGGTTGAGGGGACGCACCAGAAGACCGTCGCTCATGAGGTTGAGCACGATGGATGACGCGCTACCCAGCGTTTGGTACCATACAGCTGCGTTGTCTGCCAGGTACTGTGCGGAGCCGCCGGCGTAGTCGGCATGCACAATCCACATCTCCTCTCCGAAGACGGCTTGTACCGCGACATAGATGGTGATCATGACCAGGAGCGCTGTGCTGAAGTACAGGAAGGGGCGGCGGTCGACATTGGTCTTGTCCTTGCTTGAGAGGATGAGGCGGACACTCGCGAAGTACAGCACGAGCTCCACGCCTGCCAGTGAGACGGGGTGTAAATGTTAGCAGTTCGAGAAAGGCCTACTAGTAGCCATGCTGCGTACCGTAGAGGATGGCGTTGAAGTTGTTTCCGACATAGTAGCAGTTTTGAAAGACGGCGTTGTAATCCGCCATCGAGCAGCGTCCAGCACAGCGGCGGAGGTTGGAGGGAGCAGGCAAGTGCGGACGGAGGCCGTGGGTTCCGTCGCTGCGAAGAGGCCGTCGTTTTGACGCGGGCCGCCAATCGAGTGCGAGGGGGCTTATCACTGATCTAGTCGCCGGCTAGATCTCTAATGAGGACATTACGCTCCCATGTACATACCCCGGCCGCGTTCCCTCCGGCTGTCTTCTCACAGCCTGTCGCGGGCTTTCAGACCGGGCATGTGCTGCCTCCACGTACCTTTCTGCGTCGTATTCTATGGGGTCACTGGACCGAGAAGACAGCGGAGGCCGATGTCCTCTCAAACAGGTACAGGGAAGACCTCCGAGTCGTCTCGGACGCCGAAGTGAGCAAGAATATCCAGGAGGTACCTGTATGAGTCCGACACCGGTCGGCAAGCCAAGATTAGCAGCGATGAGGAAACTTTGTATATGAATGTACGTACCTTATTGCTAGGTACTATGCAGAATACTGCCTCGTGGTGGTACACAGTTTCATTCGTGCATGCGAGGAAGGTCGGTTTGAGGAGGTCTGACCGTCTCCCAACCTCAGGTACCCCTTCCCAGGGTGTGGGACCAACGAGGCTGTCAGGAGTGCTGACGGCATACTTGCAAGTTGCTCAGAGCCGCTGCGCAGTGCAGCCGATGAGCACACGCTAGCGATGACAGCTCGTCGTCCATTCAGAACCGACGAGTGACCAAGGTGCGGGAATGCTAGTGAGCAAACGCAATGCAGGTTATTCCTGCCCTGCAATAGCTGACAGAGTGGTCCGCCATGCCAGTAGTGGGAGGTGTACCCACTTGTCCGGGTGCCCATGGCGCTTGCCTAGATCGCAAGGAGGTCAAGCGCAAATGAAAGGGGGCAGATGGGAGTTGTGGGCGTACAACGATCCTTCGCACTAGTCGATCCCAAAATCCCGATATTGTCGATCGTAAGAGATCCGAGGCGATCCGCTTCATTATCGACGCGCGCGTTCCTTTGAGCGCCTACGCGAGGGGCGTGACCGCGTACCGAACGCGTCAGATGGCGCTGGTCTCTTCCTTTGCGACTGCAGGTGCGGCCTTGGGGCCTAATCCCTTGAGGGAACGTCCAGCGAGATCCCGTGAGGTAGGGAGTGTATGAATTTGATTGCCTGTCTGAAGAGACGCTGTAGGTTTGTGCGCAATAGCAGAGGGTAGCCAGACGTCATGGTATATTAGCACTGCTGGCAGTGTGACTGCGCGAGAAAGGATCAGCTCATGGGGCAAAAGTGACAGTAATTGCCAGGTGCACTTCACGGTAAAAGGGAGACCGAAAGATGCGCAAGCGATGTGTCTGACCGCGATGAAATGAGACGAGGACGTCGGTGGGGAAGCACTCGGTGTGAGCTAGGTTTGCAAGTTGGGGGGAAAGAGACGTCGACTCGAATTCTTCCAATTGGCAGCGGGATCTCGCCTCTATATAGTACTGGGTCGCGAAGTGTTCGAAGTCGATCCCGATCCCCCCTTCATTCTATGTTCAAGGCATGTCTGATCAAGTCCTGATCGAGATAGAAGAGTGGGGCGTTGTGACAGAAGAAGCAAGCAAACCAGTGAGACATCGTGTGGCGCGTCGATCTCGAAGCTATCTCGAAGGCCGTTGCCGGTGCATACTTGTCGCCCCGCCCGACGCGTCTTCAATTTATATATATCTGTATCCCCAGAACGCTAATCCATTGGGCGATCTGTGCACCTTTGATGCGATAGGCCTAATGCGGAGGGGAATGGTGATTCAACCTGTACATCGGGATCAGTTTGTGTCGTCTTCCAAGAGCGAGACTCCAGGGGGTGCCATCGCGAGTGTTCTATCGAGTGAAGGGAAACATCACAGAGCTGGAGCGTTCAGAATTCTGAGAGTATCACAATGTGAAGGAGGTCGCGACATCTGGAAGATCTGACATACGTCACCGATCCCTCGACGCGTCTTGTGTTTGACACGCTTCGTAAGTGCTCGTGATCGCGTCTTAAGCTTGCCGAGGCCGAACTTCGACTCTTTGTGGTCATGAAGAAGCTGGTACTAACTGAACTGATAGCAGATACTAGTCCACCGCTTCACGCAAGTATACTTGCCAGTGCTTACATTTCTCTGCAGCTAGCACCTAAGACGCATTCGAGACGTCGCATACTACCCGAAACCACCCTGCGACTACAAGGGCTAAATAACAAATATCGTACACATACAATCACATAAACATGACATATTACACTGCGCGCGGTGTTCACGGAAGTGCCGTTCAAGCCAGACGTGTATCCTTCGCCAAGCACCAGAACTCCCACTCGCCCCAAGGCGCAGACACTTTCGTATGTCCCTTGTTCGTGAAGCCCGCCCGCTCCGCGAGCGCGGTCTGCCACCACTCTCGAGTCAGCTGGCGAGAGTAGAACAGTGCTCGTCGCACGTACGTTGGTGGTGTTGGAGGTCAAGAAGCCCATCACCGCCCTCTGCGCGGTCGCCTTCTCCGTGACAACCTCAAGCATCGCGCGGAACACGCCCTGTCGCTGGTGTTCGGGTTTCACCGCCGCGAACCAGCACCAGTAGCTCGCTTTCTCGGCCTGCACGAAGACGCGTGCACTGGTCAGCATACTCTTCCTGCACTTCGCTGTAGGCGCAGAGAGGGAACACATACAGAGGGAATCCCGAGCGCGCCGTCGATGAACTTTGGCATATCCTCGTTAACCTAAAACCCGATTCACAAGTATCAGCACTCCGACTCTTTGGGCCTAGTATGCGATCGGCTGGACACTAACCGTCTTCATGTACGGCCCATGCGCCTCTGCGTCCAGCCGTCCTTGCAAAAACTGCGTTAGGCCCATCTCCGCCTGCTCTTCCCTGCATAAATTCGCGCATCAGCACTAGTCTACCCAGTTATGAGCAAGATACGAACGTGTCAAAGGTGGACCGCCCCGGGGGCACCCACGCGCTGAACCCGACGAGCGCTCCATCCGCGTCCGTCGCCGCATACAGCTCTCCGCACACGCGCGCGATCGGCGTGAGCACCGCGAGGATGATCTCGGGCGCGTGCTCGAGGTGGCCCGCGGTCGCACCCACCAGCGTCGGGTCTGCGTCGAGTTGAAGGGGTCAGAGGCTAGGATGGGAAGGTAAGAGGTGGGGACGTACCGCCTTGAAGCGTGTCGACGTAGATCTGCGCGGCGGCCTTCAGGAGGTCATCTGCATGGGGCCAGACGACCCGGACATGAGCGCCTCAACGAAATAGAGAGGGCTGGAGAGCAGGCATGGTGACTGACCACTTGGAGACGTGACCTGCTGGATCCTGATGTTGGCCGGTGCCATGGAAGATATGGAAGAGGAAGTGTAGCGACCGGTCTCTGCGTGGATCCGAGTGACAACTTGAGCGATAGAGACACTCGCGCCGCTCTATGTATACCCTCACGTCCCAGCGCAGTCGTCGCTGTCAGTATGCGGCGACTTCGGTTACGATGGGAAGGGAAGATGATGTAGCTCCGGAGACACGAGGTCCCGGGTGGATTGTACCTGTAGAGAGGGCACCAGGCCAGTTAGGACTGCGTACTGAGTGCGCGGCGCTGAGCTTCCATGTCCCATTAGACAGATGGGGATGCACATACGTGCGCGCGAGTCGCAGATAGGATCGAGTAAAGCCCACTCTTCATCACCACGAGACCAGGACACGAGGGCGAGTGGATATCAAGAAGCCGCGCAGACGCAGCGCAATGGAAAGGCGTTCCATGCAAACGTCTCGTCTGCCTTCGCGATCCGCGGGGATCCCGCGAACGTCCAACACTGCAGCGAAGTAGAAGAAGCAAGGCACAGGAGTCAAACGCCAAGAGCCCTGGACCTTGCGCATCACAGCCAGAAGCTCGCAAAGGCAATAAACGGCTTTTCTGTGACCTGCAAGATCGCATCAAGCACGACCAATACGGAGTCTTTATATCTGGAAGCATTAAGCAGCACTAACTTAAAGGTGGGTGAGCACCGTCTATATATGTACAGCGCACCTCCACCGACACTCTAAAGGGCCATAGGGCGTCTTCATCCCCCCAGCTGCTTCTCCTTGATGAAGAACGACACCACGACAGTGATCGCTGAGAGCGCGACCGTGAACCAGAATGCGGCCTGCAGCCCGTCCTCGTACGCACGGATAACCTTCTCGCGCACCGCGGGCTCGAGCTGCTCCAAATACTCCAGCGACTCGCGCACCCGCCTGACGATCTGCGCCCGTGCCCTTTCTCAGCATCTCGAGCGGAATGAAGCGGAGACAGTAGACAGAGGGAGACGCACCTCGTCGACGTTCCCGCCGGAGAGACGTGCACGGAGGCTCTTGCGCAGGAAGTCCTGGGTGAGCGTCGTCCCGACCGAGAGGCCGATAACGGAGCCGAGCGAGCGGAAGAGGTAGGAGACTGCGGTCGCGATCGCCTGGTCTTCGGGTCCTGCGTTCGCGATGAGCGAGACGAGCGTGCTCGTGATGCCTGAGCCTGTGTGTGAAGGGTATACCGTGAGCAACGTGAGAACGTGCTGGAGGTGCACAAGAACGTACCGTAGCCGATGTTATTTGAGGCGGACCCTGTACTAGAAGATCAATCCAAGAACAAGGGATAACGCGACGAGTGCGCGTACCGATGATGAGCCCGAGGAGGGAGTACCTCGCCGCTCCCGTCACGAGCGCGACGGTGGTGTTCCCGATCAGCATGAGCGTGAACACCGCAATTGTGAGCACATAGTACTGTCCCGTGCTCTGCATGATGAGACCCGTCGCCAGACTGCCCGCCACACCCCCAAAGATCGTCGGGAGTAAGATGAGCCCGACATCCGACGCGCTCGCGCCGCGCACGGCCTGCAGGTACAGCGAAATATGAAAGACGAGCGTGATCGCGGCCGCACTCGAGAAGAGGTTGCATAGGTAGGACGCGAGCAGCGCGCGGTTCGCGATGATGCGCTTGGGGGCGAACGGCTCGCGTGCCCAGCGCAGCTCGACGGCCGCGAACGCGAGAATGAAGATGGCAGAGGCAGCGAGCGCCGCGGCGGTGAACCGATCGGCCCACGCAACGTTACCTCCGCGGTCGAGCCCGAGTAGGAGGGTAAAGACGGAGAGGACGAGCATGGCGGCGCCCGCAAAGTCGATGCGCGCGAGCTTCTCCCGGACGTGCCCGGTGGAGGAGCGAGGGAGCTGCAAGCCGAACGCAACCGAGAGGATCGCGAGAGTGGTCATGGGGACTTGGATGAGGAATGCCCTGTAGAATATTTGTGAAGGGAGACGACATGAGTAAGTGTAGAAGCACTGACCATCTCCAGCCAATGCTGTCGGCCAAGAAGCCGCCAAGAGGGGCACCTGTGGCCTGGCCCGCTGCAAATGCGATGTTCATGAAACCTAGGCAAGATCGTACGTTAGTCTCAGAGGGAAAGCCTTACCACTTGCAACGCCCTTCCGGCCCACCTTGCAGTGTCCCTCGCTGCCGCAATGGCGCGATATCGGACATTACTATGGAAGCGACGCTGGAACATATGTACACGGCGTCAGCATCATCGAGGCGAAATTATGGCGCTTGGGACTTACGTCGTCATACCGCCTCCGCCAATTCCTGCAAGTGCGCGAGCTGCGATAAGCTCGGTCATATTCCGCGCTAGGCCACAGAATAGACATCCGAGGGCGAAAATTGTATACGCGAAGATGAGACAGGCCTTTCTCCCGAAGATGTCGCTGAGCTATATCAAATTCAGTGAGCCTTGAAGCTTCGCTTGCGTGAGAACGTTATGCCCCCTACCTTGCCATAGAGGGGCCTGTAAAACAATGTCTTGATGAGAGTACACAATAATCCGTAAAACGATGGACCCACTGGAAACTTGTTAGAGATAGCATGTAGCCAGTCGCGATCCAACTCGTGTTTTGCAGCTGTTCGAACTGGCTACCGATAGACGCATATGTGGAAGTGACGATCGTCACATCCATCGCAACCAGAAAGACACCCAGGATCATCGGTGCCATCTGGTAAACCATATGACATGTCAACATTTCCACTAGTCAATATTGCATGGTCACTTTGATGCCGCTGGCATTGACAAGTGGCCTCCGCCCTTCCCGTAGGAAGAGACGGAGACCATCTGCTATGCTAGCATTATGATACATACTGTCGTCGACACTCACCACCGCGATCAAAGACACCTGGGGCTTAGCTGGGGCCCCATTTTCAGTGTCTGTACCGTTGGGTACCGTACGAGTGGCCACCTCATCGGTAGAGTCCGACTCGATAAGAGGCGGAGCAACACCGGGCGCCTCCTCAGCAAGCAAAGGCGTCCTCTCGGTTGCGGACGAGACCATGATTGCCCCTGTCTTGACGTCCTGTACGAGAGATTTTGATTCTGCTACTGCCACCGTCAGACGTGCAAATAATGCCCGGTCTGAGGATGCGGTTTGGGGCGAAGGCTGAAGCTGAGTAACGAAATGTCGCGTCCGCAGATAGCGTGAGCGTGCAAAAGTTGTTGTCGCGATCTGGTAAGCAAATGAGGCAATACAGGTATTCCGATATGGTGTAACGGCTAACATTACCGCCTTTCACGCGGTAGCTCGGGGTTCGATTCCCCGTATCGGAGGTTAGATAGGACATTGTGCTTTTCACTTGTTTTTGCCAGCGAACAAGCTTTCTCAGCTCCTCAGAACATGTTTCTCATCGAGCGACCGTTGGGCCTAAACCTCACCCTGATTACACTGGCGTCGTTCTGGGCTTTACAAGGAGCGAGTTTCGTATATGCGTCGCATAGAACTACTATCTCACATGTCAGCGACCAGCCTGATATCAAGAATATATACTGCCGCAACCCACCCAACTTCAAGCCAGCGAGCCAGAATTTCCGTATCCCTCTCATAACCAGCAATTTTCGATATGGCTTTCCCGTCGGACTATATCAGGTGAGCGCCCTGGACTCCTAGACAAACTCCGTGAATGAAACGCAGCTCACCAGCTTGTCCAGCGACGCTGTCCTGCTCCGGGTCTCCGCAGCGGGCGGCGAGCAACGCGCCTGTGGCTGGCACGGCCGACGCGAAAGGCGTGCAGATGGATGCTACTGCGACCACCGCGAGGACGAGGAGTCTGACATTGAGGTGGACGTGCATCTTGCCGTGCACAGAGGCTCGGAGTGATTGGTGTTGCGTTGCAGATGCTGAACCTGATCGTCTTTATACCCTCTCTGACAGACGACCGTGTCGTCCGACGCGCTGTCATATCTTTCGAAAGTCCGCAGCCCTACCCTTGGTCGCCTCAAAGCCGCCTCTACAGCGCTATCTCCTGTGTGTTTTCTGGTACCCTCGTGGCTACGACATACTTGCTGATTAACAAGTTAGCGCATACGCCCAACACTCTGAACAGCATCAGACAAATCCGCGGGGGCGCCATAATTTGGTACGAAGAATTGGAGCTTCTATCCGCACTGGCCGGACTGGTGAATGATATTTGGGCCCAGTCCCTGAGCGAAGCAGCGCCGCTGACCTGGAGACGGCAGCAACCCGTCGCGCGCGGGCAGTGCCGCTTTAACTAATAAATGAGTTGTTCTCGTCTAACTGACAGCTTTATACATCTAGGTACAGACAAAAGTTTGGGTGTGTACGGCTTCCTGTGCTTCTTCCGTTGCGTATCTCGCTCGGTAGGTCGAAAGTAGACGATTTCCCACGTGCTACACATGCAGAGTAAGGTGAGTGAGCATATCCTCAGTACAAGGCATATCGCGCACTTCATCCTTGACAGATACTCTAGAGCCAATGATTCTCCATGCGTACACCTGTGGGAACTAGACGGATAGGAGAAAGTTGGAACGTCAGCGCGCGTCCGAATCCGCATGGCTCGATGAAGGCCGCGACCTGCTCACCTGTCGGCGCACGGGGGAGTTCTTGTACAGGAACAGCGTCGACCGCGGGAAGCCCGGCGAACGCGAGCATGACCAACACGGAGGCCAGCACGGAGGTGAGCGAAAGACGTGATAGCATTGCGTCCAGAGGCCGGTGGTTCTCGGGGTTCTGGAAGGACGTCTTCGGGGCTTCTATGTGCGTCGAGCTGGATGCAGTCCGGACGTGGTGCTTCGAAGGCCGCTGATTTCTTGTTATACAGTATGCTTCTCCCTGTTTTTCAAATTTGAGGGCGTATTGCGCCCTGATAGTGGGCGCAGATGCAAGACTCATACGTGTTGCCCCGGCAGTCAAATTGTTCGCAACACTCAACGGGATGCCGTTTCAAGACGCTCGATGTGTCCTCAATGTCCAACTACAATGAACACTCACACCAACGCCGGTTGTGTCCCGTGAGGCATAGCCTATATGAGGTGCCATCAAGACGCCCATTAGCTGTTGATGTGATGTGTGCTCGAGTCGACATAAGAACTATGTCTGCGAGTATATCTCCATCGTACTTGTCACCTCCGTGTGAGCACGCATACGATATTATTCTCACCATGCGGCCATATGACCCTCCGCGAGGGACGCGGCAAAACTAACGTCAAGATGACATCCGTGCGGCCGTTGCCCAGAGGCGGACATTCCTGTGAGTCGAATGTGCAGCATGTGCAAGCTGAAATGTGCGCGATGAACACTTCCACAATACATAGGTATCCCAATACAGCAAATCCGCAAGTCAACCGGCAGGCGGACTCATTCCCGTGCAGGTAGTGTACATCTAGATCATTCATGCAAAGTTCAGCCACCATCCTGATAGACCACAAGTCGAAACCGTACCTAGTCAGCTTCTCCGTCATCCACGTTGAAGCCGCCTTCACAGCCAACAGTTCTCGATGTGGCTCGCCCGCTTCTCACCTGCCATACACATGCGCGTGTCAGTGATTATCCTCGGATGTCGACGGACGGAACTCACCAGCGACAGGCGCAGCGGCGTCGGCTTCACAAGGCGTGGGCGTAGGCGCAGCGGCCGCGAAAGGCGTGCTGAGCGCCAGGACGGCGACGACCGCGAGGATAAGCTTAGCGTTGAAGCGGAAGAGCATTGTGTAACTGTTGAGTACGGCGGCGGTGCAGTGTCGTCCGATGCCCTGCCCCTGTACAATATCTGACGCTTTATATCCCCAGGGCCCGATGCTTGATCGCAGTCCTATAGTCAGTGAGTGCGCGACCGGCCTGAAGACCCCCGCCTCTAAGCCCGGTGGAAGCTGAAAAAGTGTATCTTGTGCGCGCCGGTCATGGCCACCGCGTACGGATCACCGCGCGCAGGGAATAATACGGACGGCCCTGGGGCTGTACGTACAGCACACGCGAGCGCAGATCCGCGCGCCGATGCTGTGATAGCCCTCGGAATGTTCTTCGCGGCCTCCGAGAGTCATTGTTCGCAGCATCCGTGCATCCCCCGGACGGGCTGCCTGACATCCTGGGCGCAGCAGGCGTGTCCTGGTCCTGGAGGGCAAGGCACCATCGGCATGCTGCTCTTCTGCATCTGCTGATGAGGGGTGCGTACATGTGCAGCAACGGGGGTGCGTCTGCCGCGGGAGCGGGGAATGCATCACATCTGGCGTGTGCGTGGGAGCCGGTCGCATAGTTTGGTGGACGGGATGACCCCGAGGAGGCGCTGGCCTCGCACGCCCGGGGTACGGGGTGACGTGCGGAGCGGTGTCGGCGGTAAGTCAGACTTGGACGTTCGCACTGTGACTGCGGCGGTTAGGACGTTGTAGTAATGCATATGTGCATGACATGCCTGGCTGTGCGGTATATTTCTTGGAGCGCCCGCAGCTATCGTCGAGCAGGACGCCGCAGCATCCAGGGTGTGTTGATGCTTCTGTGATTGTCAGGGCTAGAAAGTCCGCTGCATTGCGTCCGAAGGAGATATGGAGGCATGCATGTTGATGGTCCCACGCCGAAGTGTCCGCTGCAGTCATGGTTGAGTCAACACCTCATTTCTGTGAGGTCTGGAGACCCCAATTCGGAGCCTCGGACCATACTGCAGGAACACCGGGAGTGCTCGTTGACAGCCGTGGGGTGCGCCGGGCGAAGGCAGTCCCTTCCGCCACTGGGGGCCGATCTGAGCCTCGCTGAGTGGCGGGTGGGGCGGGCAGGTGCTACCGTAACTTAGAGCTTACCTGAGAGCAATGACAACCACCGCGATGACTCCCCGTTAACGTGTGCTGCGCCTACGTTCCGGAATGACCACTGTATAACCGATCGTTTGGGCGGAGAGAATGAAGGAGCACCGTATTTCAGCGCGTCTGCACTTCAACAAAACAAGCAACGCAGAAGAATCACCGAAGACGAGAAGCAGGAGGATCTGGAAGAACTCGAGTCGAAGGTCTCGTGCGAGATCCATATTTCACATTGGAAGATGTCTTCGGACTACGGTGAATCAGCATATGAATGATGGTGATAGAAGAGAGCTGCAAATACAGACGAAGTTCGCCAGCCCACTTCAGTGCGATGTCTACAAGGGAATGAAGGTGCCGACTACAACCAGAAATCCGACCAGCCCCTTGACGTACTATTTGGCCGCCTGCGTGAGCATGATGCTATGCCTGGCCGAACTCGAGGTACTCACCCTTCCTGAGAGGTCTAGTCCCTTTGAACGTGCTTCTAGATGGATCTTTTCTGCACCGAGGAGCAAGGATGCTGAACCAAGAGATCTATCCGGGTTAACGTCGGGCAGCTTCTAATCCATGCATTTGGCAGCGGGCGAAGCGCTGTGAATAAAAGCACGAGCCTCAGTCCTCCTCGTCAACGACAAGTCGTGCCTTTCACCGCCAACTTTACCCCTCCGAAAAGATGCGCTGCTTTCAGGTTGTGGTGGACGTCGTGATGCACGCCTTTCTGGCGGCGCTCATCGGGTCGGCGACTTTGCACGCATACGCACTTCCGGCGGAAGCCGAAGGTCAGTTTCCTGTCTGAAGCTCCATGTCATGAGGGGGCATGAGCCCAAATATCGTTTCTGACCGATGATTTTCTTTAGCCGAAGTCGCGAGCCCGCACGAAGATCTGGGCTGGTTGTGATATTCTGCAAGGTCAGCTAGGTGCTCTAGATGTCTGCGAAAGCCGCTCACCTTGTGCCTTTAGTGCCCAGCAGAGCGAGTGCAGTGTACGATAGGGATAACAGACATCCGACGTGTAACATATAAGCGGGGGAGAGGAACAATATCCAGGTAGAAGGGCGAGAGTATCTGGATTGCAGAGTTCTTGCCAGTATTTGATATGCGTACCTCGGGCTGTTCTCCGCCAAAGCGCCCATGAACCCAATGTTTTCGTCCTATATCATCGGTACAGTGTTGTTGTGGTGAGATCAGGCATTTGAAATATGAGCCAGGGAGACTTGGACGAGTGATGGTGAGTGAAGAGGACGAGGAGGAGATACAAATTCGGCGCCACCGCTGTCATGTGGCTGTGCCATATGTATTTCCCCACAAAATTGATGCATACCGATCAGCCGGGCTCAACATTTGAGTCGTTCGAACCTGCGTCGATGCATCTTGCCTTTGACTTTCTTGCATCCGTTTCCTGCTGAAGCAGTATGCGATATCTATGTCAACTTGGGTCCCTTCATGCTCACAGCGAAGTCATGTATAGGGCTCACTGGGAACTCCGATATCAGGAAGCAAACGCCAGAGAAGTACCGCGATTTATTGCAGCGTCTTTGTGTAACTGTCGCGGCCACAGTGATGGTACCATGATATCCCGAGCTGGTCTTTGTTCCACTAGCAGGACACCCGTCATTTAATATCAGGTATGACTACATCACACCGCCTCCCGATTCTTTCCTCACGATATTGATGATGTAGAAGGAGGGTTCAAGAGCAGTGCATCGAGCGACGCACTCCCTGTACATTGACCTCCATGTCGTCTTTCACCTCTTTACTCCAGCTTTTAAGACGCTCCCGATGCTACAATTCGTGCTGGGATTTATCTCGGCTAATTCATACTTTCGGTGCCGTGGTCTTGGTTGTCGTGCTTGGCCTCGTCAACCTCGCCGCCGACCTTGCCTTCGTGAACCAAGCGAAGCACGTGGCGGCTATACGCGACCCCCCTCTGTCGTCCTATAGCGAGTGCATCCTCCATAACCCCCCAAGCTCAACATCTAACACTACAAGTACAGGCTTCATCGAAGACGACTACCCTCCGCGCCTACCCCTCCCGCTCGCACGGACCGCCGGCGTGCGCCTCACCCTCTCCGAGAGCGCGCGCTACGACCCCTCGCACTCCGAGTCGGTTCTCGAATGGGCATCCGCGAGCGCTGCGGGTGACACGAACATTCGCCTCGGCCCCTCCCACCGCTTCTTTAACCCCGCGTTCTCATACGAGCTCCACTGCCTGCGCGTCGTCGTCACCGCGCTGGGAGAAGACGGGCCCCTCGCGCCAGGTCGGCAGCGTGCGCATGTCGAGCGTTGTTTGAACGTGTTGCGGCAGTTCGCGTTGTGCGACGCGGATGCGACGGTCGAGCCTGTGGGGAGCTTGGAGGGCGATTTGGTTGTGGGGCGCTTTGAGGGAGAGCGGGTGTGCAAAGACTGGCGGGCGCTGTACGGGGCGATTGAGCAGAACTGGGAGGAGTGGAGACACTTTCGAGAGACGGCGGACGATGCGTGATTCCAATGTATTGTCGCTGGAGGTCTGACGTTGTATTCTTGATATTTGAAAGTCAATCAAGCTGTATCATCTCGCTCATGCGAAGCTCTCAGTGATGAAACATCGTCCAAAATTCAGACACTCAAATGACAGTGATACATATTCCCCGCAATACTACAAATTACCCCGGGAGGGGACATTTACAACGACTCAAAGCCAAGTACAACCAGAAAGATCGTGGTATATCGCCTGTTAGAGTTTCATGAGCCATAAGATGTCAAGTCTGCGACTGCTAGGGCCAGAACTTACCGTCACTTCGGCGCGTTCACTGTGACTTTACAGCCAGACCAGCTCCTCGTGGGGGACCTCAGCTGCGACAAAATATTGAAAGTAAGCACCGTACAACAGTCGAGCATCCTCGAGTCACTCACCTTCGGCCTCGGCGGGGAGCGCGTGCGGCGCGGCGACCACGGCGGTGGTGAAGAAGACCGCGAGGAGAAGGGAGGCGACGTAGAAGCGCATGATGACTATAGAAGACTTCGGGTGATGAGGTCGATGGGTGGTGATTTGGATGTTCGGACTCGAAGGAAGGAGTGGAGAAGCAATCCTGCCGGGTCCGGAGCTGAGGAACCTCGCCTCTTTATACATACGCGCCACCCCGAACCTTCACGCCTGAGGGGCCCCACAGGGCTTCCCGGAGGCAGCGTACCCCGAGCTTCTCTTCGTGATACAGAACTGGGCTGTGGAAGCACAGGCGCACCAGCAGTGCTGCCTCAGCCTTTCCAGACGTACTGACTCGGACACGAATATCTGGACTGCGATCCCGCCGCATGCTGTGCTCACGGGGACCCGTCCGTGCATCATTTCCCTCCCGCCCTGAGCTGCTGCTGCTGCTCTCTTTGACACAGAATCGCATGCCGTATGATCCAGGACTTGCGCGCTGACGCATCTTTCTCCGCACGCCCTCCCTGCGCACTCGCTCCAGCTGTTGACGCGCGGGCGCACTACCTGCCGCCCGATAGACGTGTTATAAATACTTCCGGGACGCTCTCACCATCCGGAGCCGCAGGATCACGCTTCCGGCCATCCATTCTCCAACTACAAAGTCGCTTTATCATAAGTCAGACTGACATAACAACATATCAGGCTCAGCGGAATAGCCTCTTTCGGGCCATGCAGATACAACGTTCTGTCCGCAGCAAAAAATGCGAGGCTGCCGTGAACATCGGGCTGGTGTCACCTAGCGCTAGTCAGGCGCCAGGGAATATCCCGACACTAGCACACAAACACGGGCAGCACCCTTCGGCCTCCGAGCTCCCAATCACCGCCCTGGTAGATGCCGCGGCACAGGCTGCGGAACCACATCCCGAGTCGACAATCGGGATCGTGTGCCTCGGGGGGCCCCGCTGGGACCGCAATGGATCCGCGGTTCTGCATTCTGAGCACGTTGATACATGATAGAGCCTGGAGGAGCCAGAAGTTGATGTGTTGCCGAGCACTAGCACGGAAGACAGAAGAAGACCGTCAACCGCGATCATGCACAGTGGCAGGCTTCCTGACGCATGTACGCGGCTAGAACTTGCCCCCGCATGTGTGCGGAGGCCAACTTTGCCGCGCCTGCCACGAACTGACGTATCCACGTCCTCGCGGCCGCCCCGGATACACACGGAGGCGGAGCGGCGGGGTACCAGACGTGGGACGCATCAAGCGCTACGCATGATGCCGTGAGCGTGCTGCGTACCACATCGGAAGCACGCACGAATGTTCAAGGAGTCGGCGCAGCGACAGTATTTGGCAGCGTGTCCCCGTCTCCGTCGTCGGCGACTGCAAATCGCCGTCACATTATTGGTGGACGACTCGGGTGGTAAGCTGCGTAAGAGACTCGACTAGATGGTGAGTGTTTGTGACATGAAGCCAAAAGTGGCTTGGGAATAATTGGTAACCATCGCGCAGTAACGGGCGCTTGAGTTCATGGCACGTACGACTTGCGAAAGCCCCTACAAGTAGAGCTCGGCGCGAGCAACCAACTTCTATGCGTTGACGGCAGCTGTACCGAAAAGCAGCCCTCGTTGGAGAACAATGCACGTCCCACACGATGTCCGAGAGAAACTTGCCAATAAATAGCGCCAGAGTACGTACTTGCACAAGAAAGCGCGGCCTGACTCCGGTCCTGCACATACCTCCATCCTCAGAGTTCCTTTTTCTTTTTCTCCGCCGCATTCTTTGCGGCGACCACGGAGCCCTTGGAGCTCTCCAGTGCCCTCAGGCGCTCTGTAAGCGTCGGGTGCGAGTGGTGGTACGCCGAGTACCTGTCCACACGTGCGTCAACCCTGTAACTCGCAAAACGGAGAGGGAGAGGAAGGGACGGGGAACGTACAGCCAGTCGACCCAGACGGTGGACAAGTTCTCGACGTGGAGGGCGACGAGGGCACGTGCGAGACGGTCGCCCATGTCCGCCATCTTCTCGTCGCTGAGTTGCGTCTGGAGCTCGCACGCGAAGCGGTCCGCCTGGTACTCGAACTTGCGGCTCACGGCGTTCATGAGAATGCCGACGACGGCCTCGAGCGGCGTCAGCAGCATCTGCCACATTGTTAACCTGGACGGTTCAGGTGAGTGTGTGCTTCGCGCTACGCACCTGGTAGAGCAGGAAGGCGACGATGGTCGGGGGCTTCACGGCGACTGAGGCCGGGAAGTCGAACGCACGCAGGAGCGGCGGGGCGCGAAGGAACGCGGGGAAGAGCGCGAGGATCGTGAAAATGTGGATCTGCGACAGGAGCAGCAACTGAGAGGGGTGCATGTAGTACCAGTGGCCGAGCTCGTGTGCTGTAGATAGCACGCGTCAGACACAAATGACCGCTAGATGAGAAGAACGCATGTACCGAGGACTGCCTCCACTTCCTCAGGCTTGCTCTGCTTTATGAGTGTGTCGAAGATGACGATGTGCTTGTTCTGTGGATGCATGCGTCAATCCAGTGCAAAATAAGCAGCATATATGCAGGTCGAAGCGTACCCCGGGAAGACCAAAGAAGTATGCATTACTGTGCGAGCTACGCTTCGATCCGTCGATTTCGTACAGGTGTTTGAGCGGGAAGTTGAGCTTCACAGCGAGTTCCTCAATACGAGAGCGGAGCTCGCCAGCCGGGAGCGGTGAGAGCTTGTTGAACAGCGGTTGGATGACCGTGGGGTACAACACGACCATCGAGAGCTGGAAGATGAGGCTATTGAGACGGTACTATGAGTGACGTTTGCTGAACTGGATGTCGAAAAGCCATACAGGAAAGCCATGAGCCAGGGCACGAAACGGTTGCCCGCCCACTTGAACACGGAGAGGAATCCGGCAAGGAAGGGCGCGCCGATGGCAAGACCGATTGCCCAGCTCTTGATCAGGTCGGTGACAAAGAGAGAGCGCGTGGACTTGTTGAAACCATGCTTCTCTTCGAGAACGAAGGTCTGGTAGTAGGACAGCGGGAGAGACGGGAGACTAGATACGAAAAACAGCGTGAACGCGAAGGCTATTGATTGCAAAATCTGCAAGGACAATCTATGAGCTATGGCACCACGAATGAAGGACTTGGGAAAAGCCGGCTCGCAATGGGAATTCACGCAACGTACCTCGTATTCCGGACCGTAACCCAAGAGTGCAGTAATGTTGCCGCCAATCTTCCAGGACCATGCCATGAGACCATATTGCAAGAAGGCCGAGTCAACGACCTGCTTGTAAAGGCCCGAAACCAAGGAGAACTTCGCCTTGTCCTTTCCGTACGTCTGAGACTTCACGAAGGTGTCCGGCTTGAAGTGTTCAGCGAGAACGGGTGGGGGCTCCGTCTTCGAGTAGAGCGGGAATTGGCGCAACCTAAGTTCAGGCGATGCGCGGGTAAGCCACAGCGCATTCAATTCATAGATTTAAGACGCATACAAGAGGTAGGACTCGAACAGGCAGACGCTCCATGAGCACACTTGGAGGTAGAATTTCCAGTTGACTGTGTCCGTTGCGACCCACGCCAGACGCGCCTGGACCGCGTCCAGCCCAGCGTTGAGTAGATCCAAAGCGTTTCCGAGCATGTTCAGCGCGGCACCATGCACGACGAGCGCGAGTGTGAGAGGTCGACGTGGAACGCGGAGAAGGAGGATGTGCGCGCCAACTTGTTCGGGGACGCGTCGCTGGCATGCACCGGAAGCCGGCCCGGTGAGCCGCAACTAGTCAACTCCGAGCCTTGGAGGGGGTGCACCGTGCAGTGGCTTTTTCTTCTGTTCCCTCATCGACTCTGCAGCCAAGCCCGCGCCTCGATATCATTTGGTCTTTCTATGTCTAGCTGGCTGGCGCAGGATATACTCTTCCAGATGATCTTCAACGCGTGCGGATCGCTGTAGCTTCCCCCGGATACTCAACAGCTTCAACAATCAAATGGACATACACCGACATATGCAAGATTGCAAAAGTTCTTCTGGGGCCGACGCAATGTCAACCTGGGCATGTAGAAAATACTGGCATGGCGGAAACCTGGCGGTGTATGACATGGTGGCCTTTCGTAAGTCGGCACTGCAGGACCTCTGATCATCCTACAGACCCTTTCCCTGTGAACCACTTTAGGACCATTTGTTCCAGATAGCTCGATCGCCCTCCACATACCATTACGGTCCATATTATACCCAGGGGCCCTATACAGCCCTTTGTGGACATCGCACAAAGCCTCAAACATCACATTTTCGCTGACATGCGGAACTCGCCCGGATGCACAAACGGACGATTATAACGTACATAACGAAGCAGACTGGATAACAACAAACGCTCAGCTTTCCCCACCGTTCGTCCGTACCACGCGTACGAGCGGCCGTATATGGGCTGCTCCAGAGCCTCCAATGGTCGGGACACTGACCATGGCCTGTTCAGCCTCGGAGGTCCAATTTGGTCCGAACCGTGTTTAGCGTGCCCCCTCTTCTCGCTGCACCTCTCGCGTAACGCTGCGGATTGTACGAGATAAAGGGGAGTCTGTTGAACTCGAATCATCAGGCTGACAGACCACATTCCTGACGGAAGTCGACCATCCGGTTCTGCTATGGACGATGCTTCTGACCTGCCTATTCTCTTGTTGATGGCATCTCGGCGAACTTGATAAGACGCGGATCCTAACTGGTACTCACCTCGCCGCCCTCTTACCTGGTCTCTTCTGGCAAGCTTCCCTCTCACTGGCACCTTCGAAAGCTATGGCCACATCCAATGTCACATTCGAGCGTGTCGAGAGCCCCACAGGTAAAGGCAGCACTCAAATACCGTGAATTCAATCTCACGCCTCTTAGAAAGCTTGGCGGAAGAAGCCACTCAAGTGTTCGCCGGACTCATGGTAGCAGGTAGGAGTATGCTCCGCATAGATCGCTGGCGTCGCTACCTACTGACCTTGGCTGGTTGTAGACCCCGCCGCGATCGCGCTCGTCGGCGGCGACATGAGCCTTCTCCCATCCTTGGGCGGCGTTATGCTCCGCGCCCTCGCTCTCACTCCCGGAATAGCTGACCTATTCATCGCGCGGGACGAGACTGGCGCCCTCGTCGGCTACACCCTGTTCTCCCTCCCGGGGCAGCTCATTCTTTCAACGTCAGCGGTCCTACACCCGGGACTTCTCATCCTCTGCGCTGACAGAGCCTCCTTGCAGTCCGGAACAGCAGAAGCACGGTCTCTTTGAATTCATGGGCAAGCTCTCACCCGAGGGGCAGAAGTACTATCCTGATGTCGTAAGTGCCTCTCCCGCGTGAACGTCTGCCTGCTAACAATACACGCAGATGGCGAAGGAGGTCCCGAAAGCCAACGACGAGGCGCTCGGCATCGCCGAGGCCGAACGTAACACCTATTGGTGCAACTTCGCGATGGTCCGCGAGGACTATCAGGGCAAGGGTGTCGCGAAAGCGCTCTTCGAGCTCGCGACCAAAGAGGTGCGCTCCGTCCCACCCGTCCTTGTCTTCCATGTCTCACGTACCCCCTTCAGGCTGCCAAGACAGGGGTTACGATGGCGCTGACCACGACCAACATCCGCAACGTAAGTCTCCGCGCTCCTCGCCGGGCCCCTTTTCCGCGCGCCCCTGGGCCCCCGGCGCAATTGTGGCACCGCGGCGCGGCCCATGTCCGGATGCTCATCCATCTTCTTTTCCAGGTCCCCATCTATGAGAAGCTCGGATTCACGCTCTGCGGGCATAAGGTAATGCCATCGCCGTGGGTCGACTGGCCGCTCTGGTTCTTCAAGAAGGAGACCGCGGTCCCGGCCACAGAAGCCGAAGCATAGATATGCAAATGAGGTGCCTCGGAAGGGAAACCAAACAAGTGTTGGTGTATCAATGTAAGAGCGAAAGTCCACTTATCGGTTCACGTGTGCGTCCTGTCTGTCATGAGGAGTGCGCGATCCCAATGGAGAGGATCTAGAAAATCATCCATTGCAGGTGCGAGCCGAGCTCGGTCTTGGACGGTGTGTGCACGCATGCACCTTCGTCCGAGGTGCCTGCAGTGTGAGAACGCGCGTTTGCGATCAGCGCGGTGCTCAGACAGAACTTTGGCTTGTTCAGGGAGGAAGCTTGAAGAACCCCTGGCCGAGGATCAGAACTTGCGCACATTGTCGACGAGGCTGTTGTCGGTCCATCCCACACAATATTCAGATCAATATCCGAATTGTTGAATATCTTTGTTGCAGGCCCGAAATCCATCTACCGACGCTGTGTGCGCCATCATCTCACTTCAAGTGGCCCTCGCATGCTCCCATGGCACATTGGCCACAAAAATGTATACGCACGTCCCTTAAACCTCGGTGATGCCTCGTGCCCTGCCCTCTCACGCACGACACATACTTATCAGCAATCCGACATCAATCAGAGAAGTCGAAGCAGCTGCTCCTCAGCGCACAGGAGGACACGTCCCGATCTCGCCTGACGCCGTGACGGCCATGTCCAGTCTCCTGCCCGCCGCCACGAAGCTCCGCCCCCGCGCGTCCAATGCCGGCAGCATCACCGCGCAGGATCCTGTGGCGACAATGCAGCATTGCCCCATGCAGCTGTGCAGGCGTGAACCTTCGTGGCGCGCCCACGCTCAACGCCCACGCCCACGCTCCGTCACGAGGCCCGGCGAAAACATCTGACAGTGACAGTGACCGCGCGCAAGCGAGGAGACGCAACCGCTCCTCCCAGGCTGGTGTCCGACTCGGATCTCCGCAATCCATATTCCGCATCTCCATTGCCCGCCCATGCGAATACAGGGCTCCTCGTCCCCGCCAGAAGCCCCGAAGTTCTGTCCGGCCGGCGAGCCCGGCGCATCTCACTCTCCCCATCTTCTCGCGAGGCGAGAGGCGAAGAGGCTGCAGGGCCCGGCGCCGGCGAGCCTGAGCGCGACCAAAGGGACCGGGCACGCCCGCAGAAAGGCGGGGCAGGATCAGGAGGGCGCTGCACCCGCAGCCTTCCCTGTGAGATAAACTGCGAGGATCCCGTCGTCGTGCCTCGTATTGTATGCACATACTACCCGGCACCAGGCGACGACACGCTTGAACGTGAACGCTGACCCACCGATGCCCCGCCACGACGCCGAGTACGAGGTGCTCCTGTCCGAGGACGTTGACGCCTCGGAGGGGTCGCAGTCGCCCCCACCGACAGGTGAGCGGTCAACGTCACCTTACGGCTCGCCCGCCTTCTCCCAATTCTGACTGTGCACCCCCGTCTCCCCCAGGCCGTCTAAGTTCAGAGAAGACATGGCTTCCTAGCCTGCGCACACCTTCCACCAGCACGTCCCCGCTCGCCCTCTGGCTTGGGGCCCTCGTCCTCGTAATCGCCGCGACGGACCTCGCCGCGGTCGCCTACACCGCGCGCCTCGCGCGCACCGTGTTCGCGCCAAAGGACTTCGCCGCGCGCCTCGAGTACGCAAGCCCGTACATCGGCCTGGACGAGCTGTACGCGTCGGGCCAGGCGAACGCGTCCGTGCTGGAGCCGATCACGATCCGCCCGCGCATCGCCGCGCAGGTGTTCGTGCAAGAGCCCGACCGGCCCGCCCCGCGCGGCGAGCACGACTACTGGCACGAGACGTACGGGCGGATGTCGCCCAACGAACGACGCCTGCGCGTCAGCCCCGACGTGAGTCCCCTTCGCATCCTTGCCACGAGACACCAGCGGGGACTGATATGGACGGAATGCAGGTGCACACGATCATCCAGTTCCGCGCAATCGACTTCGGGATGGAGGACTGCCGGCTCGTGCTCACGCTCCCCGCGCTCGGCGAGACCCTCGAGGCGGGCGCGTCGCTCTCCATGACGCCCGGCTCGCGCATCGAGCTCTTCCACCTCGCGGCCCCACGGCCCATCGACGTGCAGGCGCTCACGTACCGCTCGCGGCCCCGCGCGCAGGGCAGCGTTGGGTCGGTCGTCGTGGACGGGAAGGGGGGCGACGTGGAGTTTTACAAGTTCCCGTGTAAGTGGAGCTCGCTGCACGCGTTCGAGGTGCAGTGTGTGGAGGGCACGGAGTGCGCGCTGGACGTGTGGTCGAGCCATAACACGACGTATGGTGAGTGGGAGTTGATGGCGATGTGCGAATGTGGACGCTGACGGACTGCGTGCGCAGGTGTGAACATGGTTCAGTATCAGACGATTTAAAGACGTAGAAGGATAGGGAAGGAGGTTTGGCTCACCCCTTCTCATACGCGCAGATTTTTGAGGGACCGTACAAAGCCTCGAGCGTCGTACGCGCACTGGCACTCTGTATCTGGTATTGCACAAGAAATTACAGACTTGTCATTTCACCTTCTAGTTGCGATCCCGTCCATACATGTTACGCGGCCATCTGCGCCTTGAACCCCAACCAATCCTGCCACTGGCTCCACATCGTCCCATAGAATGCCTCCACATCCATGCACTCCCTCTCGCCCCCCACACGCTCCGCGGTGTAGTTGCGCGCGAACGCATCGCCCGGCTCGAGCGAGAAGTCCGCCGCGCACAGCGTCTGCTCGCGCATGAAGGTCAGGCAGTGCTCGGCGTGGTGCAGCGCGGCGCCCGTGGGCACCCCGGGGGCGTCGAGCGAGGCGCGGAGGCTGCGGAGGCAGTGCTGCTGGTGCGTGAGCGCGACGACGAAGAAGCGGTTGTTCGGGCCCATGTGCACGTTCCCGTGGTCGTCCGCGGTCGACGTCCAGAGCCACTCGAGGGACGCCTCGGGCGCGCGGATGTCGTAGCGCACGCTCTCCTCGATGGACATCAGGACGTGGGGGCGCGCGTTGAGGAGGGGCATGCGCTCGGGGACGTCATCCTCGATCCAAGCTGCCAAGGTAATGTCGATAAATATATTTCGCTAGAGCTGTGACCTGGGAAGAACTCACTGTAGTGGGATAATGGCGGTGGCCTCCGAGCGAAGAGTTTCCGCGCGTCCTCGACGAAGGAGTAGTCGATGGCGACGTTGAGGACGCCGAGCGCGACGAGCAAGCACAGAGCCAGCAAACGAGATATCATCGGAGCGGGTGGGTGCTTCTGTCACCGGTACATGTGTGTTTTTCTGGAGGCGCGCTGCCAGTCCAGCGCGGGTGCAGCGGGAGATGATGGTGGGAGGCCGGAACGTCTGCCCGGGGAAATTGCTTCCGCGGCGGACGTGACACAGTCACCTGTACGTACACAACTGTCACAAATCTTAGATCTCTCAGATCCCATCATTTCTGGTTCAGAAAAGGGAATTTGTACCTGACCGGCCATTAAAGTTCGAGGTCCGAGGCCGAGCGGTGATTTTGCGGGGAACGCGGGTTTCCTCCCGTCCGCCAGCTTTACGGCGCACAGACCAGATAAACCGATGGAATCGCCATCTTTTACGCCTTGGCTGCGACACGGAAACCTCCCGACCGCAAGGAGCTGAGACCTTGCTGAGATGAGTCCGACGTCTTGTTCTTGCCGACATCCAGACAGTCCTGAGTGCTTGGAGGGCTCGTTCCTGACTCATGGCTACCCACCACGGTATCACCCCGTTGATGAAGATGATAGAAGTGCGGAGACTCTCATTTTACAGTTCCAACATTCGTGATACAAACGGCACGAGGCGCTGTACCACGGGACGAGCTTGTCGGCGGAACTATGCGGATGCCGTGAGGCTTCGAGCTTCAAGCCAGTCAATAGCTACTCTGGGTCCCAGGCACGCTCCCCCAGTGGGACATCGTAGCGTCTCTCCACGTCGTGGTATGTGGTGCTCACTTCACGCCCCTCGTCACCTACTTGTCGCTCACAACGTCAAATCCTGCTATCAATAGCGTGCTACGCCGCGGATCCGCTGTCTAACGACCACTGGCGTTAAGGAACAGACAAGACACATCGGATCACCATTTGTGCTGGTGGCGACTCTCTAGGGCTCAACATTCAGGCACGTACTCGTCCAGCCTCCAGCACTAGCCGTTATTGATCAACGCTCTGGTCCGTTATAAAGTAGTTGTGACTGTTCCGCCGTGCTTCTCTGTCGTACCTTCCGTCCTCCAACCGGCTTCCAACTCGCACCATGTCGTCCCTCTTCCAGAATGCGTACTACCTCGCCATCAACTTCAATGCGATCCTTTATGGTCTGTACCTCTCACGAACACCCCGATCCGCATGCACGACCATGTGCTCACCATGTCTGTTTGGCAGGCGTGGAACTCGTGTTGTACGGAATGACGATGAACGCCCTCGTGAACCACCGCAAGCAGTGGACGCGGACGGACAAGTTCTACATGGCGTTCAGCACCGCGCTGCTCGTCCTCATCACCATCTACATGTCCACCGAAGCCGTCTTCGGACAGGAGATGTGGATAGTGCATGCCGACTCGCCCGGGGGCTCGCTCGAGTTCCTCATCGAGAACGCGGACATCTGGTACCAGACGATGTGCACGACGGCATCTGTGATCCTCAACCTGTTCAGCGATGCGCTCCTCGTAAGCTTTTTTTCTCCGCTCGCAGTGGCATCCTGCGCCACTCCCGCTGTCGCGCGGAGCTGAATGGGAAACCTTGCCTGGCAGATCTACCGGATGTACGTCGTCTGGACGAGCTATCGCGTGATCTTTTTCCCGTGCTTCCTATACGTCGCCACCATCGGTGCGCCGTCCTTCCTCCTGTCTCCGTCCGACGCCACTTGCTCACGCGCGCCCTGCTCTTTCCCCTTCTGGCAGGCCTCGGCATCATCGAGCTGTACGCGTCCGGCAAGCCAAACGCAGACTTCTTCGTCGGGACGGCGCAGCAGCTCGGCGTCGCGTACTACACGACGACCATCGCGCTGAACATCATCGCGACGGGCGTGATCACCGCGCGGCTCGCGCACCTCGGGCGCGCGCTCGAGGCCGCGCGGAACACGCAGGACCGCGGGCGCAGCGCGCGCCGCTACACGGGCACGCTGCCCATCGTCGTCGAGTCTGCGCTGCCGTACTCCATGGCCGGCTTCGCGTTCCTCGTCGCGTATGGGCTCCAGAGCGACATCTCGATCCTGTTTGGCGCGTTCTACGGCATGTTCACGGTGCGTGCGCAGAGCTGTGTCTCGGCTTTAGGCGGTTTAGGTATGGGACTGACCCTGGTTGTGGTGATATAGTGCATCTCCCCGCAGCTCATCGTGTTGCGCGTTGTGACCGGGCAGGCGTGGACGAAGGACCAGACGGCACAGTCCGTGTCCGCGCTGGAGTTCGAGAACCTGGGTGCGAGCCGCGCGGCTGCGACGACTACGGTGGTGCCAGAAGAGGGTACATCGACGATGGACCACAAGTCCCTGAACTCGGTGCAGGAGATGGCATGAGGGACCGGGCCTGTTGCTGTACGATCATGACGACGAAAATGCTCTTACGGCCCTGCGATGATCCTAACCTATGGCTTCGACGTTTGACTTGCTATTGTTGCTTTGGGCTCGGTGTGGAGCATTCGTTGTGCTCATACGCCTTGTACTTCTGTTACTTACCCAGCTGTTGTAATGAATGATGTCTGCTCTGCTGCTCGTCCGATTTGCCGTCCAGTGGTCTTGAACTGTCATCTGCACATCAATAATACCCATGCAGGGCCAAGGTCATACAGTTTCTCAGCTACCGTCCATTGATGTGACCTCGGGTCGACCGGTGATACGGCCTTCAGGCTTTCAAAAATGGGCCACACATTCTGAAAGAATTCGCGGGAATGGCAAGGCGTGCTTAGGAGCACACCGTAATCCCTTTCTTTGACCTGCTCGCACTATCCAAGCCCATTATGTGATGGTAGACAGTACAAATCCATTGAGGTAACGAACGACACAGTTAACCCGAAGTAATACAGGACAACATGCAACAAAAGCGTGCGCGCTGCGACGGGCGAACAAGGAACGTGATAAAATCAGCCTAGATCTAATAGCACAACAACAGAACACCAGCCACTCTTGAGTCCATCCTTTTAACTTAACGAAATAAATGCTAAACACCGCGGCATGTCCGCTTAGACTTTGCTGTCGCCGCCAAAGTCGGGCGAGGACGACGTCGCGATGCTCTTGAGCGCGATGCCCGTGCCCTCGCTGCGGTACGTGAAACGCGTCGTGGACGCGCCCGCGGACGTCGACGGGCCTGACACGAAACGCGCCGAGCCGACGCTCGAGTCCGCCGCCTCACGCGTCCAGCCACGCCCCATGAGCACACGCAGGATGATCATCTGGGGCGACACGCACTGTAAACTCGCGAGTCAGCGCGCACACATGAGGAGACACAAGACGCAGAAACATACGGTGAACATGACGTAGACAGAGAGGAAGAAGATCGAGTACGGGCTGTTGAGGCCGAGCGTGACGACGTACGCGATGCCGAAGAGCGTGTAGGGCAGCATGGACTCGATGATGAGCGACGCCGCGCCGGTGTACGTGCGCGAGACGTCGCGCCCGAGCGTCGCCTCCATGCGGCGCGCGACGAACAGGATGCGCCCGCAGATGAGCGCGGAGCACGTCACGTTTAGCCCGATGACGACCGTCGAGTACGAGAGCGCGATGTCCGCGGCCTTGCCCAGGAAGAAGTCCGAGTTCGGCGTGCCGGAGACGTAGCATGTCAGAATGCCGAGGGCTGGGAAGAGAGAGGGGTGATCAGGGAAGGGGCGTGGGGGAATGAGAAGAGAACGCACACACCTGCAGATGCAAGGTACAGGATGCCGGGGAAGACGATCACCCGCCAGTCGCTCCAGACGACGAAGGTGCGGTACATCTACACAGACATGCAAAGCCCGTCAGTCTATGATTGCCTGGAGTGTCAGCGCTAGAGGACGTACCAGAAGACCGTCGCTCATCAGGTTGAGCACGATGGACGCGGCGCTGCCAAGCGTCTGGTACCACACCGCGGCGTTGTCCGCGAGGTACTGGCCCGAGCCGCCCGGATAGTCCGCGTTCACGATCCACATCTCCTCGCCGAACACAGACTGCACGGCGACGTAGATGGTGATCATGGCGAGGAGACCCGTGCTCAGCGACAAGAAGAGCCGGTCGCTGCGCTTGCCCCCGGTCCCGCCGCGGCGGTTCTGCAGGATGAGCCCCACGCTCGCGAAGTACAGCACGAGTTCAACGCCTGTGGGTGCATGGGGGCGCGTGGATCAGCGCCGATCGCGCGGGAAAGCGGGTAGGTGGGAAGGGAAGGCGAGAAGGCGAACGCACCATAGAGGATGGTGTTGAAGTTGTTCCCGATGTAGTACGCGTTTTGGAAGATGGCGTTCGGGTCGGACATGGTGGCTCCTTCGGTGTGGACTGCGAAGTTCCGGGAGACAGAGCTGCTTCGTCCTTTATCAATGTACCACGGTCGCGCGAGCGGAGGCCCCACTCGCGTGGGACGGGAGCAGTATACTCATACTGTACCTACCTCCCGAGCCCCTCGGGGAAGGCGGAATCTGATTGAAGGTCACGGACCGGAGTCTGATGGTCGGCGTCGGAGTACAGATGGAGAGTGTTGAGCGCTGATGGACATGCCCGTTATGTTTGATTGTCAACATTGATAGAGACGTCTGACCACCTTGAGCGGCATGGGAAGTATCGCTGCCAGTGGACTGTGCTGGCTGATGTCAGACGCAATCGCAACGCCGACATTGAGCAGGTCACACAGCGGGCTGCGTCAATCTTCCTGGATGATTCTTCTGATAACGTAGTGCTCTGAAGGGTGTCAGTCAAAAAGTGTCAGATAAGCAGGGATTCGGAGCTCTAGAGGAAACCGCACTAGGACCATATTGAGAGTCATGAGGCACCGGAGCCTTTGTGCTTAGTTGGGACCCCGACATGCTGCGCGATGCTGGAAGTCCCCGGATCCCGAAAACATACACAGGTGATAGTCTAAGACGATCATCCATGTTTGTAGACGAGGAGGCACTGGTACTCCACTTCGAGATCACTGCCCTGTCGCATTCGTCCCGAGAAATACATCAGGTTTGTCGCGTAGAAACCTTCGGCAAGCGACCACTCCCAAGTATGCCTGCCAAGTCAGGCATCGTGGGGAGCATCGAGCTTCACAAGTCTAAAGGTGCAAGCGAGGAGGGGCATCATAGTCGTGAGCAGGGTACCTGAAGGAAGAACACCGGGTGTTTCACTCACACATGCTATCAACGACATGAAGTGAGCAGACCGCACGTCTTGACGGGATCTCATTCATTCCCAGATGTGTGTGAGGGTAAGCATTGGATTGTCATGGGGTCGAAGGTACGTGCTGCGTGTTATGCTGATGAGGTATCGTCGTAACGTTTGGGTAGGCTAGGCCCTGTTCCTGAGTGCAAAAGATAGGGTGAGAGGCAACTTCTCCGCCGGGATGGGGTGGGGACAGCATCGTCGCTGCACGATCGCCTTGACATCTTGGGGGGCGTCGCTAAACTGAGGCACGCGCAGCTGAGTTGGCAGGGAGCAGTAGACGTGAACAGCGGACCCTTCATGACACTACGACACTCTGAGGAACGCCACCAGGACGCCGACGTCTCAGAGGGTGATACGCGCGGATTACGTCTTGCTCATTGGCTGCTCGTGCGACTGACCTCCGATGTATAGTACAGCGTTCGTACAATGCATTGATGAACGGAGCAACGCTGTCCACCCGTCGTTCAGCTGCCGCGTATGACATGAGGTGGAAGAAAGAACTGCTGACCGTCATATTCTACGACAACGACGAGCTTGCGTTAAGCTGCCGCCCCACCCACGCCGCGTACTCCATCTGGTTCTCCTCGACCTTCTCGTACACAGCTCTCCAGTCCTTGCATTTCCTGATGGCGTGAGGATGCACCGCGCGGACCTTGTGGGGGTACTGGTACGGGTCCAGCTGCAAGTCCCCGCGGCACATTAGCTGCTGGCGGATGTAGTTCAGGCAGTGCCGCGCCGGCTGCTCGGAGCGCTCGCTCTTCGGACGGTTGAGCTGGTCGCGCAGGACGTCGAGGCAGCGGAGCTGGTGCATCATCGACACAGTGTAGGGTGTTTGCTCAGGGCCGAGGTGGATGATGCCGCCTTCGGGGAAGAGTGGGGCCCATTGTTGAGCTGCGTCGAGGTGGTAGCGGGTCCAGCTGTCGTGCTGAAGTAACACGTCCCCCCTCTCCACGCTCCATAGAGCTTCACAAAAGTTAGCTCGGGTGGAGAACAAAGCGATCATGGTTCACTCACGGTGGTTGCTCTCGTTCTCGTGCCCCTCCACACGGCTAATGGTAGCTCTTGCGACAAGCTTCAAGGCCGCGTTGGCAGCCAACAGCGCGATGGCTATGGCAATGAAGGCGTTCTCCACAGTACGCTTGGAGAGCATAGGGTAGCAGGCGCGGTGGGGCTCTTGGCGGGGCGTTGTAGGAGATAAATTCGGACTACGCGAGAAGGCTCTGTGCGAGGTCCTTGGGCGGCTCCAGTCATTGTCAACCCTGACAGCGAAGACGCCGGCGAAGCTCCTCTGACTGCACCCTGATGCTGCGATCCGCAAGGGCGGGAGTTCGGAAGGAGTTGCGGACAGGATTCAGGGAGGCCGCGCACGGGCCACATCCCACGGCATGGCAGAACCCACGAGGGCAGTGACAGGCCCGGCGCATCCACATTCTCACCATCCTGCAAGGTCCGACGAAAACGTAAATGAGCGCACAAGTAGCCGTAAGCGCGGATGAACATCCGACGGTGCTCCTCCGCCTCCGACCCCAGGGGATCCCGGCCCCAGAATAGTGGGTGCGTTGCCGAGATTCACTACAGATTGCACCTGGATGATGCATCAACGGCGAACGCCAGGAGTCCACGACCGATCGGGCCTGAGCGCTTGCCGCAGTATTGATGTCGAACAGAATTTCCTGGGGTTTGTGTGCCCCTTCGAGTCGATCGCACTAGTGATGTTAACCACATGCGCGGGGGTTGAACGATTGATCGCGGGGTATACGATCGTAGTGGCGTCGTCGTGGCTCTTGTCTGCTCAAATTCAACGCCACGACGCTCGATGCGTGGCCAAGCACTTGCGAAGGCCGTCGCGCGAGTGGACATTGCTATAAGCTCGAGTCAGCCCGATGAATACACGCGTGAAAAAATCGAGAGGTCCGGGGAGTGGAGATGATAGCTCAGTAGAGTTGCTATCACCAACGCGGATCCTGACCCTGAGCGACGGAACGAGATGGTGGAGAAATGCCACGGTTGGGAGATTAGTCGTCACACGCACCTTTATCGCATGTCCAGCTACGCTGAGGTCCGCACTTGCGCGACGACGAGACTGCTGTCTGATGTAAGTCTTTCTAGGGTCGTTGGCCGGGTCCACCCTTTCCTAGCAGCTGCCAGCATGACGTCGCAGAGGCATATGGCAGCTACACGGCCACTGTGGTACCCGGTATCGGTAGGACTACGCTCTAGAATTGATAGATAAACAGAGGAATACTCAGCAGATAGGAAAAGTCATATATTTATGAGTTACGCACCGATACACCCCTTGCGAGGTAACTAGTGAGCGAGAGGTCATCTTGATAATTCGCCGTGAAATGGACTCCTCTGCGCGTGTTGTCTTGCGCGGGGCTCAGGGAGGCGCGGACCCAGAAACCTACGGCGCGATAACCACATCACGCCACAACGGCGGACTCAAAACATGCTTGTACGACGCACCTGCGCTGCTTTCAAACCCTGTGCCCTCCGGTTGTGTGGCGTCCCACTAGGGGTAACTTTCGTACTCGCACTGACTGCAGTAAGTGGCGCCGCGCCGTGACGAAACGAGTCCCAAAAATACGCACGAGCAGGACGAGCCTCTCTAGTTGAACGGCGCGCACAATGGTGGCGGTCTCCTCATCCCGCCACTATACGCCACGGTGGGGTGCTGTGCGGTGGGCGCAACACCGTCGTAGCTCACAAGTGTCGATGGGCGGCGCTTCGAGCCCCTATGAGGAGGCCTACAAAACCTGCGCCTCGTCTGCGTTATGCTTCAGTACCGATACTCAAGATGTCTACCAGAACCTACCTCCTCTACACCGTCTCCTTCGCACTCGTCGTACTTGCGGCAGTTGCCTCTGCTCGCCCGCAGAGCTGCGGTGGTGACACCGCTGATAGTAGGCGACAAAACCACTTTTACGCCGATTCATAAATTGACATGACGTAGCTTTAGGCCATGACGACCCCTGCTGGCTGTAATCCATGGTCACCCGAGATTTTTATGTATGACTCGAAGTAGGTGAGCTTACCATTTGCTATACTTCCGCTGACCGAATATTCACGCGGCTTGGGCGCAGATTCGAGATGACGCTGCAATGCAGCACGGTGGTAGTTGGCTATAATATTTTGTAAATCAATGAACATTATGTATACGTTGGAGGTACTTCTCCTGTGCTTTGAAGATTCACTGTGTTCATGGCATTGAACGGCAACTTCCATTGGCGCTGGTACGGGCGTCGCCATCCAAAATGCTCTAAGCGAGGTGATGATAGCGCCCTGCGCGCATCTCCGCTGCGGGACTTCTTCATGTCCGTCGCTCGGTGTCCAATGGCCGTGGAGGCAGATCTGCAGTGTGCGCTCGATACAGCGTCACGGTGTTCCGCATATCCGAAGACCAGAAGCACCGGCCAGGAAAATATCAGAACGCGCAGCCCTGAGCAGCCGTAAATCTGCGCGCACAAAGATCAACACATGGCCAAGCCCACAGGGCAATGTACTTACGTGAAAGGATCCGCGCATCTCCCCAACGGAAGAGAGTGCATGGTGCACTCCTCGATACATCGCAATTTCAGGACGACATCAACGCTAGAATCTTCAGAGCGTATCAGCCCGAGTCAGAAGAGCAAACAGAGGTGATGCAGGGAGACTCCACCCTGAGCACTCCCACCTCCCAAGCCGAAAAAGCGTGGCAAGGGGTGCAGGCGCCATACGGCCTCCGTTTTGCCGAGGAAAACGGACTTCTGCGAACAAAACGCGCCCAACAATTGCAAACCTCCGTTTTGGCAATGCAGTCGGCCGGACAAATTGTGACGGGGAATTCAAGTCCCGTACGACTGGCATGCCGGGCCTTCGGAGGGCGCTGGGACTGCCGCTGGCCATCTGCACCGCTTGCCTTCCACGCGCTGCGGATAGAAGCTTAGATTGGCTGCTTCGTGGTACGAGCAAGGTACATACATAAGCGACCTCGCTTCGGTGGAGGGCAGTTTGCGCCCAACACCCGCTGAGCCTATCCACCGCACTTCCTACGCACTCGCTACTACTCGCTACCGCCCACATCAGCAGAATGCAGTTCACCAGACACGCACAGTTCTTCTTGGCGCTCGTCGCGCTCCTCTTGGTGCTGCCAGCGACGCAAGCGAGGCCACAATGCTCAGATGATGTGGAGGAAGGTACGTGATCCCGACCTCGACGACAGAGAGTGTAGGCTGAAGTGTCGGTTGGGGTCTACAGGTCCGCACGTCGACACTTGCTGGCTGTAAGACACCGACCTTGGTTGCTCGCACTTGCGGTGGGTGGCTTCATCTGAACACAGGCGAAGCAGTTAACTTACGGCGCAACAGCCCGCGACAACGGGACTTAGAGTACCCTGTCATCGTATATCAAGCATCTCTATTGTATTCGTCAGCGGACATATGAACTGTGAGATGAACAAGACCCACTAGACTGAGACGGCGACCCTGTGTGCGTCTTCGACTGAGCTCTTCCTGCAAGAGATATCTCGCCGAAATAGAAAGCAATAGCGAGCATATAAGATACAGTCAATACAGCATAGCATACAGTACAAGCAATGAGGCGCTACTGCGATTGCTCCGCATATACCTACAAGTCGTCGTATCAGTGTCCTGCAGCCGATTTGGGCGTATGTAAAGTCACTCGCCTTGATGGTCTTGTCCGCTCCTCCGGTGATCAAGCGCGTGCCTGTCATGTCGAACGTTGAGCAGAACACGCCCGCTTCCGCCTCGAGCGAGCCCGGCTGAGGTATGTCGTCCATAGTCTGGAACGCCGTGCCGGTGTCGTAATCCCACAACGAGAGCGAGCCGTTGTCACCTTGGTGCCCATGTCAGAGGGGGATAACGAGCGTAAGATTGGGAGCTCACCTCCAGAAAAGAACACGCCCTCCGAGTTAACTGAGAGCGTGTTAATGATCGCGTTTTGCCCGCTGAAGTTGAAGACGAAGGTGCCCTCCGGGCACTTCCACTTCTTGATGTTGTTCCCGCCTGCAGATGCGGAAGCGAACGAATACTCCGTCGGGTGTATCGCGAGTGCGCGCACAGACTTCTTGTGGTGCGTCAGGGTGGTCAGGGTCTTGCCCGCGGCCAGGTCCCATAACCGGACTGTCGAGTCCATGCTACCCGTGATGACCTGAGGCTCCGACTCCTGGCACTTGACGTCCGCAACCGTCGCCGTGTGCCCCGCTAGTACGTGGATTTGCGCCTTCGTCCGCATATCCCAGACTCGAGCGGAGGCGTCGCGCCCCGAAGTGACCAGAACGTCAAGGGTGGGATGCAGACTGAGCGCATACACTCCTGACAGGTGACCGTGGTAGTGTCGAATGACCTTGTTCGCCTCGAGGTCCCAGCATTTCACCATCTGGCAACACAATGTTCAGGAGTATGAGGAGATGCGACGCATATAGTCGACCAACCTTGTCCTCTCCGCACGAGAAGAGATATGGATGCCGGGAGGAGACCGCTAGACCCCGCACGGTGGAAATGTGACCGGTTAATGAGAGCTTCAGCTCTCCCGACGCCAAATCCCAAATCTTGATCACCCGGTCACCCGCTCCTGTGGCAAACCACTGGTTGCCTGGCTCCACCGCGACGCTACGCACCCAACCCAAGTGTCCAGAGATGACACGAACAAGCTTCCATGGGGCGTGGTATGTCGGCCTGATAGTTCGTGTGGTTTTGTGAAGTTGGAGTGCTGTCCTGAGGTTACTGGAAGAAGAGAAGGTAGACGGTTGGGCGACGGGAGTGTTGTCTATTTGCGCGATCATACGCCCGGCGTCGGAGCTCGCTGCAGTGAACGGTGAGTGGGTGGGCGTTTTGATGAATCTGGTACACGCACGTCCGGCCGTGATCGCTTTCCGCTGCTCCTTCGGACGTGCGGGGCCCACGGGCCCTTGCTGGGCAAGCAACGACCCAGGAAGTTCCCTCGCTTCCTTATACTCGTCGTTCATTTTTACCGACAAGCGGATCCGCGCGCTGCTATTGTGAGCACACATAGGTTGAGAGGACTGGAAGTAGGACACACCTCTTTTCCTCATCCCGCAGACTTTCGTCCAAACCAGCAGCGAAAATGTCCCGAGTACGCTTCCCGCATTGTTGCAGCAAGGGATTCAGAGGTGGCAGTGACGAAGTCATACTTGAGCCCAGAGTGAGACGGTCAAGAGAATAGACAAAGGAGTACGGCGAAGAGGTGTCCCGCAGAGTAACGTCAAGAAGGGAACGGCGAGCAGGTATACAAGGGCTTGACGTCGAGCTCGATGGTAGCGGCAGCGAGCTCGACGCGCGCGCCGTTGAGCGCGCTATTTGCGCGTGCTTGGTGCTGCTTTGTCAGCAGCCTCAGTCGTGTGCACACGGGCGCCTATACCCCGCTCGCATGCAGCAGCGCCGTGGATGCGTTGCTCTTTGCGCTGAACCACATGCATCGGAGTCGACGACAACGTCGTATCTGCCGCACTGACCTCTCCGTTGACCTCTGAATTGTCTCCGAACGCGTGAGAAAACGTGATTGAAGCAAGAGAGAGCAACGAACATGTCCGCCGCGGAGCTGAAGCCGCTCGTAAAGTCGCTGAGTAGCGCGTCGACCGATGAGGTGTGTACCAATCTTCCTATGGCCTCCCCGTGCAGTCGCGTTTTCTGACGTTACGACCACAAGGATATCGTGGGTATCCTCAACACCCTCAAGCAGCAGCCGAAGATCACCGAGTCTCTTCTCAGGGTACGTTTCTCCGTTCACTCGCAGCATGACGTAGATGCACATTAGCGGTTTGCAGGAAAGCAAGGCTGGCTTGGCCGTCGGAAAGCTCAGGCAGCACGCATCCAAGAGGGTGGCAGATTTAGCGAAGGAGATTGTGAGGAAATGGAAGACGGAAGTTGAGCGGGAAAAGCAGGCATCGGGCGGTGGCGCAAAGGCAGCGTCCAACGGCAAAACTTCAGGTGCGTTCTATTCGTGTTCATACCAGGCCTGGGTCGTCTCACATTTTGTGTAGCCGCGAAGAAATCCGTCAGTGCAGGCTCGAATGCCGCCACCCCTTCCACTCCCGTAACACCCACTGCGTCTACAAGCGGCTCTGGCTCTAAGCTCAACGAGACTCGTTCGGCGAAGACGGATGGCGTGAAGATCGAGTACACAGGGGATAAGACCCGAGACAAGTGTGCCGAGCTCATATACGACGCGCTTGTCTTTGACTCTGGCGCACGTACGTCCCTTTGCCATTTGTGCCGTATCTGAGATGACGTTGCTAACTCTTCGCAAACAGCGAGCGAGCAGGTCATGACGCGTGCCAAGGACATTGAGAAGACCGTGTTCAACGACAATAGTGGTGCCAACGCCGCATACAAGGCGAAGATTCGTTCGTTGTTCGTGAACCTGAAAGACAAAAACAACCCAGGCCTGCGTGAGAGTGTGGTGTCTGGCGACCTTGCCATCGCTAAGTTTTGCAGAATGAGCAGCCAGGTGCGTTTGGAAGCTTTTGTAGACCTCCGCGATATGTCTAACCCACGCATGATAGGATATGGCGTCAGAGGAACGCAAGGCAGCAGATGCCAAGATCGCCCAGGAGAATCTCTTCAAGACACTCGGCGCGGAGGAAGTGCAAGCAGAGACCGATGCGTTCCAATGCGGACGCTGCAAGCAGGTCGGTATTCCACTGTATGTCTCCCAGGATCACGATGCTCACCTCACTGCAGCGGAAATGTCGCTACCGTCAAGCACAAACTCGCAGCGCTGATGAACCTATGACTGTATGCGCTTCCTCTCCTCGTTCTACGTACTTTGCTAATCATACCTTTCTAGACGTTTGTAACGTGCGTATTCAGCGTGTTGGCTGGCTGCCGCCCCCAATTACTAACACTTTTCCCTTAACCCTACGCAGCTGTACCGTATGTAATAATAGGTTTGTAACCTCTCATTCATCCGACCATATCCACCGCACGCACTGACTACCTCACCCTTCACAGATGGAAGTTCTCCTAGAAGAATCACGCATAATTGCCTCCCTTGCGTGGGCCGCCAGCCTCTCGCGTCCGCCCTTTCTCGTATGCTTTTCATAGCCAAGTCTGCACATTGAACAGACTCTACTCCTTTTTGCATGTACTTATTTTCTTCCTTCTATGCATGCCGTGCTGTACCATTTGCCATATTCCCTATGCAGGTCGCCGTCCACCGCGCAGAGCAAGTAATCGAATACTACGATATACCAAACTTGACTGAAATGTACAGCTGACGGTCTAAGCACGGGGCCTTTCAGTAACCCGCAAGCCGTCCCCATCACCACATATCGAACCGCTCAGCGCTATCGCGCAATCTCTGCCGAAGACCTCTCGTAATCTCATCCCCCAGCAACAATTTCAAGCGCTTCAGCTTCGGCGCCCCGCCCCCAGCACGGGCGTGAAGGCATGCGAGGAGGTGCTCCATCGCGCTTTTCCCCCACTCATGACCATATATATCGAGTTCCTGTAGAGCTGGACAACGAATGCGGGTCCCCTTCCCTTCCTCTCCAGCACCCAAACGGGTGTCGCACAGGACGGATAGTGCGTCGGTGAGGGCGGCCGGGAACTCGTCCACGTCTTGCGCATCGAGAGTCAGGGTTTGTAGCATAGGGAAGGTGTCGAATGTCGAGACCCAAGTGTCGAGTGAGACTGAATTCAGGTTGCCTTCGATGCTGAGGGTCGTCATTTGCGCCTCTCCTGAAGGGAACAGTGCCAGCAGCTGCCGTAGGCCCCTCTCCAACCACCTATCCCATTGCACGGCACCGGCGGAGAATAACTCCAGCCTGCAGGTCCCACCAGAAGCGAGCTCCAATGCGACCGCGTTCGCCTTGTGTCCGACCTCCAGGATTATAGAGAACACGGGGGACGTGAAGGTTGCTTGGGTAGCCGCGGCCCGCGGCAGCAAGGATGCGTAAGACGCAGAGGGGTCGTTTGGATCGCTGTCCCCTGTGAGTTCGAAATCGCACACGGAGAGGGTGCGGAGGTGCGAGACCAAGCGCGCGATGTGGGCGGGCACGTCGGCGCATTGAAGGAAGGTTAGCTTTGGGAGCGTTACGAGACGTTCGTTTGGAACAGAGGTCTGGGTTGACAGCGCGGTGGAAAGGAAGTGGCCGAGCTGGAGATCCTGGAGTCTTTGGGCATGCTCGAGAACATCCAGGAACTCCGCGAACGGGAGGGGCTTGGTCGACAGTTGACAATCCCGCAGAGTCAGATTTTGTAGATTGGCTAGGAGTGGCGAGGTCCACGCGAATGTGAATCGGGTAAGGCTGAGCTTTGCGAGGCGAGGGCAGTTGTCGTGACTGATGAACACGGTGCTCTTTCCAGAGTGTACGTGCTGTAACGAAGGATCCAGCTGGTTTGTAAGGTCGGGGACTTGGTTCGTCAGGTCGAGGGCTCGGAGGAGCGGAAGAACGCGGGAAAAAAGCGGCTGAAGGGCGTGGGTGGTCGGAGTATACATGTTCAACGCGCCTAGGTGGCTGGAGTGTTGCACAAGAGCCGGTAGGGTTATATCCATGTCGCAACCGCTAGAGAGTGTGACGCGGATCGGGGCGCTACCCGAGCGTCGTAATGCGAGCTTCAGCCACGACGTCTTGGTAGATACCTCGATGGTGGTCCAAAAGACAGCTGCCTTGCGGATGAGAGCACACCAATGCCGACATACGCCCATCAGGCGCGCCCACGGACGTCTTAGGTCTCCTCCCCTAGCGCCAAGGTATCGATACTGCGGCGCAAGCAAATATTTGAAGACTTCCAGGAGGACCTCCGCAGGGAGTGCGTGGATCGCCACATTCGCATTCCACAGCGCTCTTAAGCTGAGAAGCTTGAGCTCGAAAGTTTGCAGCTGAGCATGCTCATCCGTCTTTCCCGCTTGTACGGGAGAGACTAACGGCTTGGAAATCTCCACGCCAATGCCGGGAAGGCCGTATAACGGGCTCGGCAGATTTTCGTCAAGGAGTAGTGTGGAGGCGTGGTCCGCCGTCGATGATCTGGAATACAGAAGATCATAAAAATAGTTGTCGTTGTTTAAACAGGGTGAGCGATCTCACCGTATACCGTCGTCGGACAACATGGCTGTTGGTAAGTATAACGATGGTGGCGGTCGAAAACAAGACCGCCTGCCTCGGCGCCAAATCACGCCAATTCCGACGTGTTCAAAAAATACCTCCTAATATTAAGCGCCAATTACTCCATGAGGGGCCACAAATTTGCAGTGAAAGATATTCATCGTTGAGTGGTGAACTCACATACAACATTTACAGTATACTACAGGGTGCGATGTAGACAGAAATGAGAAGACTAACCGTGCCAGTCGCGTTGGGGCGAGCGTCATGATTCTCGGAGCAGCTCAACGCTTGCGCGCAGTTTCTGCCGGAGGCCCTCCCAAATGTGCTCCAACCCCGCGCCAGCCATTATATCCAATCTTGGGCTCACTCTCAGGCACTGCAGCTGCGGGGCCCCGCGCGCAGCCCGGGCGCGAAGGCATGTGAGGACGTTCTCCACCGCGCTCGGCGTCCACTTCCAACCCTCGTCCATCATGAAATTGAGGTCCGCGAGCGCGGGACAACGAACGCCATAGAGTCCATCTACTCCATCCTTTCTGGCCGCGCGTCCGGGCGCGGTCACTGGGACGGAGAGCGAGCGGATGATGGCGGTGGGGAACGCGCTCCCCGCTTGCACCTCGAAGTCGAGAATCTCCAGTGTCGGGAAGGAGTCGAATATCATGTCCCAGGTGGCAGACGAGACGGCAGCCAGTGCTCCTGCGATATTCAGGTGCGTGAGCCCCGCTCCTCTCAAAGCGAAGAGCGATGGCAATTGCTGCAGGCCAGATTCTAGCCATGTGTGGTCCCATCGAGCGCGGCTGGCACGGTACAGTTCCAGCATGAATGTACCGCCGGGGGGGAGGTTCCATGTGATTACGTGCACCTCCCGGCAGACTTGGAGGGAGACGAAGGAGACGAAGGGCGTGAGGCATACGAGGGGAGCATTCCGCGGGAGGAAGGAGGCGTAGGTTATGGACGGGTTGGTAGAACTACACTCTCCCATGAGTTCGAAGTCACACGTGCCGAGGATACGGAGGTGCGACATCAGTCGGGCGGCAATATCGGGCAAGGCATGAAATCCGAGATAGGATAGCTTCGGGAGTGTGACGAGGCGTCCAGGCGGGACAGAGGTCTGCGACGACAAAACGACGAAAAGGAAGGACCCGAGTTGGAGGGACCGAAGTTCTTGGCCATGCTCGAGAACATCCAGGAACGCAGTGAACGAGAGCGGCTCCGTCGATAGCGCGCAGTCGCTCAGAGACAGGAACTGTAAATTAGCCAGGAGTGGTGCGGTCCAGGTCAGCCCATATCGTAAGAGGCTGAGCTCTTCAAGGCACGGGCAGATGTTGCGGTTGACGAAGTCGACATTGCGCCTGGGGCGCCCATATGCAACGTGTTGGTCAAGATTGACTGTGAGGTTGGCAAGGATAGGAAGACGGTGGATGAAGAGCGCTTTGATCCAACCAGCGTTCGGCGCGCTCACTTCCAGTTCTTTGATATGGTCGGTATGTTGTTGGAGGATTGGGATGGCCGCCTTTATATCACAGCCGCGAGATATCGTTACGCGAAGCGGCGCTCTACGAGAGCGGCGTAAGGTGAGGTCCAGCCACGACATGCTTTTGGTGCCCTTAGAGATGTCGATGGTGCTCCAGAATTCCGCGTCGTTCCGGATGAGAGCACACCAATGTCGACAAACACCCATCAAGGGCACCCAGGGACGTCTTGGCGCTGCATGCGTGTACCTTTGTTGATAAGACGGAACCAATAAATACTTGAAGATATCGAGGAGGATTTCAGCGGGAAGTGTGTGTATTGAAAGGTTCGCATTCCACACCGCCCTCATGCTCAACAGCTCGAGCTCGAAGTGTCGTCGCAGGACAGGAAGATCTGCCTTTCTAGCTTGCAAGCCAGCAGCTATGAGCCGATGGAAGTCGACGCCGATAGCGGGTAGCCCGTATAGAGGGCCAGACAGGTCTTCGTCCAGGAGGATGCGAGTGGGCGACGAGGAACAATTGGTACTGGCCATTGCAACCGGGAACGCTAGCAACCGTGTCAGTGATGATTATCAGGATTGTCCAGAGTACTTTCATAAGTTTACCTATGTATTATCTGCCGGATGTCGCTGCTAAAAGGGGGTGGCGTTGGATGGTGGTCGAAGAGAACGCATAGGCATCGCCGCCTGAACCGACTTTAAGCATATCGGCAATTCCCGCTTGCAAAACAAAGCACTTTCTACGTCAGTGTCGCTTGAACGAGGTGACGCAAGCCGCTCTTGTGACCAGAAGCTGTTGAGATACTTAGTAGTGAAAATATCGGACCCACGTCATTGCACTGCCAGTGGAGGAAGCGAGACGACGCTAATTTCTTCGTTATAAGTATAACGCTGTGAACAAGGTCCCAAGGATGCTATGAGCTTACTATGATTTACCATAGTCGCAAGCACCTAACAATCCGAGACAGTAGTCTGGACTGCAGCTGCAACTTCGATGGTGGTCGTTGAAGGTAACGTTGATTTTCGCCACCGTCCACGCTCTTACCATTTTACATAGACGCCTGTACAGATTCAAATTGCACAGCACAACGACGCCGCCCGCCTAGCTCAATCGGATAGAGCGTCAGACTCTTATGACCGATATGTTTAGTGGTTATCTGAAGGCTGCGAGTTCGACCCTCGCGGTGGGCTTGTGGAAACAAGGCACTCTTTTTTCCTCCCAATACTGTTTTCCGGAAAGAGGTTGAGCGCTTCAACCAAAGACGTTGGTCACGTGACGTGCGAGCCTCGTGGAAGCAGGCGCGCGCCTTCGCGCGCCGCTACCGCTTCGGAGCCGCAGCGTTCAGCGCTGCAGGGCCGCAACCTGGTCCAGTCCACCATCGCCACTATCCCTCTATCCAGCCGGCGGCCTGTCTGGATGACAAGACTGCTGTGGTTGACTCTGTGTACTGCTAAGCTTCAGTTCTGCTGAGGAGAGACCTACTCGCTGAGTACTACTACTAGCAAGAGTGACTTCCATCCGCAACCATGAGAGGGGAGCATACTGTCAAACAGTTGCAATATGACAAGCGGCAGTATCACAGGCACCTGAGGGGGTGGTTTAGCTATGCTTTTGCAAGGTACGCTGTGGCGCGCAGTACTATTCATGTGAAGTGACGAACAGCGAAAAGTGAAGTCTTCGTCATCGTCTCCTTGACCCTCTTCCTCCCAATATGTCTGGAACAGTTTGCGCGGTACGTAGTACGAGCTGCGATGCTCTCTTATATGCCGACTTACGCGACGCTCACAGTGACAATGGTTATCTTTTGCCAGACAAAACACAACCGTGCAATACAGCCATACCCGCCCCCGCTTCCCCTGACGTTGAAGACGCGCGTTGCGTGGTCAAGCTTGGCTGGCTATGGATAGATAGTGCCAGTTTCAGGTGCGTGTTCCCGATCTTGTGTCCACAAAATATGCTAAGATTGTTGAACGCAGCCTGTATATCTATTCCGCGTCGGTCGCACTTCAGGCTCTCACCGTCATCTCCATGGGCGGGATCGCAGACCACCGTGAGCGTCTCATCCGAGCGGGTCTGCATTGAATCAACACTGATGTTGTGCCACTACCAGCTCCCCATCGCAAGAAGCTCCTCTTAGCTTTTGCTGCGCTAGGTTCCATCTCTGCCATACTTTTTCTCCTCATTCCGTCCACTTCTCCTGCGTGGCCCATCGTCGCGCTGCTTGCTGTTTGCGCGAACGTCGGTTTCGGCGCGTCCATCGTCGCACTGAACGCCTACATCCCAACTTTGGCCCAGGGCGCGCAAGAGGTCGTCGAGGCGCGTGCCAAGCTCGCTCGCCACACCCGTTCGGCAGAACTACCCACAGAACCGCACGATTCGGCGGACGTCGCATCAGAAGCAGATGAACCTTTGCTCGCGCAGGCATCAGACGAAGATGACGCGCGCGCGGCGAAGGCGGAGCACGACAAGATCCTGTCGACGACGACCTCGCGCATCTCCTCGCAAGGGATCGCGCTGGGATATGCCTCGGGAATCGTCATGCTGCTCCTCACGCTCATTCCTGTGCGGGCGATGAAGGGCTCGACGGACGCGCTCCGGCTCGCAATCGGCCTCAGCGGGATATGGTGGGCGGTGTTCTCACTCCCGGCCGCGGTGTGGCTCCCTGGGGCTGCTACTATTGCACAAGCAGCGCACTTGCTGGAGGAGGACGGTGATAGCGTCCCCTTACGAGCAACGCCGGACGAGCAGAAATGGAGCATGACGCGCGAAATTGCTCGTGCGTGGAGAAGGCTGGGACAGATGCTACGGTGGCGGGAGATCAAGAAGCTCCGCAACACTTTCACTTACCTCGCCGCGTGGTTTCTCCTCTCCGATGGTCTGCCCTATCTATAAATTCTCCACACCACGTACTGATCACCTAGCGTAGGATTCACGACGATCACGTCGACCGCCCTCCTTTTCGGGAAGACAACGCTACACATGCCAGCATCGTCGCTGGTCCTCATAGGCGCGCTCACGCCCTCAGCAGGCATCCTCGGCTCGCTCGTCTGGCCGATGGTGCAGCGCCGCGCGGGCTGGTCAAACATGCGCGTGCTCGTCGTGCTCGTCGCGATGGCCTCAGCGATCCCCGCGTACGGATGCTTCGGCTTCTTGCCCGTGTTCCAGAAAGGCAGCGTAAAGTTTGGAGGGCTAACAACTCCAGCGGAGATGTACGTCCTCGCGGTATACTTCGTGAGTGACCTTGTCGTCTTAGTACGAGTCGTCGGGCTCTGACATGTCTCGCGCTGGCAGGGCTCCGTATATGGCGCATTCCAGGGGTACGCGCGCGCGTTCTACGCCGAATTCATTCCCCCTGGCGAGGAGGCGCGGTGGTACGCCCTTTTCTCCATCACCGACAAGGTATGTCTTCCCGTCCTCTGCATTCGCCCTCGCTCACGTATCAATGCAGTCGAGCTCGTTCGTCGGACCGCTCGTCGTGGGCCTCATCGCAGACACGACGGGCAACATCCGCTACGCGTTCTTCTTCCTCGTGATCATGATCTGGGCCGCGGTGCCTGTGCTGATGGCGGTCGATGTTGAGCGCGGGCGGGAGGACGCCCAGCGGTATGCCGCGCATGCGGCGATGTGAGGTGGGCCTTCGTTCGTGTTATCTGGATGGGTGCGTTGTTCTGTTTATATTGTCACGTTTGCTATCTTGCTTTGTCTATATATCATTCGCTCGGCTGTCTTCAAATCTACGGGCGTAGTATCGTATATATGGATGCAGAAGGCTAGAAAACCACGAACGTCTGGATTGGACCACTACCAGCACCAAAGTGCAACCTCGCCGACATATTCGTGAAACCGCCCGCGATTGTGTTCATCCTCAAGATCCATGGACTCAGGAAGTCTCGGGTCTACTCCGAGTGACAAACGCTCCAGTCTCTGCGCACCTTCGGCAGCGCGACACCGCAGGCACTCCAGCACGGTGTCCATAGTCTGCGATTTCCACCAAACGGGATAGAGCGTAACCTCCTTGAGGGCAGGACAGCGCACCCCAACGTGCGCCTCGCCGACTCCGTTCGGCAATCCGGGGCCTGTTTGGAGAGAGCCAAACAACCCGCCGGGCAGCTCGAGCATGTCGCGGCTCTGGACGTGGTGGAGCTTGAGCGTCTGGAGCGCCGGAAACGCCTCGAACACGACGTCCCAGGTCCCGGGGGAAAAGTCGAGCGTGCCAGAGAGCTCCAGCGTCGTCAACGCGAGCCCAAAGACGGTCGGGAGCCGCAGCACTTCCTGGTCCAGCTCCCGGGACCACGACGCAGGGGGTTTGTGGAGGAACAGCCGCAGGTCGAAAGGGGGAGAACCGCTGGCGTACACTTTTCTCCCCTCGTGCTTGACTTCGAGGGCGACCGAGGAGACGGATTGGAGGATGGGCACGCGCGTGAGGTCTTCCGGGAGCAAGCAGCTCAAGGTAGCGTCGGCGATCGAGGGGTCGTCGGGGTTGCTACACTCCCCTTCGAGTGCGATCTCTGACAGTGCAGGAGTGTGGAGGTGCGCCATAAGCTGCGCAACGCGCGCGGGGTCGTCATGGAAGGTGATACGGCGGAGTCTGGGGAGTGTTACGAGGCGCTGGTGGGAGACGGAGGTCCGGGGGGACACCGCAGCCGAGAGGAAGTTCTTCAGGTATAGGCCCCGGAGTCTCTGGCCGTGCTCGAGAACATCGAGGAAGTCTCCAACGGCAAGGGGTGGAGTCGAGAGCTGACAATGGGATAGAGAGAGGATCTCCAGACCGGCGAGTATGGATGCGCTCCAGGGCAGTGACACGCGCGTGAGGGATAGCTTCACAAGGCGGCGGCTGCTACAGTTGAGCTCCGGGAGTTTAGAGCGCGCGGGGTGGTACGATCTCTCCAGCGAGACCTCGAGGCTGTAGAGAATGGAGGACGGCCATGACAGAATCGAAGCGACGCCGGGGTCGTGCATGGAACCCTTGAACGACAGAGCCTCGACGTTCTCGGCGCGTTCCATGAGTATGGGCAGCGCCGTTTTGAGGTTGTGGAAGAGCGCTATGCGGGCTGGCGCATTCCCTAGTCGGCGCAGGGCGAGGGTGAGCCACCGGACGTCCTTGGATCTGACCTCGATGTCCCTCCAGAAGCAAGTGGCACCCTTGATGAGGGCGCACCAGTGTCGGCACACGCCCATCAGTCGCGCCCAGGGACGTTTCAACCTGCCGTTGGTCTCCGGGTCAGCGACGAAGAAATGGTGCGACGGGAGAAAACGTTGGAAGATTTGGATGAGGACCTCCGCAGGGAGCGTATGTATCGGCAGGTCTGCATTTGTAAGGCTCAGCCGCTCGAGGTCAGACTTGTGTTGTAGGGCATTTGGGTCCGTCTCTTTCGGCTGGTGTGCCGAAGAGCCCGTTGAATGGTGTAGTATCGAAGCAGCGTCGATGGAGGGAAGGTCATATAGCGGGCCAGGCAACTCTTCATCCAGGAGGACGGGCGTTGAGTATGGTTCCGCGCGATTTGACCCAACCGGGATCAATCTAGTAGTTGACGGATAACCATTTAGTTACATCGAAGCAGTTCTCCTGAAACAGCGGCTGCAAGCTTACTGGGATACATCGTCAGAGAACATAGCAGAGAAAGAGCGTGCAGACGAGCGTTGGTAGAGACGATGGCCCGTGATGACGGCCGGAGACAAGGCGAGGTCGACGACTGTTGCTACCAGACATATACCGCACGTGGTGACAGAAGTATTTACCGTTGTCGTACCGTACATGCCAGGCACCGCGAACTGCACGCCTGGAAACGTACATCAGAGCGCCACAAGCGAGATATCGTCGACGGCTTGAGTCCTGCAAAATATCTCGCGATAAACTTCAAGTTCCACAACCTGGTCGGCATCACGAGCTATAGCTAATCCCGTAATCTCCAACTCCAGGCATTCCAGCTTCCGCGCTCCGTGCGCGATACGGACGAGAAGGCATTCTAGCAGGTCGTCCATGACCTTCTGGCTCCATCTCCAGCCACAGAATTCGAGTTGCTTGAGGTTTGGACAACGCACGGAGTGAACAGGCACCCCTTCCTCGCTGGAGACCTTGGGCTCCACGGGGACCGAGAGAGAGAGGATGATGAGAGTGGGGAATTTGGGTCCAAACCCCGAAAGTGCCAAGCCTTCCAACATCGGGAAAGATTCGAATACGAGGTCCCAAGTTGCGAGCGAAGCGTCATGCAGGTAGCCACAAATATCCAACTTCGTTACCGCAGCTCCGAGGAGTGTCGGGAGCTCCCTCAGCGCCCTGCACATTGTGCCTCCGGGCCAGTCATCGTAGGATGAATGGAGCGCGAACCCGATTTTTGAGGGAGCGGAAGTGCACCAGACCTGGTTTCTCTCGGGGGCTATCTCGAGGCACACGGAGGTAGCATGTGGCAGAATGGGTACGCGTGTGTAGTCCTCGGGAAGCAAGGACGCATAGATGGCGGAGGGGTCGTTGACATCAATGCACTCTCCTACAAGGGTGATGTTCGTGACCTGGGGCATGTGGAGGTGGGTCATCAACCGCGCAACATGGGATGGCACGTCGTGGCAGATGAGATGTTGCAGATGTGGAAGCGTCACAGAACGCTCGCGCGGGGCAGAGGACTGGGGGGCTAAAGAGGCGAAGAGGAAGTGTTCGAGGTGTAGATACCGAAGTCTCTGGCCGCGTTCGAGTATGTCGAGGAAATCTGTGAGGGGCAGCAGGGTCGTCGTCCACAGTTTGCAGTCCGTCAAAGACAGGACTTCTAGACTGGTTATCATCGCCGGCCTCCAGTGCAGGGTAGTTCGTGCGAGGGACATTGATTTGAGGCGAGGCGAGATAGTAGGGCCACAGAGGGCGGCGATTGGGGGGGATGACGGTCCTAGATCAATCATGAGGCTTTGGAGGACAGGAAAACGGGCTGCGAGGAACTTTTGGAAGACGATGGCTTCTGCGCTGTGGTCTACTTCCCCGTTAAACCTCAGTTTCTCGATGCGGCCAACATGATTCGTCAACATCTTCAACGCCCTGCCGGCGTCGCGATTGAAGCTGAAGTCCACGCGGATGGGAGCGTCACCTACACGGTGCAGGGCGAGTTCGATCATCATCCAGTCGTACGTGTTGATGTCCACAGGTATGACGATGTCCCTCCAAAATGTGGATGTGTTCCTGATTAGCGCGCACCAGTGTCGACACACGCCCATCAGGGCTGTCCAGGGGCGCTCAGGGTAAGCGGATGGTCGCTGAGGCGGTAGAGTATCCAGGGGAAACCTCGTCGGCGAGAGGAGACCTTCAAATATCTGAAGGAGTACCTCGGGAGGGAGACGATGAATAGGGAGGTCCGAGTTCCACATCGCCCTCCAGCTCAGGAGCTCCAGCTCGAAGTTCTCTCGTTGGCGGTGGAGGTCTCCGTTCTTCGGCTGACAGGGATAGGTGTTCAGGCGATGCGAATCGGCATCCACAGCCGGGAGGCCGTATAGCGGCCCAGGCAGTTTCTCGTCCAGCAGGACTCCAGGTACCGGGGAGAGTAGATCTCGCTTGCTAGGCTGCGGTACGAGTCTGAACGGTTCCGCGGCGCGGCGCCATCTGCTATGCCAGTTACGGTGACTGCGATGCATCATGAGCATGGGATTAATCCTACATTTTATAGAGGACGAGAATATACTTACTGGCGACGAGCAGCTGCGTACGACATTGCAGATGAGTGCAGTGGTTGACGATGAAACGGAGTCCGATGGCACGAGGTCGAGGTTTAACGTTCAAATTTCAAAGTGATCGAAATTGGCGCAAGATCGGCCTGCCGCCTGGATACTTATGCGAACCCACGTGTATATTTTGGCTAATTTGGTCAACGTTTTCAGCTATGGCAGCCTACGCAGCGTCATATCGTCCTAGCTGCTTCAGGGAGCCAACATGATTAATGCTCGTGCCAAATCGCCTCGAAATTTGGGTGGTAACAGCCATACACATTGATACTAATGGTACAAACGACAGTCGCGCCGATTTCGCTCATTCTGATCGTACAACTTACTGCGAGTTTTCACGCCAGGTAAGGGGCTTTGCATCCACACTAAGCCAGGTCAGCGTGTGACCGCTCACTGAGCCTGATCTGTGAAAGGGCTCGGTGTGAAGTTGTTCTTGATGTACTCGCAACTCTTGATCGCGAGCGACATTGCGGTGAGCGTCGCTGTGAGCCGAGCACATGAGCCCTATGCAGATCGCCTCATAATTGGGGCATGGAACTCACGGTTCGCGCCGTACGCGGTGGGAATGTTGCCGCAGCCGCCGAGGAAAAGGTTCTTAAAGCCGAACACGCGGGAGTCCGTGTTGACGCAGCACTTGTCCTCCTGCTCATCGAAGCCCATGCGGTGCGTACCCTGGGAGAGTTAAATTGTCGTCAGTATGTTTGGTGGATTGCATGTTGACGTCTCACTTACACCGAGGTGAAGGACAAGACCGGGCTCCATGAATTGCGGGAGAGAGCCGGGCAGGCTGCATGAAATTCAGTATAGGTTTTCCGCTGACCAGCATGCACTGAATCCGACTTACAAGCCACCAATCTTCGCCGACATGACGCACATGTCGCTTACCAGCCGGTCAGGTCAGCTTTGCCCTGATCGCATCCATATAAGGGGGGAAGACGTACGTCATCATGTCCTCCGCCTCCTTGCTCGTGCGGCCTGCCGGGAAGCGGAAGTCGAACGTCGGCTGCGGCATGTTGTACGTGTCGGTGATCTTGTCCGAGAACCAGAGCTTGTTTTCCTCCTTGGGCTCCGTCCTTCCGAAAAAGCGCCAGTCGACGATGAGACGCGAGTCGATGCTTTGCTGCACCGCACCGTAACTGAAAGCAAGCGCGGTGGTTAGGGTAGTTGTTTGACCCTCCTCTTTCTGTGTCCTCGCAGGACTCAACTTACCTGAAAGCGTCGCGGTGGATCTAGTAGAAGCGGATGAGAGCTGAGCAGTAACACGAGAAGACTCTGACGCACCTGGGTGTGCCACGGGTGCGACGGCTGGAACAGGGTGGTGACCTGGGGCTCTGTATAGACACGCTACGATCAGCCGCCGCGCTCCAAGCACTAACCCCACACGACTTACCGGGGTCCTCGAACGGGATCGGGAGCGGGTCCTCCTGGTGCTGCATCATGTGGTTCTTCACCTTCTCGTTCCACCAGTCCGGGTGCTTGTTGGTCGACGCGCCCGGCGTGTACGTGACGCTATACCCCGGATCACCAGGGTTGCCCCTGATGATCATGTCGGACTTGACGCTGTCGATGAGCTCGGTGCTCATCACGGTCTGGCAGAAGACGAGCGACTGCTCGGTGATGTAGCTTCCCAGGGAAGGCAGCAACCGCGGCGGGTTCGCGGGGTCCGGCCGGCCCAGCTGTCCAAAGCCAGAGTTCACGAGAAGCTGCAAATCGCATGAGCACGGGTCTCTACTGTCTGATAGATACATCAACGACGGACCTGCGCGTTGTGGACCGCCCCGGCTGTGAGAACAAACACGTCTGCCTTGATTTCGAAGCGGTCGCCTGAGATGAGGTCGTGGATGTGCAGACTCTCGATCTCGGAGTTCGACGTGTTGCGCACGACGCGCTCACATGCGACCGCGGGGAAGAGGTTGAAGCGCTCATTCGGCGCGTCCGTGTTCGGCCTGTTCTGGAGGTCGAACACGGTGTTCGCCGAGCTCCACTCGACGAAGGTCGGACTGCGGCGCGTTGCCGCCAGCGGGATCTGCTGGAAGTCGCGCTGACCTTTGTATTCCTCCGCGAGCTTGTTGAGCACGAGGTTGTGGCGGATCGACTCCTTGAACTGGTCCGTCCCGGTCTTGAAGTACGACTCGGCCTTGGTGTACAGCCGGTCCCACTCGGCGTCGTCGGCGTCCGTGTCATCCTTCACGAGCAGTGGGCGCTGCTCGCGGTCAAAGCGGGGTGTCGCGCAAGTCCCTGTAATACGTCTATGAGGTCGAGGCAGGCTGATGGAGAGAGAAAGGGATGTGTACAATGCGTGGACATTCCCCCGACGACGCGTGTGACCGCCTGACCACTGAGGTTACGAAGCGGGTCCTGCTCTGGACAGGGGTGAGCGCGGATTGTGCGGACGAACTCTGTCGAGAGACGTGCCTGGGTTCGAGCCGTTACGGACGAAGAACGATGAAGCTTGCCAAGACGTCGGGCTGAGCGTATCGATCACGAGGGTATTGACGGGAACGGAAACAGACATCAATTGACCCTATGAAATACGCATAAATGCGCGGTATAATGCTGGTGAACAAGCTGGTAGCTCACCTGAATGACGCTGATCACCATCGCAGAATTCAGTATTGTAGAGAGGTTGCTGATGTCTCAGAAATGATGCGTACTTCACAAACTTGTCAATGTTCTTCTGGTATTCGACAGTCTGACGATATCGCTGTGAGTGAAACAGAGTTTATAGCATCTCACGTCGCATGACTTACGTTCTTCTTGTGGGCACCGATCTTCAGGCCGGAGTCGCTGCGAAACCGTCAGTACCCCACCGTCAAGTAATGCATCAAAACACCTACATCTCTCCGATGTCGAACATCGCGACCTTGTAACCGGCTTCGACGAGCTCACGGGCATAGGTGCATCCAATCGGTCCGGAGCCTACTATGACAACGTCGTACTTGATGTCCATTCCCTAATTTTCCAGTCAGCAATATCCGTAACAAAGTTCGGAAGGAATGCGAGCAGACATACAGGGACTTTCTTGTCGGGACCAGGCAGCGGCGGCAGAGAAGTCGCCGAGGCCTTCTGCGCCGCCGCGCTCCTGAAGCTCGACTTCGTGAAGTTGAAGAACGGGTCGCTCGAGCTGGTAGACATGTTGGCGTGGTTTGAGAGCTACAGTAGAGTTGCAGGGGCTCCTTAGTAGTACGGTACGCAGGAGCATTCGACGTATTATATACTCACCGTCTGTGCGAGCGCCGCGGCGACTTGTGACAGCGAGAGTAATCAGGAGTACCTTGCTGCCGGGAATAAGTGGGCCTTCTCCGCCACCGGGATGCAGGGAAGGACATGGGAACGGGGTAGGATGACCTGCTGTGTAGTCGCCACTGCGTTGGAGACTCGGAGCAGCCTGACAGTGAGACAGGACCCTTGATCGTCTTCGATGGTGAACCCAGTACCGAATGGAGCGGTGCTTGGCCATAGGGCGAGAAATACAGGGATTATTAGCCTGTATAACACCTCTGCAGGTTTGCAAAATCGCATGATACGAATATGGTGTCGACCGTGCGGAGGCTTGAATACGTGGATGTCTGAATACGCCAAGTTCATTTCCTTACGATTCGATGACGGAAAGGAAAAGGTTTACCCGGCATGAGAGAACTGACGCGATACATGGACCCTCGACCGGTTGCCGATGAGTTCTCAAACTCACGGCGGAGTAAGAGTTTGTATACAAGCGCCTTCTGTGACAGCGCGAGAGGGCACCTTCACGGCAGGCGTTTTCCTTGGTTCTAAGACCTGAATAGCGCTCCCAGCCTGAGTCTGCCGCCGCAGCCCGCATGATGCGCTGCAGTGTCTAGCCGTTGAGTTATCTATGACAACGCGTGAGCAACAAAGTGATTGACATACAAGTTCACCAGGTAAGGATGAGTGTGCTTGAAGCCTCCCGGTGCTGTAATTGATGGTGAGAATCTGGCGCTTGCGGCGTTGCATGCGTGTGCCTATGGGCAAACCAAGGATCTTCGTTTGGAGGCTGCGCGTCACAAGCAGCGCCAGGCAGTCCTTCTTGACGGACCGAGTGGGCATGTGTACTCCGCGCATGCAAGGAAGTTCCCCTCTCGGTAAGGTCCGGGCGCTGGATATCCGGAGCATATGCCTCCGAACCGTAACGCCCCCATTCCACCGGTGGCGCCTGTCCAGCAATACTGACGTTTCTTCGCGTTCGATTCTACGGAGGTGTGTAAGCGACATCATATGCGCAGCCAGCACCGTTGGGATCCGACTAGAAGGTATGGTGCTTACGTTCCTACAAGTTGCCGACGACGCATTACACCGCTCGTGGTATGGTTCACAACGTTCACACCTCACGTTGAGTAGTGGAGGGAGTTATGGAACTGCGTATATACCCGAAAGCGCGAATTTGCATTAGCGTGTACAGGTAAGACGAGGGTTATCGAGAGCGAATGACTACGTACTTGGTATGGGCCAAAGACGGCCCTTGGTGAGATGGGCGTTTCCAAAACGCTAAGGCCTGCACATCTTGGGTGCTTCTGGTGCGCATCGATCGCCTCACAAAGCTGGTCGCGTCGACGTTCTGCGACATTCTGGATACGCTGGCTGTCAGTACTGAGTGTATTGTACCCTAGCGTCGTCTGTCGGAGACGGTGAGCGAGGCTTCGCGATCGCTCGAAAGATCTCCACCTCGCAACTAAACCAACGGTGACTTGGTACTCGAGATACAATCTGTTTTCAACAGGTATTAGAAACATAAGCTTCGGAACCACGTATCCAGACTCACTGAATGTGTACAGATGAGTGCTACGGACCACAGGGCCGCTCGCTACGCCGTACTATTACTATATGTCAGCCATCATCACAATGTCATCTAGCTCAAGCTTCGTGCGTACCTTGTCCTTCCAAGCACAACACACGTCGTTCACTGCGATGCAGCAATCGAATTACGGCACTCTAATATGAAATCAGCAGACTCACGGATCCTTCGGTGCCCTTATCTGTTACCAGACTTTGACTCAAGCTATCCTAGCAGCCCGTTCTTCTGAAACTGAGAATCGGGTTTGCGACTTCTGTAGGCCCCGCTTGCATCCTGAAACTCATGGGCTCGGGTGCTTCGCAAGAAGCTCTTGCGGTCAGGCTCACACCCAAGTCAGCCAAGAGAGTCAGATGAGGGCAGCGCCACAGGTCGTTGTCTTCTATCCATTGGCCCAGGTATGCGAGTGTCGCCGCACAGGGGGTTACGTTAGCGAAGCGCAACTCCAAAGGCTGCCAGTATACGCCTGATAGGCTGGTTTTTATAGACGATGCAGCGCCAGTCCCCAGATCAGAAAAAAAAACCACGCACAGGTGTCGTCTTACCCTTAGGTTGTTCACATGGCTGTTCTCATGAACTTGCACTACAATAGCGAAGACATTTTGCAGTGGCGCTGCCAGTATCCCTGGTAAACTTAGTGAGTAATGCACCTCACGGGGGCAGTTAACTTATGGTTCGCACAGTACACCACCTCGATGTTCCCGAAGCCACACATGCGAGGTGGTTGAGACGCCGTGCATTCGCTAGCTCGCGTCGTCACGATACCGCAATCTTCCCTGAGGGTCCACTGCTTCAGCGTTTGACTTTAGAAGATATAAGGCATGTCTGCTTACCTTCCTGCTGCGACAGACGCAGATTCAACTGCGTGGATAAGAGCTCCGTTGAGGGCTAGTATCGTCGTCTTGCGACTAAATGGCGAGGTTCCACCAGGCTAAGATGGCGGCGAACGTCAGGTCCCTAGTCATGACACGCGAAGTCGACTGCATTGATGTCCAAATACATCGTAGTCGCGACATAACATAACGACAATTGCCGCAGGTTCACTACGGCAGATCTGCCTCAATACTATTCAGCGAATTTGGAAGGCGGTTGACGTGGCCGCGACTCACTGCAACGGAGCAAGTACATCCGCGATGCCGCTTGTGCATTGGCACGCCGTGTCACAGTTCTCGCGCTGGAGGCGCAACGGTGGTGCGGTGCTATATGTTGCAGTAAGATTTGAAGGCCTTGCGCCCAGTTCAGCCTTGCGCCCAGTTCATGGATGTTGCAGGAGCTCAAGGTCTGTAATTTCATATGCTACGGCTTTGGGGCATGAAAGAGTTCTTGTCATCGGGCCGCCTCGACATTGCTACGTAAGACGGTGCACTGCGTAATTGAGGGTAATGACGCCAATAGCCGAAAGGCACAAGTAGGAGCGCGGGTCAGGTTTGACATACCTAGGTTCACAGATACACTCGTTACGCTCGATGGTATGCGCACTTAGTACTTAGTCGTGATGACTGAGTGAAGAAAAGTCGAAGAAAGTGCGAGCCAGCGCGACTCGAGCCGCAGCAAATATGAGCGCTTAACATTGCGGCAACACCCGACATTGACCCTCATTGACCCTCCGGACTCACCAGGTCCACCCCCAGAGCTGCCTCTCTTTCCTGCTGTCAAGATCATTGGAGCCTCAAATATGCATCTGGGGTCAGAATGGGCAGGTATGATCATGGACAATGCCGGCATCGTAACTCATGCTCTCTCCGTCTTTCGGACACCCTGACAGACGCTACCACAGCGCTCACGACCGATGCTACGAAACAAACGAAGTTTCCACCTCAGAGGGTGTGATTCAGGAGGAAGCTTACATAGACTGTCTTATTTGCGTGCTGCCCGTCCATATACGGACGATTGCAATACGGACCGGTCTGGGCGATGTCAGCCCGAAGGCTGACAATGATGCCTCCTCCCTCATCGCACGCAAACCCTACACCTCCCTCACTGCACCCACACACACTCTAAGCACGCTTCGGGATGGCGTCTCGAGCTCTGGTCTACCGAACCTCTTCCTGGACCCTGCTGCACGCACTTGTTCTTTCCGTCGGTGTTTGGCCTTGTCTAGCGATACCACCAACAATACTGCCTGCAGCCTCGGGCACATCTCACCATGTTCGTCGACAAGACCCCACGACTTCGACAAGTAGTTTTGACTGGTGGCCGTATCCTTCCTGGGGCGCTCAGACTAGTACCGCAATGACCACTGACTCTGGTATCGTCTCAATTCCAACTCCCACCGTGGATGCGTTAACTGGGGTTGTGACGAGTACTATGCTTGCCGATGTCATCACAGATACTGGCACTCTCCCCTCTGCGACCTCCAGCACATCGGACACGCTCATCCACATCACCGCGTTGCCGCCAGCTAACAGCTCGACTTCGATTACTCGCACCAGGAACGCTTCTCTGAAGGGTCCTTCCAAACCATTCAACGTTGCCTACCTCGCGCCTCTCTTTGCCATCCTCGGGGGCATTGCTGGAGCTCTCTGCACTTGGCTTCTCTATCGCTTCGTGCCCAAGCGGAGCGTTTCTCGGCAGCGAGAGACGTTGCTGGAGCCTGGACCGCGTTATACTCCACCTTCGATGTTCAGACACACGACTACCCTCACCCCTGCGCCACTCGAAGACGAGGATCCGGCAAGGCCTTCGCAAGCTAGCGCCCGCCCTCTACTCGACGACAGTGTAGCGGAGGAAAAGAAGAAGGGGAGCTGGCTGGCGCGTGCGTTCTCCACGCGAAGCCGCGCAGCGCCGAAACTTGTCGAGCAGCGGTCTGAGTCCGCGGAAGCTGGCGACGAAGCTGAGGATGACCCGTTCTTGGCGCGATCCTTGGCCGCTGGTACACCTGCTGCTCCAGCTGGAGGCCTCGGAAGACATGCCACCACACGTACGACATTCTCGTACGGGGCTTTAGGCGACGAGGAGGAACTCGCGCCATACGACACTCTCCGGCACAAGTCCATCCGGCGCGGAATACTGGAGCGGCTCCGCATGGGCACTGTGCGACGGCCGCCTGCGCCTGCGGAGTACGAGCGCGGCGAGACAGAGGACGACAGCGCCCCTGGGGACATCGACGCGAGCCCCAGCGCCAGGCTCACCGGCAAGCGTAGGGGCCACAGGCGCGAGGACTCCGACATGAAGGTGGCCGACATGCGGTCACGCACCACGTCGACCGAGGACTCGGTGTCTCGGCGCCCCACGCTCTCGCGCAACCGGTCTGACCTCGTCGTCTCCCCGCCCGGCTTCCGCCTCGTCCTGGAAGACCCCATCTCTGGAGCCCTGATGTCCGCGCCCCCGAGCTGTAACACGAGCCCGACCAAGGAGGAGAGCTCTGCGTGGGGGCTGAGTTTCCCGTGGCAGCCGTCGCCGACCAAGCCGCGCGCGGGCGACGATAAGTTCACTGCGCTGCCCGTGCGGCGTAGTCAGGCGGACAAGCGGAGCCCTTATGCGTCCCCTTCCCCCTCCTCTCGCGCACTCAGCGTGCTCAGCGCTTCCGAGGACGAAGACGCCGTGGACGCACACAACGCACGGTCGATGCCGCCGCTCAGCCGTATCGACTCGTCCATCCTCCCCGCTAGCCCGCCGATGGTGCGCTCCCCGCCACTCGACTCGCAGCTCTTCTTCGGCTCGTTCGGCTCCAGCCCCTCGCTCGATCTGCGCCTCCCGCCACCCGTCCCCTCCAAGCACGACGAGCCCTCGCGTAGCACCCCGCCTGGCGAGAAGCGCGCTAAGCTGCGCACGCAACGCTCGCCCCCCGCGTTGCCCTTCCCCTCCACAGCGAGCACATCACCGTTCCGCGGTCGCCTGAAGAAGACCCCAACGAAGCGTGCCGCGCCCGTAGCCGCGGTAGCGCGCAACGAGAGCGCGGACTCCGTCGACGGGCCCACGGCGGCGGGGGGTCGCGGGACGCCTGCGCAGCGGCACGAGGCGCGCGGGTCGGCGCTGAACAAGGTCAGCGAGATCCTGTCGCGCGGATGGGGCGAGCGTCACCAGGTTGGAGGGGGAGATGGGCCGCGCTCGCCGTTCTTGGGGAGCTCGGCGCACGAGTCGGAGCCGTTGTCTGGGGGAGCGAGTCTGGAGAAGCTGGTCGATGAGGAGGCGATGAACGGGATGGGCATCGAGCAGAGGCTGGGAGCGTTGCGGGGCGTATGAGGAGTCTGTGGAAGGGCTGATGCTTACCGTTCAGGGAATCATCTTATTGGTCTCAGTGGCGGACGGGTTTAAGGGAACGAGCGAAACTTGAATTATAATGTGTGATAGGATTACAGACATACATGCATGGAGACCGGTTAGTGGATACAAATAATCAGGGAGACGTGTAAGGAGATAAACAAAATTGAGGTGAAGGAGTGTGATGGTGGGCGCCGTGAGGAGACCAGATGTAAGGCTGAACGAGAGAGCTATAACGAGTCCGGTAAGATGAACACAGGATGAATACGGGTAGGAGAAAGGCAGACGAGGCACTCTACTTCCTGCGAGACAGTTGGGCCGAAGAGTAACTAGTAAGGCCTGAACCCACCGCTGCCCTTCCGGTCGGTTTTTTGGGGCGAGTTGCCGCCCTTGGCCTGCAAGCGCTCGGAGCGGCGGGGGGCTTCACTCGTGGGTGAGCGCGCGGCGGCGTGCGACGCCGACGCGCCCCGAATAGGAGTGCGCGGGGCCACATGTGCGACGTTTACGTGAACGGCGGGGTTTGTCGACGCCCTGCGGAGAGGAGCATGCGTATGCGGCCGGCGACTGGGTGTGGGCGTGTCCTCGCGTACGTGAATGAGGGAGGAGAGCGGAAGCGGCTCGATCTCAACGCCGTCCTCCTCTTCGTCCATGAAAGTGTCCAGGTCTTGGTAGACCGGGTACTCTGGGTTGGGGAGAGCCATGGCAGAGAAATCCGGGGGAGGGGCTGTCTCGAGCGGCGACGGGACGGGGATGTTGTCCAGAAGGTTCGAAAAGGAACCGCACGTCGACATGCGAAACTGTGCATATCTGTTGTACTCAGCGAGATTGCCTGTACGAGTGGGTGCGGGAGGGTTGGGGGCAGGCGGGTTGGTGGCAGGAGCCGGTTGAAAGAAAGACTGGGTGACTTGCGGCGGACCGGCCGGGTCTTCCTCTGACGATTCGTCACCATCGTCGCCGCCGTCGTCTTCAGAGTCGGAGGCAGGTCCGACGTCTAGCTCCTTCAAGCTGTGATATGTGAGTGGACTGCTCAGCGGGGAATGCGAGCTTCACGTACATTCGGCGCATCGATGGCTCCGCATTCAAGCGCTTCGGTGCGAAGCCGCCCAAGGAAGACATGGCGTCGTGCGCTTCGGACAGATCTTCGGTACTGCGACACTTCGGGTGAGAACCTACGTCTTTTGAGAAGAAGATGATGAAAGCTCACAAAGTTCGACTAAGTGCTTGACCCTGCACCTTGAAGTCAGGGAAATAATCAGTGTTCTCCGCTTGCTGAGGCTTCGATCCACTGAGGATAAGGGTGAGATTATTGTCAATGGAATATTAGAGACTGGGGACTCACGAAATCGAGTACAGTGAGTCGAAACGTGAGAGCATGATTGGAGAAAGAGGACGGCAAACTTGGCTGGGAAGGTTCGGTGCGACACTACCAGGTCGGCGGGTGCACGCGCGTTTATATGTACTGTACGAGGACCAGTGCTTTAGCCATCTCGGTAAGACGTCACCTTGCTTAGACACCGCCTGGTCCTGAGCATTGTCTAACAGTTCCTTTATTTCGAAGCGTGATAAAGTCCAATTGTGATTGTTGTCTGTTTCCGGCCAGCCATGGCGACGCCTCCTCGTGGTAAGTATCGCCATGTCGTTGGTGTGAAGTTTTTAGTGGCAAATTATTTCTTCTTGGGTCCATAGTGACGCTTTACGCGAATATATCTCTGCCGCAGTAGCATGGACAGAGAGCCGGTGCTAGGGAGAAGAACAGCGCGGGGGCCCGGGGGTGTTAGTACTGGCGTCTATGATACCTACCCGGTATGATAGAGCGTTGACTTGGCGTCTGCACAGACCAAGGCCTGCTGTGATCTTCTCCATGCAGCTGTTCTGGTGCGCTCGGTACACGAAGAGAGCGGAGAAGGAGAGACGTAGCACGGCGGGACGACTCGATCCACTCGGCAAGTGATTGTGTCGCGCAGCTGCGGCGGGCCGACGCCCCGGAAGGCGGGATATTTCCATAATGGGAAGAGTTTGGTTTGAAAAGTTCTACTCCTCCTCCTTCTTGACGTCTTAGCAGCAGCCTCTTTTTTCTCCTTTGAAATCGCGCATGCGTACCGGGTAACCCCATGCTGCCTGCGGTTGTCCGACACAGACAATACACAACACGATAGGATACTCGGAGGTCTCACTCAAGGGCGTCTTGTTCGCGAGCACCGGCCACGTCACCAACTGCTTGACCTGAAATAAATCGGAAATACGTCTATGCTACGCTTTGGACATCTCTACGAGGCTCTGCTCGAGTAGCCCAACGCCGTGGAGTAGGTATCCGCTAATGTACGGTGCGCCCAAGCGCACCTTCACCTTGCAATAATGTCAATGTGCAAGTGCTACCATGGTCAGCTGCTCTTATTCATTTGCACTGGGCGCGGCTGACGTTGCGAATAATTTCACCAGGATATTCTTCTACTTGGGGGATCCAATGACTCCAGAATTTATCGGAAAGCAACACCAGCGAATGATCGGTATCGAAGGAACCGAGATATCCCCTCCAACGCATCGGTATGACATGGTCCCCAGGTCAAACAAAGGTCCCGAGTGTATACATTGGGGTCCAGGTACATTGACTTCGCTCAGAGCTACAACCGGTCGCAAGTATTTCCGGGTCGCACACCTGGTCGTAGCTCTGGTGAAGCAGTGAAGGTACCTCCATGTCCTCGAGGATAAGGTACCGGGGCACCAGCAGCCTTGCGCTTCGTGGTGAATGGTCTTTAGCCCCATAGATATCAAACGCCCCCCCCCCCCCCCCCCCCCCCCCCCCG